TTTTTTTCCTCTCCAAATCATACAGAAGAATCGCATCTCTAGCTTCAATTACACCACCCACTTGGCTCGGGATATAGTCAAGAAATATCTCACCATGGCTTCGCTTTCGGTGCTCCATGCCGTCAACCATCGTCTCACGAACATTCCGGTCAAGCAACTCCCCGCCATTACAGCGAGCTTGGCCATTTCTCTCTCCAATTGCGGGGAGTTGCTGTCCTCGACTCAGTCCCTGTCGCAAAAGTCCAAACCGGGAAAATCCGATGCCAGTTCCGACAATGCGATCCAGATGCATCGGTTGATGACGCGACTGTCGAGTCTGCTGCAAGATCGCAGTCCGGAAGGGCGATGGACGGCCGTGGTGTTGATCAAGGCGGCGGTGGAGGCCGGACAATGGGAGATCCTCCGCTCGTGTGAGCCGCTGGTGCGCGGACTTATTGCGATCCTGACGGTATGATTGAGATAGGAGAGAATCTAATGGAGAGGGGTGATCAATCTCGTGGCTAATGAATCAGAAACCCGATCCCAATTCCACCAAGAAAATGGCCCTCATCACCTTGACCCGCATCTTCCACCTCACCTACCAGTATCCCACCCTCGTGCGCGAGATTACCACCCCGTCGCTGCCTGGGTTCGTCACTTCCGCCTTGAACCTGATCTCCGTGAAGGCCTCGTCCGAACCCGTGCGCCGCCTGAAGCCCCATACCCCCTTCGTCGAGATCGTCCTCCAGGCCCTCGGAGAGCTGATCGTCCGTCACCCGACCACCTTCCGTCCCTTCTCCGCTCAGATCCATAGCGTGCTGCTGGCGATCATTGGGTCGACGTCGCCGTGTTTCCCGGATCCGGTGGTGAACGTGGCGGAGCGCCTATTCGTCTCTCTGCACCAATGCGCGCCCAAGAACGCTTCGACCGACGAGTGGAAGAGCGCCTGCAACATGACCATCGCCTCGGCGCACGAAGCCGCCCAGTCCGTCTTCCGCTCGGTCGTAGAGCAGTGGGAGTCGGTTGATCCGACCACCCGGAGGTCCGCGAGATCGTCGGACTACACCAAGGAGGTGGGTGGCCAGGGGGATGCCCTGGGACTCGGGGCCTGGCAGAGTGTACACGCCGGCGTAGATCGGCTCGTCATGCTGCTGCGACTGCTCTCGACATTCTTGGGGACCCCCACGGCATCAGCCGTCGCCGTCCCCATCGGCGCCATCCTGGATCTGACGTCGCGACTGACATCGCTGACGGTACCCTCCCCCGGGAGAGAGGTCCAACCCAACCAGCAGATCAGTCGCGTCGAGCGAGAGGAGCTCTTCACGGAGCTACCCCGCATCCACACTGCCTGCCTCGAGCTGCTGCTCACGCTCTCGCGGACCCTCGAGTCGGCAGTGACCCCCGTGGGCCAGACCATCCTGGAGCAAACCCTCTGGGTCTTCCCCGCGGAGCGATTCAGCCGCCAGGTGCGCTCGTCGACCTACGAGCTAGTCCAGGAGCTGCTCCCGCACCTGGGTCCCACGATGTCCCGGCAGAGCGTCTCCGCGTTGACAAACCTCATCCGGGCCTGCTGCAGCGATCTCCTCCCACCAACCAACGACCAGACCGGCCCCGCGGCCGACACCAAGGGCAAGCCAAAATCCAACCCGACGACCGCCAACGCCGACTCCTTCCTGAATCCAACCCTCAAGCAGACCCGGCAGGCCGACTCGTCCTCCTACCCGGACCTGCACCGCACAGCCGTATCCTTCCTCCCCGCCGTCCTCATGCACGCCCCCACCGAGCACTTCTCGCCCGCCCTGCGCGCCGAAATCGACCGCACCATCATCCTCACAGCCGACAAAGACGCCATGCTCGCCAGCGTGCTCAACCCCATGCCCGCCATGAAGGGCCGCGCGGCCCCCGCCAGCATCCTGCCCTTCCTCGCGCGCAGCGCGCCCACCTCCCCCGACGTCGAGGCGCTCATCCGCCCGCGCATGCCGGTCCTGATGCCCACCTCAACCATCGGCACCTACGACACCATGGACGAGTCGGAGTCAGAATCTGAATCCGACCCCAAACCCACAACTACCATCCCATCCCACACCAAATCCGGCTTTCTCCACACATCTTCCTCCGCCACCACCATGCTCCAATCAGCAGCCGCGCCCCAGCAAGCCCCGACCCTGCAAATGAGCAAGCGCACCTACGAAGAGGAGCCGCAGGTCCTCCGTTCGCAACAACAGCCAGCAGCGCAAACCACCGCGCCTGAACGGTCCCACAGCAAGAAGCCCCGCGTCTCGGCTGAGACCACCCCGGCGCCGTCTCTGGGCGCCGCCTCACCGGCTACTTTCACAGGCACGGCGGCCATCCCGGCACCCGTGGACCCGGAGATTACCGCTGCGGCGGCCCCGGCTCCTGTGTCGGCTGGTGGAGTGGGTGCTGCGGCGGCGGCGGAGGAGGAGGATGGGGATGAGAGTGGTGATGATTTGCCTGCTTTGAATCTTGATCCGGATACGGATGATGATGATGATGATGATGTGAGTATGGATGGTTGATTGGTGATTATAGAAAGAGGGGGTAGAATATAATGCATGCATATACTACTATCACGTTTAGTATCTTTACCTGTAGTGTAGACATTTAATATGTATTCGTGTACGTCCAAACTCTACTTTCTTACCCAGGTCTATTTATATCTAAATATTGGAATCAAAAGATAAAGACAAAGCGAGAGGAAGAACGGGAGGAAAGAAGAAAGGAAATCACATAATCCGTATTCCCCGTTCCCAAAAGCTCCCCCCATCCCAGACCCTCATCCACGCGCCCTCCCAACACCACCAGCCCTCACCATCCGTTCCCGTTCCCAGGCCCACGCCCCGCAACAGACTCACTGGTAGCGGCTCGGTCAGGAACAGTCCGCTGCGAGCAAAGTCATCCACCACGAGCGGGCCCGACCAGGCTAGCCAGACGAAAACGAACAGCAGGTTGGCAGTGCGGCGCAACCACCGTGGTGGAGGGTGACGCGGGGAGGGGAAGAAGATGGACGAGCATGCGGAGGAAAGGATGTCCTGGATCATGATGCCGACGGCTTGCAGGAGGAAGAAGCAGCACGTGTCGCGGATGGGGTGCGTCTCGGCGATCTGCGTGTAGCTACCGCAGGCATGAACCAGGCCACTCAGCCCGAACCCGATCACGGCCGTTGCGATTCGGCGAACGGTGCGGTTGGTGGCTAGTCTGGTGGGAAGGAGGTGGGACAGGAGCCATTTGGCGGACGAGGTGAATCCGAATCGGAAGAGCTGGTGCCACCATAGGACCCAGCAGCCGGCGAGGCCGTGGTCCAGGAGAGAAGGGAGGCAGGAGCCGAAGGCGGGGGGGTAAAGCCACGGGGCGTCAAGGGGGGCTGCAGTGAGGGAGCGGGCGGCGTTGGGGAACCTGAGTGACAGGCCGAGGAAGATGATTGGGTTGAAGGCTGTCACGTAGCTCAAGGCCGCGAAAACACCGATGCCAGCTAAGAAGAGCCGGTAGATGCGGATTGCCCACGGGATATCCGGGAGTATGGCGCTGATTGGAAACGGAGCGGGTGGTGGCGGGGATACGGTGCCTGTGAAGAAGTATGGGTCGCGCATCATGAGCACCTTGACCACGTCCAAAAGGAGATAGGCCTTGAGACAACCCATGAAGGCGGCGCGTAAATGGGACCATCCGTCCACAGTGCACGTCGTTGGGGCCACTGACCAGGGCTTCCTAACGGACGGGGAGGAGCCCAGCTGCGCTTGCACCGACAGCGGCAGAGCATCCATGGTGGGCAGACGCCAATTCCATTCAGGGCCACGCATGTTAAATAGCAGGCCGAGGGTCCAATTTAAACGATGTGCCAACCTCTGGGGATATGGCTGCCACACCAGATGCTCCTCCAACGTGGGGTCTTTCGAGGTGTTACTCGTGACGGCATCCCCGTCCTGGCCTGCAGCTTTGTTGGATTCTGCGCCTAGACAGCGCCGCTCGATCCGTTGGAAGTCCCGTTCCGGATCATTGAAGACAAGAAGAGTGCCGCACCAGATACTCCACCACGCTGCGAGAAGGCCTGGCATATAGCCATTCCCTCCCAGCAGCGACCGCCGACGCAGGATCACATCACAAGCCACGCCGATGGTGAGGCACAGAACTAGAGGTCGCAGGAAACGCGTTCCCCTCCGCTGCGGGATCAACAGCGCTGATAGGGAGAGACCTATGAAGAGAAAAAAGTGCCAGAGAAAAAAGGGGTTAAAGTCTCCGGTCCCAATGAGGGTCTCAAGGCGGTCTCGATAATCATGATTGATTTGACGATATGACCGCAACGCAAGATCGGCCATAGAGATCTGGATTGGACAAATTCTATCGCGAGCTGAAACCCAATCCGTGCGATCCACTAAGTAAATGGTTCTGTGATGTTTATGCTTCCGGTGTTCTAGGGAAGAATTCAGCCGTGCCGCCACCCAAGAATGCTCTGTTGGCATCAGAATGTGCAGTCGGTCAGCCACGAGTCTGCTTAGATAATAATATCCAAGGAGTCGGAGATTTTCTTCCTCTCGTGGTACAGGATAAGTCACCCAGGGAGATTGAATAGTGGACTGGTCATATCGTGAAGATTGATCTCTTCTTATCTATGTATGCAATGGGAATTCATCATTTCCCATGGCATTCTGTCTAGTGTCATTTTTTTCGACCGTGGATCCGGCTCCATTGTAAACATGACTCTCTAATCCAAAGATCCAGTGGGCGAAGTCCTTGACTGAAGGCGCATGTTGCCAGACTTTAGTCTATAACCCTATTGATCTGAAGGGACAAGGGAAAGGTTAGCGCAGAAGAAGGACGAGTTGAGATGGGAGGAAGGAAAGAAGACAAGAAGAGAAGAGGAGAAAAGGAAGAAGAAAAAGAAGGAAAAAGGACAGGAAGTCTCGTGACTGGCAACGTGACCTTTTCTTCATAATTTTCCATCTTCAACTTCAACTTCACTTTCATTTTCACTTCCATCCTCGCTTCTCTCTTTCTTATCTCTCTTCCTCCTTGATTAACGTCCGGGTAAAATATGGTCAAGCTTCCCCAGCAGTGGATACGTCTCCGACCAAACCACAGAAGGATTCCAATCTTAACATAAGCCCCCACTTTTATCCCCGGTCAAACGAAATGAGCTTTCCACTTATTCATAGTAGTCTGGCCCCCCTCCTTGTCCATTTATGACTCCTGGTTAATAAGACGAAAAGACAAGAAAAGGAGAAAAAGAAAAATAATGACCACTGATTGTTTCCCCTCGTGTCCGGATCTCACCATCCATCAAGAAGAACCCCTGTCAACGTCCTATCAAATGTAGATGCTTCCCAAGGCTCTGAAGGAGGTGTTGGAGATGGAGCTCAAGGATTGGCGCCTAGCCTAGTCCCAACAATTCGCGTATGCCCAATCTTATGCTATGAAATCTTGTGAGGAAGATGGCTGCATAACCGACGATTTGTCGACCCACTCGCTCGCATGGAGGTAACCTGTCTCTCCACCGACATCGCTGATTGGGTCAAAGGGCGCCACCACTCTTGTTGACTGGCGTTAGTCGTCTTAGCGATTGCTCGCATAACATTCGAAATACACGGCACAAGGGCGTTTCGACGGAAGAATTTGAAAGAAGATGAAGGCGCCCAAGGAAGCCAAATCCATGCGGGCCCCGCTCGCTGTCTTCGCCCGGTCCACCGGATGTATAATTATGTACAGAGTAAGCACGGTGTACTTATGACCAATTCATTGTGCAACTTTGCGGCTGGAGACTATATTAAACGAACTGCCCGTCCACTTTTTTTGCCATATCGTTGTGATTCTTCCACCCAGCACCCTGACTGGCCCCATGGTGACCACCTGATAAGAACCGACCCTCCCTTCCCTCTCACCCCCATGCACTGGTCGACGCAAATTTCAGCCTCCCCACGATTTCGTCAGCGGTGACAGCACAATTCATCCGAGTACCATACAGACTCGTGCGTCGAATCTCTTCTCTCATGAGCAATTCGACAGCCGATGCGGGCGAGCCCGTCAAGCCCACTCGCATCTCACACTGGCGCCTCCTCTTTGACCAAGGAGTACTCACGCAGGAGATCATCAACCATGAATATCCGGGGTCCGGCACAGAGGAAGAACCGTACGCGGTCACCTGGATCCCAAATGACCCTCGCAACCCCCTCAACACGTCCATGACGACCAAATGGATCTATACCAACGCGATGGCTTGGGCTACCCTCGCCGTGTCGATGGTCTCGTCGGCATACACGGGCGGTATAGAGCAGATTCTTCAAGAGTTCCGAGTGGGGACGGAAGTGGGCACGCTGGGTGTCTCCTTGTTCGTCGTCGGATTCGCCGTTGGCCCCTTGGCATGGGCCCCGTTGTCGGAGCTCTTTGGCCGCCAGTATTTGTTTTTGGCCAGCTACTTCGGGCTCACTGTGTTCAACGCCGCGGCCGCCGGCTCCCCGAACATCGAGTCTTTGATTATATTCCGGTTCCTGGCTGGGGCATTTGGCTCGTCCCCGCTCACCAACGCCGGCGGCGTCATTGCCGACCTGTTTCCCGCCAGCCACCGCGGCCTAGCCATGAGTATCTTCGCGGCGGCGCCCTTCTTGGGTCCTGTGTTGGGCCCTGTCATCGGAGGCTTTCTCGGCATGAACGCAGGCTGGCAGTGGGTACTAGGCTTCCTGGCCATCTTTTCCGGGGCGCTTTGGATCTCATGCAGTCTTATTGTGCCCGAGACTTACGCGCCGGTCCTGCTCCAACGCCGCGCCGCGCGACTCTCCCAGCTCACCGGGAAAGTTTACCGGAGCAAGCTCGAGATCGACCAAGGCAAAAAGTCTCTGGCGGGCGCCTTCAAAACGGCTCTGTCTCGTCCCTGGATTCTTCTCTTCCGCGAGCCCATCGTGCTACTTCTGTCGATCTACATGTGAGACCCCGTTTACGTATTGCTTGGATTTGGTCCGAAGCTAACCATAGACAGGGCGATTATATATGGAACGTTGTACATGATGTTTGCTGCCTTCCCCATCGTATTCCGTCGTGACCGGGGGTGGAATCAAGGCATTTCGGGCCTGGCGTTCCTTGGAATCATGGTGGGCATGATGTGCGCTGTTACTTACACTATCATTGACAACAAGCGCTATGTGAAAACGCAGGCGAGGCATAATGGATTTGCACCTCCGGAAGCCCGTCTGCCTCCCTGTCTCGTCGCCTCGATTGCCGTTCCCATCGGCCTGTTCTGGTTCGCCTGGTCGAATGGCCCAGAGGTCCACTGGATGGCCAGCATCACCGCCGGCGCGCCGTTCGGATTCGGCATGGTCTTGGTCTTCTTGAGTCTGATGAATTATTTGATCGACTCGTATACGATTTTTGCCGCATCCGTGCTGGCCGCCACCTCTGTCCTGCGCTCGCTCTTCGGTGCCGCCTTCCCGCTCTTCACAACCTACATGTACAAGGATCTGGGCGTGCACTGGGCATCCAGCATCCCCGCCTTCCTCGCCGTGGCATGTGTGCCCTTCCCCTTCCTCTTCTACAAGTACGGCTCGTCCATCCGGGCGCGATGCAAGTACGCCGGCGAATCCGAGGCCTTCATGCAAAAGATGATGGCCCAGGTCGTCAAGCCCGACCAGGAGCTCAAGGCAGAAGAGACCGGTGCGGTCCTGGAAGAAAAATCGATCGGCGAGCAGGACTCGACGCAAGCAGACTCGTCCGCCGATCAACTCGGTCCGCCGGGTCCCAGTCCCGCTGCACAGCGCGCGCATTCGATCGCCTCGCAGGCGTCGTCGGGCCCCACCCATGCGACATCGCAGACCGTGTACGATGCAAACCCTTATGACATCGATCGCGTGAACACGCGGGAGTCTTTTAAAAATTAATATGGTGGACATAAGAAGGTCCGACATTATACATATTTCTATTTAGAATAATATCAAGCGTGCATGGGGGCGAGCTGACATTGTTTGTGCTGTTGGCTGCTCCCCTCCCCTTTTCCATATTGTGATCTTGTAGCATGACCTCAGGATAGCTTTTAATCTAAGTCAGATATCTGCAACACACCAAGTTAATTGTGGAGAATGATAAAAAGGACAAGAGACACATATGAACACAAGTTTCTAAATTCACTGCTAAATGGCTATGAAAGACAAAAGTGCCGAGAAAGAGGCATCAAATAGTACACGACGCTACAAAGAAACCAAACCCGAGACACGATATAACGCCCTCTTTCCCCGCAACAAAAAAAAAAAAAAAAATGAATCAGAAACAGAGCAATCATCCCAGCAACTGCTCAATATCGGCGATCCTCGTAGTACGATCATCTCTCTTCTTCGGCGCAGTTTCACGAAACGCATCGAGCATCAACTTGCGCTTCGTCTCCTGGATATCAAGGACGCGGTCCTCGATGCTATCCTCGACGATAAGGCGCCAGAAGGTAGTATCGCGGGTCTGGCCGAGGCGGTAGACACGGTCTAGGGCCTGGGATTCGATGGCGGGGGCCCACCACGAGTCGCACAGGATGGCCTGGTTGGCGGCGACGAGGTTGAGACCGACGCTGCAGACGCTGAGGGAGGCAAGGAGCACAGTGCAGGAGGGGTCCTTGGAGAAGCGGTGGGAGGCGTTGTCGCGGGCGACTGAGGGCATTTTGCCGTCGATGCGGGCGAAGTCGATGCCGTGGCGGTGGAGGTGCGGTTCGAGAAGGCTGAGGAAGGAGGTCCATTGGCTGAAAACGACGGTTTTGGTGCCTGGGACTTGGCCTTTGGCTGTGAGGATCCTTATTAGGGCTTCGATCTTGCTGCTGGGGTGGTCGGGGTCGGCTGTGGCGCCGTTGTTGCTGTCGTCGTCTGCGGACTCGCCCATGTTGACGGCGGGGGAGACGAGCGTGTCGGTGTTTTCGATGTCGGCTCGGCACATGGGGCATTTGTGCTGGCGCTCGATGACCTGCTCGATGCAGCCGCGGTCGAAGGAGTGGGCGCAGGCGGTGATGACGGGTTGTTCGAGGGTGTCGAGGCAGATGGGGCAGGTGTCTTGGCTCTCGATGCGGATCTGCAGGTTCTCTTGGAGGGTTTTGATGTTCGCGGGTGTGAGCGGGATGACTTTGTGCTTGTCGAGAAGTTTGGCGAGGTTGTCGACGCGGGTTTTGCAGAGCGCCCAGTGGTTGCAGACTTGTCGGAGGCGCAAGATGACCTCGAGGAGGTTGGAGTACGTCGTACTGGATTTGTCTTGGGACTTGAAATCCAAGAGCATACCCTTGGCTTCGGATCTAAGAGACAGGGTAGTTAGTGGTTGGTACCACGCAGAAAAAGGGAGGCAAGCATGCATACTGGAACATGTCGTATTTTTCCTGTTCATCTGGGTGGAACTTCACGCGTAGGACGCGCGAGGCAAGCGGCGGCAGGCGCAGATTGACAAATTCCATGTCCTTGCGCCGACGAAGGCACAGGGTGCCCATGAGGGCCTGGAGAAGCAAACGAGCATTGGGGTCCTCGTACATGAGAGGTCGGACTAGAACACCGTTGAAGACCGCCGGGTCTTCCAGGCCGCCAGTTAGCCCGAGGAAGCGGATTTGCGAGTACAGATCTTTGAGCGAGTTGATGATTGGCGTGCCCGTTAGGGTCCATCGAGAGTCCGCCTTCAGATGACAGGCGGCAAGGGCACCTTTGGAACGCGGATTCCGGATCGTGTGTCCTTCGTCCAGCACGACACGCCGCCAATGGATGGAAAAGAGCCCCTTGGCTGGCAATTTTTTAGAATCCGGCTTGTATTCCATGGCCAAAGCGCCGTAACTGGTGACTACCACGTCGTACTGAGCTAGATTGTCCGCCTCCTTTTTCCCGGACCCGTGGTAGATGAGCACCTGTGGAGCATTCTCGGGGTGGGTATGATCGTTCATTTGATCCTTCCAGTTACTCATCACGCCGACTGGGCTGATAATGAGAGTCGTCGTAGTCGCGCCTGGAGACTTGGGCTGAAGACTAGCCAGGACCAGCGAAATGACTTGGATTGTTTTCCCCAAACCCATATCGTCGGCCAGGATGCCGCCACTCGCCAAGGGTGGGGCGTTAGACGTCGAATAGTTTGTTGCAATGTTCCTGAACTTGTGGCCTTCGCGCTTCCAGAGCTGCACCACGTCGTCGGAGCCTGTTGTCGGATAGCTCGGATTTTCTTTATCCATCATCCACGCCAGCCCCTGGCGTTGATACGGGAGAAGCTGGGTCGAGAGGGCCGAGGGCACGTCCGCCATCGGCATGTTGGCCAGGTCGGACTCACTCAAACCAAAATTCTCCGTGACTTGGCCAATATCCCTGGGGTTAAAGGTGCTACTCTGGCCAATGATATCCTCCAGGTTTTCCTCCGAGATGCCTTCCCCAGCCATGAGATTTGACAAACCTAGCTCACTTTGGCCTTGATACTGCATCCCCTTGCCCGAAGTCAACGCGCGGGCTTTCTTTTCAGCCGCCTTCTGTGCTTTCTCCTGCTCCTTCTTGCTCCGGGCCTCCTCGCGCTCTTTGCGCTTGAATTCCGACAGAGGCAGTTTGTCGGCCTCCATCTGACTTTTGAGACCCTGGCGTCTCACCGGGTCACTGGGACCGAAGAGCCGCACCAGGATGGGGCAGTCGAACGCGCCAATGACGCCGGTCAGCATACCCTCGAGGATCAAGGTGCGCTGGTCCATGTACTTGGCCAGCTTGGCAGCCATCGCACGGGGGATGTGGCCGATCTGATCGCGCATGACATTTTCAACGCGGATTGCATTAGAGTCATAGGGGTTGTCGGCCTGTCTCCTCAGAATGACCGTCTCGCCTATGGTGGCGTGGCCGGTGTAAAAGCGAACGCCGACAATTTTGGTGTGAATCTCTCCATACAGCATAACGCTGGTGGCGGACGAAACATCAACATCTTGACTCCCCTGAATCAGCCCTTCAGCTTCTGCATCCTCGTCCTCTGTCTGGGTGAGAGGGATGAAGGAGGTATCCTCCCCTAATCGCTGTGTGGGGGCGGTGGCTGCGCGGTGCACCTTGGGTTCTGGGCCTTCATCACCCACAGGATCAACATTGTTGAACCGTCTTTTGGTCGAAGGGTGAGCCATGAGGGACCCAATCTAGAAACAAGCAAAAGATAAGATATACAAGATTGGTGGTGAGTAAGATAAGGAATGAGAAATCGCGGAGTATGAAGTATGAAGCCGGAAAAAAAGGCTCCACTGGAAACCAGTCGAGTGACAAGAGGCGTATACTAGCCTGGATGCGGTTTAGCGCCACGGATGCCTGGACACGCTAAGACACTCAGTCATGTGACTGCACCTGACAGGAGGCACGTGGCTGCGTGCATAGCTGATTCAGCATGCATCTTCCATGCTGTGTTGTATTGTACTGTGCTTGCTGATCTAATCTATCCAAGGCCCACTCGTTATCCATCGGTTTATCTGACTTCGGAATAGCTTCACCCTGCCTGTTCCTGTCAGTGTACCATCTCCAATACGCGTTGCTCCAACGATATTCTGAATTTAGCTATAGGAAGCCAACGGAAGCACTGACCACTGGTTTATCTGACCGCATCAGGGCAATATTACCCCGCCAATGTTCTTACTGGTGATCATCTACGGCGAATTGTCCTGTCAGATTAAACCAGCCAGACACGTAATTTTCTCGTCCTATCTGTCAAGTCGGCTTTTCCACTGAACATGCGCTTTTAGCAAATAGATAGACTAGCCAATCCTTGAGTCGTTAGGGAAACAGTTTAAAAAACGGCAGCCATGTCGATCGTGTCGATCAGGGCCCAGGATTCAGAATCTAGCCCCATTTGTCGTTAGAAATGTCTCACTTGTCCTAAAGGCCTTTCTTATTTCTGTCAACGGATCCACATGCAGGAACCCTAGTGGGCATGGCCACGGAACCGGATCCTTCAAAGTCTTCCGTTGACACTGGCTGGCTGAATTCGCTATGATTTAAGAAGAAAATGGTTGGTTGGGTGAGACCATTCGGTTCCCTGGGAATTCATCCATCTTCCTATTCTATGTGCACATCTGGATTTCCACAACGGTCAAACAACCATCCTCGTGTTGAGCCATGGTCCACCGCAGTAAAGACGGGGCTCGGTTCTCCTCCGTTCCCATGAGCAGTGAAACCTCTTTCCTCAACCCTCCCAAGACCCGCCGACCATTTTCGATCCTGGACCGGATCTTTTTGAGATCCCCCAATGCCAAATTTCTCGGCTCCAGCTGGTCCTTGGAGATTGTCAATGGCGGGATAGCCCTCGCATCGTTCGCAAGCATCGTGGCAGTCCTCGCCTGGTACGATGGCCGACCCATGCCCGACTGGCCGGAGGGCATCACGCTGAACGCCATATTGTCAGTGCTGACGAGCATTATGAAAGCTGCCATGGTCCTCATCATCACCGAGGCACTGTCGCAACTCAAGTGGTCATGGTTCAATCAGCGGAAGCAGTTGAGCGATCTGGCGGTGCTGGACGCGGCCAGTAGGGGTACCCCAGGCGCGATTTTGGTCCTTACCCGGTTTATGCCCAAGTCAGAGGACCCTTGATTCCATCGGCTTGGTATCAGACACGCTAATCCAATCCAGGCATTTGGTCAGCCTTGGCTGTTTCATCCTCGTTATCGCCGTCGCCATCGCACCCTTCGTGCAGCAAATCGTTGCCGTCCAATCCCGCGCCGTGCATACACCGGCTGCACCCTCCGTCAGAATCTGCGACACCAGCATCTACACGGATTATGACCAGGGCGAGGGCCCTGGCATGAACAAGCTCCCACTGGGCACGACGGCAGCCCTTTACAGCGGCATCTTCCAAAGCCAGAGCACCGTCAGTGATGCGAGTCTAGCATCGTGCCCGACGGGGAATTGCACATTCGCCCCATATCAATCTCTGGGGTTTTGCTCTCGTTGCTCCAACATCACTGATCTGCTCAGTATGACGACCACGGGCGGGAGTAGCCTCGCGATGAGGACCTCGAATTTCAAGCTGCCCAACGGATGGAAATTCCAAACGGGGATGAACTTGAAAAATCTTATGAACAGCACGACTGGCCGGCCTCTGCTGCGCGTGGACACGGCCAACATGCCCATCGTTCTCAACTTCACGGCCATTAGTGCCTCTGGTCTGGGAGTGGCTGCCTCTGCCACCGAGTGTGCCTTATATTTCTGTGTTCAAACGTACGAAGCCAGCGTGGCCGACGGGAAATTCACGGAGAAAATACAGTCCACTGCGTCCTCAGAGGTCACGAAAACGGCCGGCGACCCCGTCCAAAACATCCGACTGACCCCGGAGACGTGCTATGTCAACGGAACGAAACAGGCCCCCGATAGATGCACCTACAAAGTGAACTGGCTGAGCCGCGTGTCCATGTCCAACTCCCTGTCGCCTCTGCTCAAAGGTGACGGCTCGCTGTTCGTCAGTAACCGACCGGATTGGTCCTCCGACACTGTGCGGGCCGTCTACGGCAACGAGGGCAACACTACGGAGATCGATTCCGTTTTCCACTCACTGGCCACTGCACTGACCAGACATGCACGATCGTCAGTGTGCCGCGCCCGCATGGTGACCGGAATCACCTGGGGACAACAGTCGTTTGTCCACGTGCGGTGGGGCTGGTTAGTTCTACCCGGAGCACTGATGGTCCTCAGTCTCGTGTTCCTGGGCATAACCATCTTCCACACGCGGAACCAATTTATCTGGAAGTCCTCCCCGCTGGCTCTCTTGTTCTCGGGCCTGGGATTCGAAGCGCCGACCATGCGGGATCCGACACTAAATGGCATGGAGGATATGTCCCGCAACCTGAATGTATGGCTGGAGAGCTCCACAGGCGGTATTCGGCTCCGGGAGGATGCTCGATAGTGCTCCATATATCAATGCGAGCGCTAATAGGGTATTCTTGGCCGGGGTAGGTGATGCTAGAGCCCGTTAGGGTTGGCCCATCGACTCCATTCTGATTCAGTCCAATGTCTACCTGTGTACATATATGCCAAATATTTAGTATTTTCCCCACTATCTGTTTCTTCTCAGCTAGGGACCCTGGGGACATTGGCCATTGTAACGGATGTGTAGTCAGGAGGCAATTTAGGGTTGGGTTGTGTCGCCCTGTAAAAGTGCCTTTTTTCTACTAACCATGTCGAGGGTCCATCTATTGGTTCCGTATTAATGAGAAGTCATCATCATCATAATTAATCAAGAAGAGGAGGAATGACAAGACATGCACAATGTCGATCGACCCCCTCCCACGTGAGTGAGGGGTTCATATATATGAGTTGGTTCTCTACCCCGTCTTTCCCTCCGCCTTCCTCATTCATCTCACAACCCCGCTCAACCACTATCCGATACTCTCAAATGACAATGGAATACCCTCGTCCTGACTTCCAGCGGTCCTCGCTTAACTGGACCTCACTCAATGGTCCGTGGTCATCTGCCTTTGATGACACGGACGCTGGGCTCTCACAGTCCTGGCCGCAAACCGGTCTTCCAGCCTCCCAGACTCGACCCATCAAGGTCCCCTATGCCTTCCAGGCCCCCGCATCAGGTATCGGTCTGCGTGAAGCTCACGAAGTTATCTGGTACGAGCGGACCATCCGCGATATCCGTCTTGGAGGCCCCCCTGACCAGCGCCTGATTCTCCGATTTGGCGCCGTCGATTATGAGTGCTCCATCTGGCTCGACGGCGTCCCAATTGGTGGGCACACGGGCGGCCACGTACCTTTTGACCTGGACCTAACGGATGCCTTTCGCTCGCTTGCAACTGACGGAGAGAGGAAAGAGACGGCCCGGCTAACCCTGCGCGTGCGTGACTCGCCCACCGACCTCGCTCAGCCCCGTGGAAAACAATATTGGGGGCCCGTACCGGAGAGCATCTTCTACACACCCTCCAGCGGAATCTGGCAGTCTGTCTGGCTGGAGAGCGTCCCTTCTATGCGCATCGGATGCAGCGGTGCGGGGACCGTCCTGCGATCGGACGATATCACTTCTGGGACACTGCACGCAGTCGTCGCAGTAACTGGGCGCCAGCCGGTCGCTGGGCCGGTCAGCATCCAGATCACCGCCAGTCTTGGGGGCAAAACAGTGAGCACAAGTCCTCGTTCACCCCTGACCAGTGATAAAGAGTACGTGCGCGTCGACCTCGACGTGACGCTGCCTGCCGCGGACCGGCCTCGTGGGGGCGCGTTCGACGCCGACGGGGCCTGGCACGACAATGGCACCGCGCTGTGGGCACCAGAGCATCCTATTCTCTACGACATTGTGCTTCGTCTGTACGATGTAGCAGGAAATCTCGTCGACGAGGTCCAAACCACAACCGGAATGCGCAGTCTCTCCTGGCAAAACGGCGACGGGACCTTCCGTCTCAACAACAAGCCTTACTTCCAGATGTTGGTCCTAGACCAGGGCTACTGGCCCGAGACCGGACTGACCCCGCCGTCCGGCGATGCCCTGCGTACGGACATCGAGCTGGTCAAACGCGCAGGATTCAACGGCTGTCGCAAGCACCAGAAGATTGAGGACCCACTGTTTCTGTACTGGGCCGACCGACTGGGGTTCATGGTGTGGGGGGAGATCGCGAATGGGTACGAGTACAGTCACGAGCTGGTAGAGCGCATCACAGCCGAATGGGCAGACTCAGTGCGGCGAGATCGTAACCATCCCAGCGTGGTGACCTGGACTCCAGGCAATGAAAGCTGGGGGTATCCGTCTCTGAAGGACGATATCGAGCAGCGGGACCACATTCGATGCCTCTACTATCTGACCAAGTCAGTCTTCCCTATGCAGTATTACGAGAACAACCTTACCCACATACTAACCATAATAAAAACAGATCCCTCGATCCCAGCCGCCCCATCAACGACAACTGCGGCTGGGAACATGTCCAAACGGACCTCACCACGTACCACGATTACAGCGACTCGGCCCAGCTGACGACCACCTGCGCCGATTTCGAAAACGGCATTCTTGGTCCCAAAGACAACGGCCACCGCGCCATGTTCGTCGAGCCCGTCACTGCCGGCTCGGTCACGCTCGATCCCGGCGCAAAGCACGCCCCCGGCGCGCCGGTCATCTGCTCCGAGTTCGGAGGGGTGAACATCAAGCCCCCGAAGGATGTAGCCGCCTCGGACCGCGACTGGGGATACACGACGGCGAGCAACGCGGCCGATTTCCTGGTCCGGTTGGAGAAACTAGTGATGGGGATTGTGAAGGGGGGGTTTACCTGTGGGTTGGTCTATACGCAGTTGTACGTTGTCTTTTTTACTTTCTCTCCCGTATTTTATTTTTTCCCTATTCAAGTTAGGCCTACTGACCAGTTCAGATGCGATGTCGAGCAAGAAGTCAATGGGCTGTATGCCTACGACCGCAGCGAGAAGGTCCCCCCAGCCGACATCAAAGTCATTATGGACGCAGCAAAGGATTACTACTTTCAACATGTGGTGCCGAAATCAAAGGCTTGACGGATAGCTTTGCCGATCAGATGAATGGGTAATTACTGTAGGTCTTTCATCCGAAAGACTTACAAGGTGTTGTTGAAAGAGGGGCATGGCTTTGAAGGTTTCTTTGAATTAGATCTTTAAGATTTACTGACGGGGCCGTCTTTGATTTCTACATAGTTATCCTCGGTACCGACAAAGACTTATGTCTGACATACTTGAGACATTGAATGGAGAGCCCTATACTCATCTCTTTATTCCCCTAAAAAGACAACCTCTCTAGAACTATAGCCTCAAGTCCAATTACCCTATAAATGGCCCTATCACCCCAGTAGAACATACTATCAACCACCTCTCTACTCAGCCATACAATATACCACACTACCCAACAACAACCAACCCCCCAAACCCACCCCCAAAAAGATGGCCATCCACGACCCAGTAACCTACAGCGTAGGCCCCTACACCAAACTCCACATCAACAAGCTATCATCCACAACCCCAGACCGCATAGCAAGCTACAACAAACACCTCTGGGTGTGGGTGCCCGCCAAGGGCCTCTTCAACAACATGGGCCACCTGACCAACGTCATGTCGATAATGATCTACAACGGGCTGGGCGAGTTCGTGAACGAGCGGGATGAGGAGCGCCACGGCGGCGTGTGGTTCTCGTTTTGGGCGCAGGGATCGGAGGATGGGCATCGGCTGAATGCGCTGGCTGTTGCTGGGTTGAATGAGTTGGCGAGGGAGGAGAAGGAGAGGGTGGAGAGGGGAGAATAGTTTTTATTTTTTCTTTTATTGTTTATTTTATTTTTTATTGTGATTTGATTTTGTACTGTATATGTACTGTGTAGGTGGATGATAATTTTGGAGTTCGGATTCTGGATGACAGATGGGGTTTGTTTCGTTCTATAGAAATAGAAATAGGTAGAGGTAGTAATCCTGTCAGTCTATCCTCGGCTACCCTACCATCTCTCCAACATTCATATTATCAGTATATAAGTAAGTATATTGCCAATCAAAGCATATATCTAAACTCCGGCGACCTATCACCCAACTTCTCAGCCTCGACCGGATCCACCGGTGCATCAAGCGCATCCCGCTGGCGATTAATCCGCTGGTATGACAGTCTTAAAGCGACAACGGCAACCATGCCCATAGCGCAGAAGCCTAGTTCTAGTGCGTGGCCTAGGATGTAGCCTGGGGCGTCTTGCTGGCGGTAGAAGTTGGATGCCATTGCTGTTCATTGATTGGATTGGTTAGTGGTCGTTAGGTGAATTCTTGGGTTCGATATAAGATGATGATGAGGAGAAAGAAAAGGAGAAGAAGATACCTCCAGACAAATTCCCCACTCCAATATGCAGCGCCATGCCCGCTGCTCGCTTGTAATCGCCCGCGAGGTTGACACTGATCCAGGCTACATTGCCTGGGAATGCAGCGTATATACCTGTGTCATGATTTAGTACCGCAATATTCTAATCGGGGGTGGTAGAAAGATGAACGGACCAGCCACAGCAACAAACACCCCGAAATACACCACACCAGGAACGCCCCGATTAGTGGACGCAAGGACAATCACGAACCCGATGGCAACGAGGGCCATGAAGAAGAGCACGAACGGAGACCGCTCTCGCCGCCGATCTGACAGCCACGCGGCCGCAACGGCGATCACAGCAGCGACGATATAGATAGGCACGGTGAGCAGCTGCGCCGTGGACGATTCATATCCTAGGTCTTTGATGATGGAGGGTAGAAAGTACGAGATGCCGTACAGAGGACAAGTGATGCCCCAGAACACTATCGCCGTCAGCTCTGGCCATCCCAAAACTATAGAGAGAGAGGGGGGAACATACTCAAAATACCGACGTAAATCTGCCAGTCCGTTAACGCAGCCTGCACATACTGAAAGCGAAACTTCCTCTCCTCGCTATCGATAGTAGCACGGCCTGACTCCGGCCCAGAGGCTGTCGTCTGGCCGCGCACAGAGCGCAACACCCAATCTCTCTCCTCTTCTGTGAGGAAAGTCGCTGTTTCGGGGGAATCGTGGATGGCAAAGGGGCCTATGAACGCGACTACAACGGTGAGGAGGCCTTCGAGGATGAAGATCCAGCGCCAGCCTTCGTAGCCGCCGACTCCGTCCATTTTCTATTGGGTAGGGAGATTGGTTATGTTAAGTTGGAGAAGCTTGTTAGAGGAATTGTGTAGGGACCTACGGCTATGGCGTAGGCTAGGATACCGGAGAAGGCACCGGCGACGCTGGCGGCGCTGAAGAATAGCGCTTGGCGGTATTGTGCTTTGTGGCGGGGGTACCATTCGCTGATGTAGTATGAGACTCCGGGGTAGAGGCCTGCTTCTAGTGTGTGTTAGTAGTCGGATATAGAGCGGGTTCGATCTCTAGGGGTGGTATCATCGATGATGATACAAAAGGAGTACGAACCGGCCACACCTAGAAAGACACGAGCAGTCACCAGTCCAGCATAGGACTGCACGATGCCCATCAGGGTCTGTATGTCGAAACCACTCAATCAGCCCATTTCATTTGGTCTCAAAGGAAGGATAAAATGGGATATCACCATGACAATCCCCCACGCAACCATAATTATCGGCAACCACCGAGACGGTCTCAACTTCTTCAGCAGAAGATTACTAGGAATCTCAAACGCCGAGTATGTAAAGAAGAACACGGTCACTATATCAATCAGCAATACATTCATCCATTCTCCCCGTGGACAAATCCATACAAGACCAACTATATTGCTGTCCCGTCATATGCTGTCAAATATCAGTGACATCCTTGTATGACAGGAGTATACCGTAGATCGACTACGATATATATAGGCCAAAGAAACAAGAAAGAGAAAAACCAACCAAATCATCCAACATACCCTCAATCTTCGCATTCCCAATATTCCCTCTATCCAAAAACGCCAGCAGATACAAAACCGCCAGCATAGGAATCAACCGCAGATCCATCTTGCGCAGGATCTTCTCCTCCATCTGCGGGGTGATCTCGGATGCGGGGCTGCCATTGGGGGATTCAGTCTCGGATGGGACGACGTGGGCAAGCTTTTCGCTCTCTTTTTCTCTTAAGGGATACATATCTCCTGCTTGAAGATAATTGTGCGAAAACAGCGAAAATATGCGGGGAGAGGAGAGGGAAATATCGACAATCAAGTGTGGGGAGGGTTAGGTTATATTGTAGATCACCCTGGTTTGCGGGGGAGCTTGGCGCCCAGACCCCTAGTCGTGTCCCTCGCAGTCTAGACGCGAGGGGGAAGTTGGGATGTTGGGTGATCAGGCTGGAATCGGAGGAAGGCCGAGATGGGCTGTTTACGATGAGGGAAATGGAAATATCTTGATGGCCGTGTCATATGGATTGATAATACTCATGTACAGGGATATCATGTGCAACAAATAAAGTGAATAGAGGTCAATGCAAAAAAAAAGTAGAGTAGAGTCTACTGCGTCTTGCAGCTGGGACTCGTCCAATAATCCCGCTGCTCCTCCTCGTCCGATTCGGGGCTTTGAGATCTCGATCCGTCGGCACCGTCGGTCTGTCCGCCCAGGGTCTGCGGTGGTAGTCCCGGTGGCTGCTGTAGGGGACTAGAGCCGTGCGGGCCTGTCCGCGGCGCTTGGGTCGATGGGGATCCTCCCTGGTTGGGTGGCTGCTGCGGAGGACGTGGCGTGCCTTTATTGGACGCACTCGGAGAACCAGACGAGTAGGCAGTGTGCTCGTTCAGGGGATGTGGAAAGGACGCGAGACCCGCTGCTGGGGACGACCATGCGGGCCGGTTCTTGAAAACGCTGGTGTCCGGGGTCAAAGCCGGCGGACCGACATTGTGCGCGTGGGTCGGCACGGAGGACGACGGAATAGTCAGGGACTGCTGGCTGGGGAACGGCGGCAAGGCATGTGCAGGTCGATTAGGGATGGGGAATAATCCGGGGTGGGTTTGCGCGGCGAGAATGGGGGTCGGGCCCTCGGCCATCAATCTCCTCTGCCTTTCGGCAATCCGCCGGGCGTATTCTTCGGGGTCGGTGCGCTTCAGGCGCTCGTCGTCTAGTTCCTCTTGAACACCCTTGGTCTCTTCCTCCGTCAGCCGCTCGTCGTCTTCCCGTCGGAACGTCTCCGTGAGGGCAATCTTCCGGATGGTCCGTTCTGCGTCGTTCTGTTCCAATAATATCTTATCCAACACGTCAGGATCCTTCCCAATGAATTCGGAAATATCCTCCTGGGGAACCTGCTTGACTGGAAAGAGATAGTCGCCCGGGGATTTGGACGCTTGACGGATAGGATTCTTCTTGTCGACCACACGGAAGGCAAGCTGGGTTTTGAAGACGACATTGTTGTACATGATCTCTTCAAAGGTGCCTCCAGAGATGAAGCGGTAGACGAAGACAGGCTTCTTCTGTCCCAGGCGATACGCACGTCCGACGGACTGTTGTTCCCACACCGGATTGAACGCAAAGTCATATATGATGACGCGGTTGGCGCCCGGGATGTTCAGACCAAGCCCCCCCGCGCGAGTTGAAATCAGGTAAACATGCTGATCAACCCCGGTATTGAAATTCTTCGTTGCCATCTGGCGACTTTGGACAGGGGTATTCCCATCCAGTCGGCAGTATTTTCGGTTCCGGAGCGTCAACACGTGCTCGATGTAATCAAGCGTGAGGAGGCTATGGGAAAACACCAAGACCTTGTCATTAACTCGGACGGACTCGTCAATGATCCGGTCCAGGATCTGCGCGCGATACGAGAGCGGCACGGCCTTCATATCCGGGATGCTGGCAAAGAGTTTTTCCTGTTCCATGACGAGCTTCTCTGAGTCCGGAAGGCCTGCCTGGCCGATTGGCTCGTCGCCGGGAAGCTCCTCGACTTCGCGCAGCTTCTGGTCGATTTTTCGCGCCTCGCTGGCTCGGTTGAGCAGCTTGTCACGGAAGCAGGCCGGGTGGTTGCAGCAAAGTGAAAGGATAGCTAACCAAGACCACAGCTTGGCGTTCCCAATATCCCCTTTCCCCTGCAAGATAGTGTCTACGTAGAGGTTGTACGCATCCGTTTGCACCTTGGTCAGCGGCACGGTCAGGACAAATTCCACCTTCGGCGGCAAATTTCCCGCCAGCACGGAGATGTCAGCCCGGTTGATCTTGGGGTTCAGAATCCCTTGGAGCACCTTGAGCTTGACGAGAGACTTTCGTCGCTCATGACGTGAGCTGTCCAGGTAGAGGCCCTGCTCGATGGGTTCGACAAAATTGGCCTTGAACTCCAGAAACTCACCCAGATACCCCTTGGCAATCCAGTCGACCATTGTGAAATAGTCAACCAGGTTGTTAGCGAGCGGAGACCCAGTTAATGCAATTCGACTTTTGGAGCGAAACTGCGTCGCAGCCCTGGAGGCCGCCGTTGCTCGGTTCTTCATCATGTGGGCCTCGTCCGCAACAATAAGGCTGGGGCCTTCCAAGAGCCACTTTTTGACGTTCTCGTGGTCCTCTTCGGAGAGAGGAGGCGGTCTCTTTGGTGTCTCCTTGTTGAAGATCCAGGCGTGAAACATATTGTAGCTTATAATCAGTATGCCGCCCTCCTGGTCCCATTCCGATATCAACTGTATTCTCTCTCGGGGCGGGCTGGCGCTCGTCACCTTGCGTGGGAGTCCGATTCCCGAGTCCTGGGGAGCCCAAAGCATGATCTCCTCAAACCAGTTCTCGATGAGGGATGACGGGCAGATGATTAGAGTCTGAGGTCGGTGAAACGCTTCTGGGACCTGCTGTCGGACCTTTGGGTCACTGGACGATGCTGCAGCAGCGATCGTGACCAATAGCGCAATGACCTGCATGGTCTTCCCCAGGCCCATGGTGTGGGCAAGGAGACAGCCCTGCTGCGTCTCGTCTCTGATTAGTTCGCGCCACATGAATTGGATGCCCTCCAGCTGGTGGGGTTTTACGACCTGGCCAATATGGGGATCCAGATAGATGACCGGGTCGTCAAAGCTGACAACCTGATGGGCTGGATCATCATTACTGATGCCCATGTTGCCCATTTTCTTCTTCAGCTTCTCTCTCTGTTCATGTTGAACAGCAACACGTCTTTTGGCGCTGGCTTGGGTATTCTTCGCTGTTAAGCTTTCTTTGACTTCCCTCTTCCGCTTCTTGTGGGGTGTGTGTGCAGATTCGGCGAGTTCCCCTTCAGAGCTATCCGACGGCTTTTGAGAGGACCCTGCTACATCCCCAAGCACCTTCGACTTACGCTGTGGCCTGTCCCAATTGCGGTAGGCTTCCAGGCGATTGCAGAGCTGGTTATAGAACTCGGCGAAACTATCCTTCAATTCATCTATGCTCTTCAGGATGTAGTGTCGCCGAATTCCTTTGTGAAGCTGAGCACAGTTGACCCACGAGATGTAGAAAGATGCCGTTCGCATAATGAACTGGCTTTGCTTCTCGTCGACACCGGGGAACGTGTCCTGGCTTTGACACAAGATTTCCAATGCGGTATCCACATACTCCTGCATAAGAGCCACGCCATATTTAGGGACCTCGTCTGTCATAGCCAGTCGAAAGTCATCAGCCAAGCTCCCAATGATCTTGGCTAACAGCCTGCAGCGGTCACGGCGCTCTTCGAGCTTCGACCAAGGGATTTCAAGTAATGCACCGAGATCGCTAAGGTCCGGAAGAGATGTGTCCGCTGCTGTGCCATTTCGCGACTTTTTCAGATGAGGAATCACAACCTGGACTCGGGACGACGATTTCCGTAAAACCTTAGATGATACTGTAGGACCCAGATCAGGTGGAGGAGACACGGAAGGGGCCCTCTCAGCCTTGACGTTATTACCTGCCGTCTTGGATATTTTGTGTTGCACCGGGTTTAGAGGCGGGGTCTCGATTTCCAAGTCTTCCTCGGCTGAGTCTACTGTGAGATCGATCAGGTCACCCGCTGGCTGACTCGCCGCTGGGGGGGACAGAGAGTCTCGTGCCGTGATGCGCTCCGGAGACGACGGCGAGGAACTGGTGGCAAAGACGCGATGCATCGAAGTCCGCCGCCGAATGCCAGAGGGGCTGATGATGCCACCTTCACTGTCAGTTTCCGAAGAGGAACTTACAGACCTCGCTGGTGATGTGGGGGTCTCGGGAAATGGCCCAACACGGGTATCCAAGTCAGATCTGTCGATGAAATCATCGAGCGAATCACTCGAGTCTTCTGTCTCAGAATGAAGAGATTCTTCATCTGCATTCTTGGGCTTTTTCTGAGGCGCAGGCCGTGGGGGAGCGAGGACCTTTGGGGGGCACTTCTCCTGCTGAAGGACCCTAATCCGCCATTTCTGGCTCTGGATTCCGAAGATCGTCTGCTCCAAGCTTTGGCACTGCGTTTTCAGCTCCGACTCTGAGCCATACTGGCTTTTGCAAATCTCCCTCTTTATCCCGCCGAGCCGCCTTTCGAGAAAACCAATATCTCGGGCGATGGCCGCAATTTGGAAATCCACGCGCCCCTGCCGTCTAGCCTTCAGCCAGATCTTGCGGGCTCTTGGCTCCTGCCTGGGGCGAGCGGTTTGATCCCATCTATCCTCGTAGTCTGATATACACTGGCTGATGAGGGGTTCGAGCTCGGCGGATGTGAGGTCCTTCTCCTGCTCAGGAACACCATCTTGACGCTCGTCATCAATTTCCTCCCATGTCTTGTCATCAAACTCTCCCTCCGAGCCAGATTCTCCGTACGGAGGTAAGGCATCCTCCTCCTGGGGTGGATACCTCTGGAGAAGGATGTCATATTTGTGGCTTTCGGGTTCATCGTTCTGAAGAAAGGGGTTGGAACTTGACTTGCGCAGATCTGCTACCGCTGTGGCTCCCTGAAGTTTACGAAGCTCCGGCCATTTCTCTATGGGTTCCCTGGTGACAGATACTTTTCCATCCTTCACCGTATATAAAGTGAAAAGTCTCTGGCCCTTTGTCTCCGATAGCTTGTAGGGGATGATAGCCCATTGAACACAGCCACTACTTGACTTTAGCTTGATACGCTTTTGTCTATAGAAGTAGGCAAGGCGTTTGTTGACAGAAGTGCGTTGAGCAGGAAAACCAGATCCTACAATAACAAACGAATCCTCGCTGTCACCAGGGTCAGACGAATGGAAGAGTTGGGCGTTCGTAATCTGGCCTGGTCCCATATACCATTCCTTGGCTTGGGTTGCGGGGTGTTGAGATCCGTGTGTCCCCGGGGCGTCGGGCAATGAACCCAGATCAAGTCTTCGCCGTTTCTTGCCATGAGCGTCAACCACGATCTGCTCTTGGCGGCGCGCGTTCATGGGAGGGGGTGTGTTTTCTACCATTCGATGTGATGTCGAGGGCGTCCCTAAGATCTGATCCCGCCGGTCAGCTTGCCGATCCCGGTTTCCAGGCGGGAGTTTCTCGGGGGGAACCGTCTGCTTGCCCCTCATTTGTCCTATCGGCTGTGCAAAGGGGTCTTGTGGGGTGACGGGAAGGGTATCCACGGAGATAGATGCAGATGGAGTCACCGTATCGGTCGTTGTTTGTACATGTGTCTTCGGGGTTGCAGAGTGACTTGGAGGATTGAAGTGGGCGGGAAGCGGGGGCTGTTGGAAGACCCCGGGGGATGAAAAGGACGGGCATCTTGAGGAACCAAGGGCAGGGTCATCCAACGGGCTGTGGCTGAGGGACTCTTGAAACTTTTGAGACCTCTTCTGTAAGTACCTTATAGCCATTGAAATGCAACTCCGATGACCCAAGGCCCGCAGCCCCAGGTCATCCCGCAGGGTATTCTTATCGACATCATGTAGGAGGACCTCGCCGGTGATGAAATTCTCCCGGAGTGCGGCTTCGAAGGAGACGGGGTCCGGACGGGGAGCTTGCGAGGCGGACCGAGACCATGGTGCTTCGGGACTACGGCAGAGGAAATCGACCACGTTGTCGACGGTCCAGTCGAGAGGGTCACCACCGTCAACCTGCATTTCGTCTGGTGAGATGGGAGCATTAGCTTTCTTCGCCACAACTGATAAGTTGTCGGAAATAGACTGACGGTGTCTACATAGATGAATCAATCAAGTCATGTGAAAGACCAGTAAAGTAAACACCAAGAGTAGAAGCGCATCATAAAAGAAGATCCAAGAGCTGAAGAGAAGCAACACGAGACGCGTTAGACGCTACAAGTAAGGCGAGAATGAGGTGGAATCGATAACAGATATTATCAAATTACGGCTCAGATAAGATGTTGGGAGATAAAATTAGAGCGGGGAGGAAAAATGCCAGCCGAATCAAGGCCACATGGAGCTCTGCAGGAACAGTTAAGGTGAAGTGGAGATCTTCAACCATAGTAAAGCTGCAAACCCTTTTTCCTTTCTGCCGATCATCCAGGCGGTGGGCTGGACTGAGATACGCGTCAGGCCGACTCACCGCCTGGATAACGTGTTGTGGACGTGATAAGATAACGGAACAGACAGAACAAACAGGACAAATAGAACATACATCATATCAAAAAGTTCATCTCCCTCAGCAGAACCTCTCCAGTTCCTCGTTTCATTGTGCCATGACAGATGGCACTATAGAGTCTATCAAGGTGGTCTATTCTATGGGTTAATGGCGGATACGTACGGTCAACCCTGCACTTCTGTGGTTTCGCCCAACATTGGACTAGAGCTTCTCCATTTCCCGAGTCATGGCCATTCGAGCCCATTGCCTAGTGTTAGTTGGATGACAGCGATGTACATCATATACCTAGGGGCATTCATAGGATTGCCGTGAAAGAACTGTCTAGGGCAAGGAGGAAGTCAGACAGAAATAGGCCAGACACAGCCATGTGCTGACGCCAGGGTGAACGCCCATTCTACAGGAGCAGAAGACACCACTTCATAATGCGCTTCCATCTGGATAGCGGAGGAAGCTGGGACTTCAAGGCTAAAAGGTTGGGTATGTGTGTCTAAGTTAAGCAGCATCTGCATGGGTAGCAAAGCAGATAGTCTGGGAGATTTAAGTTTTATGATAAATTCATATGACTACTTCAGATAGTCTTATGAACACTACAAGTAGTGGAAACTAATAATTATGATAGCATCAATCAGTGGGATTTACTAACCTAGTAGTCTACTCCAGGGACCAACCAACAGAGGTCTTACCCCAGTTTCCTTACCAGTAACCCACAAACAGAGGTCTTTGCCCAGTTCTCGTACCAGGAGGGCCCCAAAAGAGGTCTTTTAACGATTCTCGGACCAGGGATACTCCAACAGAACTCTCTGTCCAGTTCTCCTACCAGGAGCTCCCAACAAAGGTGTATGTCCAGTTCTCCAACCAGGAATCCTCCAACAGAGGTCTCTGCCTAGTTGTTCTGCTTCTCCTCCTCCTTGTCTCCCTCCTTCTTGTTTCCCTCCTCATTCTTCTTTTCCTCCTTCTCCATTTTCTCCTCCTTCTTTTCCTCCTTCTCCTTTTCCTTCTTCTCCTTCTCCTTCTCCTCCTCCGTCTTATCCGGATCCACTCCTATTCCCGGCCAAATCCCCGAGCGCCATTCAATATGCCCATCAGCACTCATCGCACTCTCAACCAACCAGTCATCGAAATTAACCTCCTGGCTCATATCCTCGTCACCAGTCTGCGTGAATTCCTCCGGCATAGGGCCAGAGTGCTCAGCAAGCTCAGTGACCTCAGTGGGGTACCGCATGCCGAAGGTGTCGGTCCTTCTATTCTTGTCCATCAGGACAGGGACTCTAACGACATTCAGTTAGTTTTCACAGCAAGCCACGATGCAGCACACTAGAACGTCCAGGTGCAGTGGCGGATGATGCTACTAACCCATCATTGCCAGTCTCCCACGTTCTCTTCTGACCAGTGTGGGCGTTCGAGTAGGTGTTTACCCCGCCAAACGCATCGCCCTGTTCAGAGACGCCGATGCCGTTTAAGATATTGAAAAACGGATACAACTCAGACGAGAACTGCGGGGCACGGACGTTCCTCGAGGCCGTCTCAGGGCGGGTGGTAACAGCAGAGTTAGCAGCGTGGGTTGTATGCGCGGAGGACCTACCAGGGGCAGGATACTGGTTCACCTGGGCGACATGCGTCTGGTAGGGTGTGCCGGAGCGAGCCATACGGGCCGAAGCAGGGCTGATATGTGCAGACGCAGGAAGGGCCGCCGTGGATAGGAAGGGTGAGCCATTGGGCTTCACACGTGTGCGTCTCTTTTTGGCATTCGCAGCGGGGATAGCAGCCTTGGGTGCGGGAACCTGAGCTGCCATCTTGGGGACTTGAGTGAGGCTTCCCTGGGCTGGCGCCACCTGCATGGGCTGGTTCGCCTGCATGGCATGGCTCACCTGAACGGGATTGTTCGTCTGCATAGGATAGTTCGCCTGCATGGGTTGGTTCGTCTGAATGGGCTGTCTCGCCAGCATGGGATTGTTCGCGTGCGCAATCTGGGGATAGTAACGCTGCTGGCCAGAAGCCACGTAGGATCCCCCGATCGCCGGGGCAGCCAATCCCGGGGCAGCAAAGTAATTGATCTGGTTCAGCTGGTGGACGCGGTTGTCCTGATTAGTGACAGGGGCAGCCATGTGCGAGTGTGCGAGGCGCATCAGCTGAGAATCGACGGAACCCATATCGTGTTTGACGCCATGCTGCTGGGGCATGAACGTCTGGTTGGGGTCGGTCACACCATCGCGCGTAAGGGGAGACGAAGTGTGAAACCGACACATCTTGAACCACGCCTCGGGCATCTGGGGCTCCGGATCCATAGCAAGAGGCTGGTGCTGATACGCAGCAGGGTTGAAAACAACACGGCCACCAGCTTCGCCTTTTGCGGGATCGATCAGGCCGGGCGTGACTCCACGGGTGGTGTTCTGCTCGACGTCAAAACCCTCTCTCTTGACCTGACGCGTCACGGCGTTGATGGATCTCTGGGACGTCCAGTCAGCAACATTGTAGGCCAGCCGGAAGCTCTCTCTGCGCTCCTCGATGATTTCCTCGCCGATGAGGTGTCTGAATATGGGGTTCACACGGTCCATGATATCCTCGGCCTTGATGCGGCGGTCCAGACGAAACCAAGCTTCCAGTCTGAAACCTTCGACTTGAGACGAAATGCGGGGAGGGAGGGTGTAAAAGTTCTTGACCTTCTTCCCGAATATCATATGGTCTGTCGTGTGAACCTTACGGCGGGACTTCGCGTTCTCATTCTTGGGACGCAGAACATACAGGATGTCAGGCAGGTTCTCAAGACTCCAGTCGTCCTGGTCGCTGTGGCTCGAGGTGAAATCACGGGCATCGGCAGTCGCCATGTTTTTAGTAGCAGTTTCTTCGCGTTTTTCAAACATCTGGGTGTCAGGGTTGAAGTGCAGCATCGGGGTTTCAAAACGACGCTGCTTGGAGTCAGGTTTAATCCGTTTCTGTGGAGAAAGAGGGATTGTTAAGGGCTGGATACAAAGATAGAGGAGAGTTGCAGGAGTGCAGCACTTACTTCGTGCTGTTCCAAATGGTCTTCTTTCTTCGGGACCCGCGCGTTGGACTCTTCGTGGGACTCTTCGGTTTCTGATTCACCAACCGTCTCTTCATGGACTGCCACCTTTGGGAGAGGCTTTCTGCGGCTTTGACGTTTACTAGGTTTCTTGGGTTTGAGCGTGTTTCTGGTTGATTTTCTAGTGACGCGAGCCATAGTGAGGTCTCGGCGCGCACGCTCAATGTACAAAAGTAGAAGTAGATGGTTTGAACTAGGGCTTTGTTAGATGTGTAAAGGTATAGAACGTCAAAGGCTCTTTTCCTGCAGAATTTGGATGCTAAACAAGGAGTTCTTTAGAGGTCTTGTTTGTACCAAAAGTAGACAGAAGAAGAGTAGAGGGGTTGGGTCAATTTCAATATTGAGTGTATGGGTTACTATAGTTTATCGTCATGGAAATCTGCTCAACAGTAGGCCCAGCCAAATTTCTGAACAGGCACTTCAAGAACACTCCTACTCTTGCAGTCGTACGGTTCTGCAGTATGGCCATTTATTGTATGGACATTGTCTACTTGGGATAATGGTTCTTTTTCACTATAGCTATATACAGGTATAGTATGCTATAGAGAGAGAAAGACCAGTGGATAGAAGACAGGTGTAACTCCGTCTAATCGAGTGGTAAATTTCCAGACTCCCGCAAGAAGCTGGGGATTTTATCTAATAACTATTTTTCTGGTCTTTCTCTAGACCCTTGTCTCTCCTGGATAGCTATGTCATATTCGTAATATAACAGTTATAATCCTAATCTCTTTTCTGGCTGTCACTGCAAGAAACAGTCATGGTTCTTAGTCTAGGGCTTGGCCGCTCGGCTGACAGTGAATAACTTGCTACTACAACAAGATTATAGATACATTCACTAACGTTGGTATATATGCAAAGTATAGACATATTTAGCTACAATCACTAATATCAATAAGCAGATGAATTGGTGTTTTAGAAAATAGAAGATTTTAGTAATCTCTACTTTTTAGGTACCAGCAGAATATATAGAATCCCGGTACAAATTACATGGTGGGATATGTTCCTGGAGGTATACTAGAAACTATAACTTTTTTTTCTAAATTATTTTATCTTTGATTTCCATTTCTACTGATCATAAGTAGTGTATCATGACTTCTCTCTGTCAAAGAACATCATTGGACGAATTGAGTTCATGACAAAAAACATTCATGTAGATAAAACAGTATACTACCCGATTTTATTTGCTGTTCTTACAACATCACCCTCAAAAGATCAAATACCAAACCAAGACTAAAAAAGAATCCTTAACAGCTATATGTCAAGGATAAAAACTAAATCAATACCTATACTCCCCAATCACCGAGTAATTAATCCCCACTTGAACCCCCAGTACATCCATATACCAAAAATCAATGTCCACCCCCCTCCTCCGCCTCCTCCGAACAACCCCCGCGAAGGCAACAGCAAAAGCAACAGCAAAAGCCAAATCCAAAACCACCCCGGCCCAGAAACCCACCTACAGCCTCCACATCGCCTGTCACGTCAAGCCCAACGCCTCCAGCAAGCGCGAGGGCATCATCAGCGTCGGGCCCGACCGAGTCGACGTATGTGTTGCGGCGGTGCCGAAGAACGGTGAGGCTAATTCTGCCGTGGAGGGGTTATTTGCTGGGGTATTTTCGATTCTTTCTTTTGCTTTCTCATTTCTGCCTGATTATAGTCCTTGCTGGAATGGATTGTGGAGTGCTAATATGAGTGTCTAGGTATTGCAAGTCTCCAAGTCTCGCGTGGAAGTTATTCGCGGGTTGAAGTCGCGGGAGAAGACGTTATGTGTTGAGGGGGTGGATGTGGATGGGAATCCTGATGGGGAGGAGAAATTCCTATCTGATATACAGAGGGTTTTGCTAGAGGCTGTGAAATGATTTCTTTCATTATTCTGGTATCTTATATATTGTTTTGTCAAGGTAAAACGATCTGATGACAGGCGTCTGATACCGCAATCTGATAACAGATCGGACGCGACGTGACATCACGGGAATCAATCCAACCGATCATTTTTTCCGCGACAATCAGTATTCAGTATTCCTTCAGCATTCATTCATCCACCAATACAAAAACAAAAAGAAACCAAAGCAGAAGAAAAGAAAAGAGAGAAACAAATTAAGAATAACGCAAATCACAATGTCTAAGCGAAAACCCTCCGAAGCACCAGCAGCAGCAGCAACAGCAGCACCCAAAACCACCCACCTCACGTCGCGCAATCCCCCATGGACCTATCTCAAGCTCCAACTGTGCGTTTCCCCCTTCCCCCCCTCTCTCTCTTCACCATACTTTCTGAATGAAAACTAGAAGCTAAGCTAACAAAAAACAAATAAAAGAACCCACCAACCCAACACCTCCAACACCACAAAATCCCAACCCCTCGATCCTCTAACGGCCCGAACGCACCTCACCTCCGCGCTCTCCCAATTCCTCGGCCTAACGGGCACGGCTATCCCGGTCGATATACTCAAGATTACAACGCCGGGGTTGGATACAGCTGATGATAGCAGTAGTGGCAGTACCAGCCAGGAGAAGATCGTCTGGGTGCGTGTTCCGCGCGCAGACGCGACTGCTGTGGTTGATGCGCTGAGTTCGTGGATCGGTGGTGGCAGTGGTGGAGGGGGAGGGGAGGACGACGACGATGCGGTTGGGGCGGTTGCGTGGAGGGTGTGTGCTAGGGGGAATCATCTGGGGGGATTAACATGTGGGGGAGGGGAGGATTTATTCTTGTCTTGATTCATTGATATCATATTATAGAGAGGATGGTGTTTATGTGTGTATAGGAGATGGGTAATGAGATATGAAATGATTATACCAGGTCGATATTTTGGTCGATTGGTAGAGGATTAAATAATGATGAAATGAAACAAACTGGATGATATGATATGCTTAACTACGCCGTGAAGCAGAAACAGAAAAACAGAAAACGAAAGAAATCAAGAAACCAAACACCCAATTCCATGCCCGAAACACACCAATCAATGAAAAAAAACCCCACCAGCAAATGCAATTTTCACCTCGACTTCTCTTTCTTTCCAAGAGTAAACAGAAGAGGTCAAACAGACTGTTTACTCCTCATACTCCCCACGACAGTCTCCGCATCGGACGCCGTCCCACCCAACGGTCCAGAGCCATTACTCTTAGCAGTACTACTGCTATTAGTATTAGCGACGACCTTCGTGCGCAGCGCGGCACGAATCTCCTCCACGCTGCGGTCCTTCCAGTTGGAGAAGCCGGCCGTGCTGAGCGGATACAGCACGAGGTTCTCGTCGCGGGTGGCGAAGTCTTCGACGTTCGGGGGCGGCATGGCGGTGATAATGTCCAGCTCGAGGGCGATCTGGCGGCAGTAGGTGTCGAGGGGGAGGTCGTTGACGTCTTGGCCGAAGGGGTTCTCGATTTCGCTGCCGATGGTCGCGAGGCCGAGGATGATGTATGCTGCGACTGTTTTTTTATTAGTCTCTTATTGTATGCAAGTAGCATATGGATGGACAGATGGATAGAGGCGGGAAAGGGGGGGGAGATGGAGAAATACCAATTGACCCAGGAATGGTAACCCATTTCAAGGCATCGTAGAGCTGGAAAGGCAACACAAGCACGTAGATCCAGGCGATCTGGGCAATGGCGATACTGTATGCGGCTGGAAGGGGCGTATCGAGGACTCGTTCGGAGCCGGTGACAACCTCGTTCAGTGTCGCCAGGGCGCTGACTAGCGGGGGTTAATCAAATGGTGACTATCATATCGTCGCGACGGGTACTCACTGGCTTGACCCTGGTGCAAGCTGATAGTGAGAGTCTCATTGGCAATACACCGATCAATGTAAGCCGCCAGATGGTTGAGGATCTCCAGCGGGAGATGACCCAGCGGCTTCTTGGAGCGCTTGATGAGCTTGCGCGGGTTGGACTCGGCGAAGGAAACGCCCAGAGACTCGCCGAAGGCTTTCCAGGGTGTCTTCTTGGGCGGCTGTATATTGACGCGGTCGTGGGCTTCTTTGGCGAAGGTGTCGAGATGGCCGATGAGACCGGCGAGGTCATCGTAGCCGACGTCGGGTTCGAAGCGCAGCTTGTGTTTGAGGGAGATGGCGAAGGCGAGGATGAGGTTCATTGCCGTTCTATATTTAATCGTTAGGGTCTCTTCTTTGGACACTCAGGTGTGTCTGAGGAGACGAACAGCTTTCCCATCAGATCTTCCTTTCCCTGCTCGCCCGGTCGTTCAAGTGTGCTGACCCAGATGGTGCGGGCCAGGTTGCGGGAGGTCTGGATTAGCAGGGACCAGTACTTGCGGCCGTCGGCCCATCTGTAAAGTCAGTGAGTAAATATCCATTTCGTCTGCCAGAGTCACAAGTACCGTTCATATGCGGTTGAACTGCGGAACGACAGGGCCAGACCGACGACGAAACCGGTCACGGTCAGGAGGATGTTATCGATGCCGACTAGAAAGGTCAGTCATCCCAGTGTTCACTATCTCCATCCAGCAGGAGACTCACGGTTATGGAAAAAGAAGGAGATGCAAGTGATGAGGGTCGACCAAGCCGCGACAAATGTCAACGGCAGGATCATCTTCGGCATGACACTGCCGTGCATACGACAAAACGTCGGCCATTTGGAATGTTTATCCAGATCGCGCGGGCCGTGCTATAACGGTTAGACTAGGCGTTCTAACGCTCTGAAATCCCCAACCCTCCAATTGCAAACCCCCACATCATAGGAAAAGACATACAAAGTAGCGGTCCAACTCGCTGGAATTGCGACGGTCGAGCATAAACTGGGCCTCCCGCGAACTAGCTCGGAGATTGGCGAGGAAGGTCGGACGCGGCGTCAACTGGCCCTTGGGGGTCTCCTTCTCCACGTGCACGTTCGGTTGATCATGATGGACGGCGTGTGAATGATGAGTGGCCTGTACGGGAGCCGGACCGTCCCCGGCTGGAGCAGCGGGGGCCTCAGCGGGTGGTGGAGGAGCAGAATGGCTATCCATGATGAACTGATTTGGGTATACTGCTTGTCCTGGGGAATGCAGGGGATAGATCGCTAGATATAGTTTAAAAAATGGAGAAGGAGCAAAAAGAAAGAAAGACAGACAGAAAAATCCAGTGACAGAAACCAGACCAGACTAATCCGTTCCAGGATCCCAGAAGGCTCTGAAGTTACTCCGCCATGATCGGGTAACTTAGGGCTGGGGCCAATTCCAACGCGTCCGTATTAATAGGACCGCCAACGGACACTGCCGTATCTGGATCGATCTAGAACTCCTGGTTTCAGGAACCCCTTCCAGCCTGTCCTCCGTGATTCGTTCCTCAGCTTCGCCGGTGAAACACGGACATGGGTTGCGGCGAGGAAGCTTGGCTTGATTGGAGATGGTGGCCTAGGTTGAGGAACTTTGACTCCACTTAGCTTGATCCTGGGTGTTTTTTTTTTTCTTTCTTTTTCGTCAATTGAGAATTTGACAGCTGTCTGACAGGGGACAAACCCCCGAATCGATAGGTATCTGTCCATTGGCTGACACGTTGGACGGGCTTTGAGAATCAATATAAGATTAAAATTGGTGGCGCTGTAAGCGTGCCCGTCAGACTTATCAGACCAAGTTTCCAAGCCACGCTAAGTTTCAGACTCGACTGGAGGAACGGTCGACCCTGGGATGGGAATGATTGACAGGAATAAGGTTGACGGTTGATTTCCCTGATTCCCTGGTTCTCACCGTATGGGATGTTTTCAAATATCGTGGTTCATCCTTTGCTCCACCCGGAGAATATAATATAGGACGTGAATATAAATTAGCCCGATAAAAATAGACCGGATTCAGGATGGTTTGAAAGGAAGAGGTACTAGGTACTATATATAGGCATCGGCACCGCCGACGGCTCTCGCTCCATTGGGTGATCAGAGGGGAGATCTGAAAATGAACCGATCGATGCCCAGACATGGCCCCATAAATCATGAATTCATAAATTGATATATCTCCGTTAATTGCTAAATACAGCCATTTTCTAACGTCTAACCCACGCCATTGAAACGAACAAAGAAAGGGAAAAAAGCCACGAGGCTATCGAGATGAAGACAGCAGCCGTTGCTGCGCCGGCTCCGGCCCCTGTGGCTGATAAAATCTCTCCGAAGGGGATCGATAATTTGTATCCACCGAAGTCAGACGACTCATCTGCGTCGCTGGCGGGGACTCTGGGGCAATGAGTTCCTCGTCCGACCCGTGGACAGCCTTGTACGCGGCTTCCACGTCGCGCCTCGGGGGGTTCGACGTCGACGACGCTGACGGGGAAGAATAAGAAGAAGATCGGACATGCCAGGCCGCCTTGGCCCAATATTCGTTCCACACCCAGCCAGGGTGGAAGAACGTCAAGACGACGACGGCCAGAGCGATCATGGCGCCCTCCAGCACCATGTAGGTAATCTCATTGCCGGCTAGTTTGCCGTCAAACCCCTGGCTCAGCTCAACGCAGCGGAACACGGACCGGACGAAGACCGCGACGGTGGCGATTGCCAGCGCGGCGAGAAACAAGCGGAAGCTGGGAGAGCGACGCAGGGGGTCGAATTGGGCGTTGAAGCGCACGATGGGGGCGCGCTGCACTCGTAGGATGAAGTCGATGCAGAGGACCACGAACACGGCGAGACTGAGGGCTTGACACGCTAGCCCGGCGATCATGACATACGTACTGATGTCGCGGGTGCCGCTGTCGTCGGCGATGCAGGCGATGGCGCTTCCGACGGCTTGCAGGATGATGGCAATGATGTCGGCGGCGATAAAGGTGAGGGAGTAGACGCGGGGTTTAAAGACGGCGATGCGTTCGCCAAACGCGATGACGATGCGTGAGAGGCAGAGGTAGATGGCGGCGGAGACGAAAGCGGGGCCGATGGTGAGACAGACGAGATATCTATTCTATCAATACGTTTTTTTTTTCTTCTTCTACTTAACGGAGAATACCTACAGAAAAAATGTATCGGAACGGAATGGGTTGTGATGCATCCGGACCCGACCCATGTAACCCAGAATCTCGAGAAGGCAGCCGCCTAACATGGGGATCATGAAGCTCCATGTCTTATAGAAAGAACCTAGGACGAACTGCAGGAAGAAGGCGACGCCAAAGACGCCTAGGTAGAGCGAGTTACCAGAAAACGAAGGCAGGTACTGCACCCAGGCCAAGTCCAGGGGACAGGTCTCCAGTGTGCAGAGCTCCGGATGGTCGAGGAGCGTATGATTTGTTGGAAGGTCGTACATGGCGAGACTGTGCTCTGAGGGGGAAGAAGATGATGATGCTGACGGCGATTGGGGGAGAGCCTGGGTAGACTGACTTTTATAGGTACCTATCTTATCATCGTTTGGGTCAGCATCGGGCTGGTCATGTTTGATACCCCACCGTTAGCTTAAATCTAGTTTATTTGCAATGTTTGGAGGATATGATTTGTTGACTCGTACACGAACCTGCCGATTCGGAATAGATGGTGGATCTGATTGGGGGCCAAAGACGAGGCTGTGATGCGGCTGGAGCTCTAGAGCTCTATACAGCGACTAGTCTTTTGGAACATGTTGATCGTGCGTATTCGTCTAGTCTTCGGTCTATCCATCTGGATTATCAGATCTTGGGATAACAAGCTGGTTTTATCCTATCGACACAAGTTTGGACTTCTCTATACATGTTGTAAACGAATGCCTCCTTCGGACTAACACCATGCATGGAATATGAATGATTCCTAAGTTCAGCTGCCTCAGCTGCCCTGTCGTATAAATCTGCATGCTTACTCTGACCGACATTTCTACCTAACCTTTCACCATCAACAGGGGAATACGTGGTACCGGCAGGGCTCCTGGTCTTGTGGAAGGGTAGAACCACAAGGAAGCCCACTGTGCCCTACCGTTCTCAGTTTTGTTCTATCTTATTTTAGCACTGGTAGATAATAGAGCCATGAGTGTCCACTTATAAAAGCGGACAGTGGTTTTCTAATAATTTTAGCGAGAAAGCCAAGTTCCAAGTCAGGGGGCTCAAAGTGACCTGGTGGATCAGCACTGCCCGTCCGAGCATAAGCCCTAACTGTCCGGACGGTAGTCCATCTATCACTTGCTGCTCTATACAGGATGGGGCGGTTGATCCTGATTGATATTATGGTCATTGATGGGTGTGGGTATTATTATGATTATTCTTCATGATCCAACTACTCAGCATATCCAGCATATTCAAATAACTGTCAAAGTAAGACACGATGTACTCCGTAGATGAAGTTGTTATCATAGTGGGGAAGCGCGGGGCCCTGTCAGCCCCGTAGTTCGCCTTGAACTTCTTCTGGATTGGTGCGCTGTCAATTCTTCACCCTTTGCTTCTCTCGTAAATTTTTTTAAACGAATCTAAATTTCTACTCACTATCTCTTTAGACCAATTTTGCTTCGCTCTCCAGTCATTGATATTACGGCAACTAACTAACCACAACTAACGGACCCACCTCGAATTGGACCCCAACTTCCTTGAATAAGTGATGAACCCTCCAACAGTGGACTCGGTGGAGACTTCAGTGGGGTCTGAGAGGCTTGGAAATACCGACAAGAATATCATCCAATCACACCCCGCGATCAGTCGATAGTCGTGGATGGTTGACAAGCTTGTCATGGCTCATATCGCTCTAGCCCTAAAGTAGGCTGATTTGTTTGATCAAGGTCGGTCAACTCTGCATCTACCGAATGACTATGATACTAAACCATATCTTTCTACTCGGCTCGCGACGGAAAGTGACCGTCAAAAAGTAAGCCGGACGTATCGAGTCTACTTGGTGGCACAACTCGATCACTATTGCACCCCCCTTAGCGGCTGTAGTACCTATGAGGCACCATCCCGGTTACCTGCGCTTGGTTCGGCTACACGTTACTAGAAAAGGAGACGATCGATGGACTTTGTGGAAAGAAGTCTGTCTTAAGCGGACGTGTATCGCGTCCTGCAACAGGCACAAGGGTCGGCAGTACCCGGGTTCCTTGGTGCTATTGATATGAACCTGATCTACTTTCTCCACGGGGCGGGTACCACCCGGCACATGCTGCTCATGAGATGGGGTGGCAGTGGTATCGGCGAGGTGAATGAGTTGATGAAGTAGATGACGAGATCCAGCGATTGAAGAAAGATATTCGGTCCACCTCTCGGAGTGATGCATGGGTACTTGCATTCCGGTAATTACTATGGATCGACGAGTTGCAGCGGGTGCTGGTTATCGATTTCTGGCTCAACATTGAATTATGTGCTGGAGAGAGGGCAGTGCACCGGAATACCGAACGGCATTTTGGCCGGGCTTGGTATAACTGATACCCCAATATCTTCTAGGACAATCCGTACTCACCCCACCAAGCCGCCGGCAACGGTAGACCAACAACAGAGGCATATAAGAGCTATTCTTTCGCGGCTCAGAATTTAGTCTGCAGTATTTGGTACAGTGCTATTATCCTCGTAAAACGGCCCAACCGCCCATAATTCCCAACGACCCTACAATCAGGTATATCCACTGGATGGCAACGACCACCTGCTGGCGATGTCCGTAAGCGAGTGATGTTGAGACCGTGGGCCGGGCGGAGATGCTGTCTTCGTTTTGATGTTCGTTGTCGCGGTCGTCGTTGGTGGTGGGTTTTAGAACCGTGGTCATATCTGTGGAGGGAGGGATGATGGTTTGTTCTTGGAAAGGGTGTTTATTGATACTGTTTTGGTTGTTATGGTCGGTTGCTATGGGTGGTGACAGTGTCGGGTTGAGGGAGGTCGATGATGGAGAAGATATGTAGACCGGTGCGACAATGGAGCTGCTGTCGCCCCTTGCTTTGGTGAGTGGTGAACCCTGGGTACATAAGACATGTCATGGTTGGTGATACACCATTGATTCGGTTGAATCTCGCAAAAGCTAGATGGATCGCTCGAAGGAGAGTTGGATTGTTTATGACGCTGCTAAGTAGTTGAGTAGAATGGGAAAATGGATATAACTGTGTAGGCGGTGGTGTGTACAGCTAGGAGCTGAATATGGATGATGAATCTAATAGTGTAGCCAGATCATCTCATGGGGTATTTTGAGTGTAGCTGCATGGAACCCAGACTTATTCATGTTATGGATGAGGTTGACGTGTATTCTGCCCAAAACTCATAAATTGATGGTAAACCACCGCTAAGAACTCCGTGTCTAGACATAGAAAACAATCCGACCTAAACTCCTATCCGTGCATTGGGAAATTCCTCAATCCCTGGTTAATATGTGCGACGATCGGCGAGCCGGTATCGGCTATGCGGTCGTGATGGTGTATCGAATCGAACCTGGCTTGACCCAGCCCCTCACGTCTCCTCTTCGCCCGTGCTTCCGTCTCTCCTGGAGTGATCATCAGCATTGCCCTAATATTGGACCAAATCAAATGGAAGGAAAAATAATACATACGGAATGTACTTGACACCCGCCGACTCCAAGCTTGTGATAATCTCGTCGGGAAGCTGCACGCGTTAATCGTTGTCCCCTCTCAAACAGTAGACATGGTGTAGGACTCACCGATCCAGTCACCTTCACCGCGTATGTCCCAGGCACGTAACTATCCAGCCGCTGCCACCGCGCCACCCAGCTAGTCACCGGATCCCGCACCGTGACCAGCCCTTCAAAGACCTGCGAGGTGCATTCCTGGATGGCGTCGTTGTTGTTGCGGAGGCCGAGGACGTCGTCGCAGTTGGGACAGCCTTCGCGCATGAATTTCTAGAGTACGGCGACTGCGTCAGGTTCCATTTAGCGAGGGAGGGGCGGATCACTCACGCTGTGCAATTGGACGAGCGAACACACCATGCAGGCGCGCAGGGTGCGCTGCTGGCTGGGGGGGACGTAGAAGGACATGTACTAGGTTTTAAGGCGGTATTCGTGATTATTATAAGAAGAAGCAAAAGAGAAAAAGTGAAGGACTTTTCAGTAGAGAAGCGTAGTGTTGTCCAGAAGCTGACGATGTTGAGGCTGGAGAAATCGCCCCCGATCGGTTGCTGGACGGGCAAATGCCAAGCCCGGAGATTTCAACGGAGCAACAAGGCGGAAACCGGACCAGTCAAAGAGAATCTTCCATCAGCATCTCTTATTGTGAATTCCTTCATTCTTTCTGTCCGTCTACGTCCGGTTGGAGAGCGTGTGTTGATTTCCCGACTCTCTTGATTTCTGTCTGATTTACTGGTGATTTCTTCTATCTCCACTTTCTTTTTCTTTGTACGAGTTCTCCCCTCCCTTGAGAGTGAACCCCACGCTTTTCTCCCCTCATTTTGCAAACCCCTCCTTCGCCCCCGACTATTCGCAACAAATTCCACCCCATGGCTTCGCCGGATTTCGAGGCTGCCACTGCCCTTAAGGTGCAGGGCAACAAGGCCTTTGGTCAGCATGACTGGCCTACCGCCATCGACTTTTACACTCAGGCTATCGACAAATATGATCGCGAGCCGTCGTTCTTCAGCAATCGGGCTCAGGTATGTTGCGGCTCGGGACGAGCAAACCCTCTCTTTCTTGCATTTCTTTCTCTTTCCCATGGCTTAGGGATATCTGCAAATACTTACCACGATCTTGACAGTGTCACATCAAACTCGAGGCCTACGGCTTTGCTGTCGCGGACGCCACCAAGGCGTTGGAGTTGGACCCGTCCTACACCAAGGTGCGTTAAACTCGAACACCGCATGCGATGGAGCGGATGCGCTTCTACACGGGATATACTTTGGCCGGTGGACTGACCATCGGTAGGCGTACTGGAGGCGAGCGCTGGCCAACACGGCCATTCTCCACTACAAGGATGCCCTGAAGGATTTCAAGACGGTGGTGAGGAAGGAGCCCGGCAACCGTGATGCGAAGATCAAGCTGGCCGAGTGCGAGAAGCTGGTGCGCCGGTTGGAGTTTGAGAAGGCGATTGAGATCGGCGACCCGCCGTCTGCGTTTGAGGGCCTCGACATCGATTCGATGGCGGTCGACGCCAGCTACGACGGCGTGCGGATTGAGAACGAGATGACCCAGGAGTTTATCGACGATATGATCGAGCGGTTCAAGAACGGCAAGAAGATCCACCGCAAGTATGTGTTCCAGATCATCAAGGCCGTCAAGGATCTGGTGTACGCGGAGCCCACCATGGTCGAGGTTGGCGTCGAGCAGGATCGTCGCCTGACGGTGTGCGGTGACACGCATGGTGAGTTTTCTCCCACTTTTGTTTCCTGGTGAAAAAAAAAAAAAAAAAAAGCCTAATAGAACTAGGACAATTCTTCGATTTGCTCGAGATCTTCCGTCTCAACGGATACCCCACCGATACGCACGCTTACCTGTTCAACGGTGATTTCGTGGACCGCGGCTCGTGGTCTACGGAGATTGCCCTTCTCCTCTACGCCTACAAGTGGCTGCGTCCCAACGGTATTTTCCTCAATCGCGGCAACCACGAGACGGACGACATGAACAAGGTGTATGGATTTGAAGGCGAGTGTCGGGCCAAGTACAACGAAACAGTCTTCAAGGTCTTCTCGGAATCCTTCTCCGCCCTGCCCCTGGCCACGTTGATCGGCGACAAATATCTCGTCCTCCACGGCGGTCTCTTCTCCGACGACAAGATCACCCTGGACGACATCCGGAAGCTGAACCGTCACAACCAGCGGCAGCCGGGCCAGCAGGGGTTGATGATGGAGATGCTCTGGACCGACCCGCAGACGGAACCCGGTCGCGGACCCAGCAAGCGCGGCGTTGGCCTGCAGTTTGGCCCCGACATCACCAAGCGGTTCTGCGAGAACAACGGGCTGGAGGCCATCATCCGCTCGCACGAGGTTCGCATGGAGGGGTACGAGGTGGAGCACGACGGGCGGTGTATCACGGTGTTCTCGGCGCCCAAGTATTGCGACTCGACGGAGAACAAGGGCGCGTTCATCAAGATCGGACCGGAGCTTAAGCTGGAGTACCAGGTCTTCGATGCGGTGCCGCACCCGGACATCAAGCCGATGGTGAGTCTCGCTTCAACATTCGTGTCCAGCCGATGCTAATCTGTCTTCCTCTAGGCCTACGCACAGAACTCGATCATGTCCGGTACGATGTGAGGGATTATCATATCTCTTCGACTATATTTTTCTTTTCTTTTTTTGTCCCATCCTTTTGCCTTCTCTATGCCCTAGGCGCATTCGTGGGCGATCCAGCAGCGAGGCAGAGGATTTCTGGACTAGAGTTCCACACGCTGGCATAACGCGCCTACCTAGTAGATAGACCGATACCCTGGCGTAGGAAAATGGGAAAAGCGATCTTGGAGTAGATGTCTTGTCTTGGGATACGGGATACCCGAGCGCTGCATGTTATGTATTGAATCACGATGGGAGGACGATGGCACGTTTTGCATAGCGAATTCGATATCTTTCCAGACGTATTGTTTTGTTTTGTTGTGATTGTTATTTTATTTTGTTACCTGGAGTAGTCAGTATTTCTTCGGTTGAAATTGAGTCCGATCTATAATCCGGCTTGAAGGTTGCCAGTTGTTGATCTGTAGGAAAATCTTGTATTCCACTACTTATCCACCTTGCACTTCTTCTCATCGCTGTCTTTCCCCCCTCTATCTATCGATCCTCTCTCCTCTTCCCAATTTTCCAACCTTCTCTCCCACCCATAAAAAATCTTACTATTCCCACAATGGACTCCGACGGTCAGTGCAGTGTCGTCATGCCCCTCCTCCCCCACTCCCGCTCACCAACAGACCGCAGCGCCAGACCCCGCCAACCGTTCCAAATCAGCCATGATGTCCGCGCATGAACGGTGGCCGATAATCCTCGTACGATATAGTCCCTCCCTTTCTGTGATAAACAACTAACTTATGTCCGCAGACCGGTGCCATTAATGACCTCCACCGCAGCGTCGGAGACGCCACGGGGGAGGACCGGTGCAGAGAGGGTAAGACAATCATCGGGGCGCTGGGAGCCTTGAAGTATGAGTTACAGCATAATCGACGGATGATGTATGTTTTTTTTTAAAACTCCTAATCGACGAAGAAAAAGAAAGAATAAGACGAAAGAAAGAAGAAAGACATCTTAATAATTGTTGGTCCAGACCCCTCGACGATGATGATGATAATGACGAACCCGCGATCGCGGCATCCAAGCAAGAGCTCCAGCAGCGGGGATATCCCGCCTGGTATGATGCGCCGTGGCTCTTCGCCGAATGTTACCTGTGTGCGTTGAACTAGTCCCCCCACCGACGTCCGACGTCAGAGATCAGACATCAGACGTCAGAGTCAGAGTCAGATTGTCCAAGCGATCATGATCATCAAAAATAAGGATCATCATAATAACAAGGTACAAAATGGAATCAAACAGACCGGCGCATGAGCACCCTGTTCGCCAAGTCCCAACACTGGCAAGACTACGAGGTGTTTGCGCCGCAGAAACTAGCATCGTTTCAATCCGCTCAACCGGCAGTTGTCGAGCTGGCCATCCGGGACCAGGACCAGGAACATCGGCAGCTAGCGGCAGTCGACACGAGGGCAGACAACGACGAGGGGATGAGGAGGAGCCCCGGACAGGCGGAGAAGTTGCTGCTGCTGGGGATTGCCACTGTGTCTAACGACGGACAGGGATCCTTCTGCACGCCAGAAGCAGTCGACCAGGTCGGCTACGGTCATCCCCCGCTTTCTGAAAGGGAGTTGGGTGCTGTACGGTTTCTCTTTGGGCGGTGGAATCGACTTCGATGAGATTCTCCTCCTATCAACGGCTCTGAAGAGTTGACTTGTCTTACTTTGGATTGGCCTTTTTTTTATAGGTAGGATTATATGTGTCTATACAATTCTTTCACAATATTCCATAATATTTCTCAATATATTCATACTTATTTTTTTCCAGCACTCCGTATAAGATAGTTCTTTATCATTATTGAATTTATAGGTATTTCTATCATATTCTATATAATTTCATAATATTTGGGAAGTCTGAAATCCATAATCTGACCCAAATAAGATGAAGGACTATTTTAGCCCAGTGTGGAGAGCGTCGGTCTGGGGTGATTTTTCTCTCGTGTTCGGTCCGCCACTCCAGACTCCTCCAGACAATTAATTTAGCTTCAACAAACCCTGCAAGTCTCTCACCACAAACGAGCTATCCTAATCTCTTTTCTCATCTCCCCCTCTCCTGATCGGTATTGCTTCCTGACCAAAAACATGTAATACAAAAAGTCCAGGCAAAGGTTATATTACCTCCGCTATCCACTATCCACTTTTTTTCTTGCCTAGTCTTTCTCTTCTTTTCCCTTTTCCCCTTCTCCCACGATCGACAACTGACAACTTCAACTTCCCACTACCAACCATCCTTCTACTCCACCAGTACAACCCCCATTCCCTGCCCTTGGGGCCTTGCGGCCCCCGTCTCCGAGAACTACTAATATCCACATCAACTTTAACCTCAATCTGTCAACCCTCGGAGCCTCGTCCGAGTGCCCCATATGGACGACTAGTTTCACCCCGTGTCGTGACTACCGCAAATCCACTGAGGATGTCGATATCCTCTCTCTCTCATTTCGCCAATTCCTTCTCTCCTTTCGCCTCTCCCTACGTCACCAGGATGTCTCGTTCCCAGACGGTCGGCCTCGATACGCTGGCCGAGGGTTCGCAGTATGCCCTGGAGCAGCTGCAGCTGTCACGTGAGGCCGGTGGGGTCGCGCCGAATGACCCCACGGCGTCCTTACGATCCTCCTCCAAAGATCTGTCTCTGTATGGAGATGAGAATCAGGGTCAGAATGACCCCAACCTCCAGAACGCCCTTCGGGCCTCCCTGTCCGCCGGGAAATCGTCCACCCCACGAGATCCCTTGGCTGAGGCTCGCTCCGCTATTCGCAAGAACTCAGCCTCCGCCCCCGTGCGGAGGCGAATCAGTCGCGCCTGTGACCAGTGTAACCAGTTGCGTACCAAATGCGACGGTCAGAATCCATGTGCCCATTGTCTTGGTATGCATATCCCCCTAACTACATAACACCCCACGTGCGTTGTACTCATGATATTCCGAGCAGAGTTTGGATTAACCTGCGAATATGCGCGAGAACGGAAGAAGCGGGGGAAAGCGTCTAAGAAAGATCTCGCCGTCGCTGCGGGTACCATCGGCTCCGATCCCTCGAATGGCCAGACCCCTCCAGACCACTCGTCGCACGAGGGGCAGGGACGGTATGATCCGGCCTTCGACGTCGCCCGCACCCTCTCGGCACCCACGCAATCGCAATTGGCCCACGGGGACCTGTCCGGTCCGATGGTGGGTGTGCAGAATGCGCAGTCCCATTCGCAGGCACCCTTGGGACCTAGCATCGACGCTCTACAGCTGAACCACCTGTCCGCGATGAGCGACTCGAACCGTCCCCCCCTGTCCGTGCCCGATCTCCGATCACTCCAGATGCTGCAGTCGGCTAGCACCACCACGCGGTCCCCGCCCGCCAGTCAAGGGTTGAACCCCGGCTATCACGACGGCGCGTACGCGCTGGTGAACCCGCACGAATCGAATGCTACCTCCCTCCAGCAGTTCCGACTCGGCGGCCACGCCAGCGACCAGCACCAGCAGGCCCCGTTTATGGGCCTGTCGCCGCAGGGCCAATCCCCGAGTTGGCTCCCACTTCCATCCCCGTCCCCCGCCAACTTCCCCTCGTTCACCATGCCTCCCTTCCCCACGTTACGCTACCCCGTCCTACAGCCGGTCTTGCCACACATCGCGTCCATCATCCCCCAGTCCTTGGCCTGTGATCTGCTGGATGTCTATTTCTCCAGTTTTTCGCCCTCACACCTGTCGCCTCAGTCCCCCTACGTGGTGGCCTACATCTTCCGGAAGCAGTCCTTTCTGCACCCCACCGAACCGCGCGCCTGCAGCCCCGCCCTTTTGGCGAGCATGCTCTGGGTCGCCGCCCAGACTAGCGAGGCCGCGTTCCTGACCTCGCCTCCGTCCGCGCGGGGGCGGGTCTGCCAGAAACTGCTGGAGCTGACGGTCGGCCTGCTGCGCCCACTGATCCACGGGCCCGCCCCCGGGGAGGCATCGCCCAACTACGCCGCCAACATGGTCATCAACGGTGTGGCTCTCGGCGGCTTTGGGGTGTCGATGGATCAGCTAGGCGCCCAGAGCAGCGCCACGGCCGTCGTGGACGACGTCGCCACCTACGTGCACCTGGCCACCGTGGTCTCCGCCAGCGAGTACAAGTCCGCCAGCATGCGGTGGTGGACGGCCGCGTGGGCCCTCGCCCGCGAGCTGAAACTGGGTCGGGAGCTGCCGCCCAACTCGCCGCCCCCGCCGCCGGCGGATGGCGACCCGGACGGCGATCTCGACGCCAATGACCCGGCGAAGCGCAACCTGCCTTCGCTCTTGACCTCGGTCGGCGGCGGCGGCGGCGGCAGCGGCGGCGGCAATTCAGCCGTCACCGTGACCGAGGAGCGCCGTGAGGAGCGCCGGCGCCTTTGGTGGCTGCTCTTCGCCACAGACCGTCACCTGGCCCTCTGCTACAACCGGCCCCTCACACTCCTGGACACCGAGTGCTCGGGCTTGCTGCAGCCGATGAACGACGACCTGTGGCAAACGGGCGACTTCGCGGGCGCCAGCTACCGGTCGGTCGGCCCGCCGCTCGAGTGCTCGGGTCACAGCGTGTTCGGCTACTTCCTGCCGCTCATGACCATCCTCGGCGGGATCGTCGACCTGCACCAGGCCAAGGAGCACCCCCGGTTCGGATTGGGTTTCCGGACCAGCTCCGAGTGCGAGCGCCAGCTGCTGGAGATCACCCGGCAGCTAGACACCTACGGGCAGAGCCTGAAAGAGTTCGATGCCCGCTTCACCAGTAGCCTCGCCCTGGGCACCGTCGAGACTGAGGCCGCGCTGGAGGGCTCGCACCTCGACCATGTGAGCCCCGAAGGCCGGTCCGGGAGCCACCTGGGGTCCCGCGTGCACGAGTCCATCGTGCACACCAAGATGGTGGTCGCCTACGGGACGCACATCATGCACGTGCTGTACATACTCTTAGCCGGCAAGTGGGATCCCATCAACCTGCTGGAGGACCACGACCTTTGGATCTCGTCCGAGTCCTTCATCTCGGCCATGAGCCACGCCGTGGGCGCCGCCGAGGCAGCCGCCGACATTCTGGAATACGACCCGGATCTCAGTTTCATGCCGTTCTTCTTCGGCATCTACCTGCTGCAGGGCAGCTTTTTGCTGCTGTTGGCGGCCGACAAGCTGCAAGGGGGAGCCAGCCCCAGCGTCGTGCGCGCCTGCGAGACTATCGTCCGGGCTCACGAGGCATGCGTTGTGACATTGAATACCGAGTATCAGGTTCGTCTTCCTTTTTCTCCCCTGAATATAACCAAGTTACTGACCCTTCCCAGAGAACCTTCCGCAAGGTCATGCGGTCAGCGCTCGCGCAGGTGCGCGGACGCGTGCCGGAAGATTTCGGCGAGCAACAGCAGCGCAGGCGGGAAGTGCTGGCTCTCTACCGCTGGACGGGCGATGGCAGCGGACTCGCCCTGTGAGGCGAGCCGTGCGATTGGCGCTTGAAGATCTATATATGCCTACCTTACCTTACCTAGCGGGATACTGGCATTATGACGATGTGATGTGCATTGAACGACCCATTTTGATTGATCGACCGCGAGGGACTCTACAGCCTGGGGTTGGGGAGTTTTGCGGTGGACCGATTTTGACTTACCTCTCTTGATTTGATTTACCTTTTCTTCTAGCTTTCCTTGCTCGATTCATATCTTATTCTCATGGTCCTTTGGCCTGTGGCATCTTGGATTGTTCGCTGCGCGGTGCATTGGTAGCACCTATGTGGCTGTTGCCACTTTCTGTACATTATTTTCTTTTTGTATATGAATCGATACCCATTCTGATATTACACATCTCTCTTGACTCGTCTATCTATCTATTATCTGAACCGCCGTTTATTAATAATGCTCGAAGATGATTGATTGAGAGTGCTGACTCATCGGTCTCATGCCGTGACGCACTGGTTAATCTGTCACTTCCCTCCATTTCCTCTTCAACAGCAACCTGACTATTCCTGTCGTTCCTGTTCTCCATCCGAGAATCAGACCAGACCGTGACCGTAACACGACATGGGTTGACTCCATCCCACCAGCGTCAGTACCTACATAGTACACCATGACCACACTCCAACGACCCCTGCGATTCGCTTCCCCCCGCCTTCTAGCGCGGTCCTTCCCACCCCGTATACTCCCCTCGTACACTCCCAAGCGGTTCGTAGGCATCCCGCCAGCCTACCTCCTAGATGACTACATCCCGCGCTACCACATGCTCAGCTCGATCGACGCCGCAAAGAAGCGATCCCAGGCCTACGCGCACCTCCGCAACTGCAACCTGTGTCCCCGGCTCTGCGGGGTCAACCGGTACGAGACGACGGGGGTGTGTCTGATCGGGGCTGAGACGGCCAAGGTAAACGTCATTGCTCCTCATCGAGGCGAGGAACCTTGTCTTCAGGGGTTTCATGGGAGTGGGTCTGTGTTTTTTTCGGGGTGTAATTTGCGGTGTGTGTTTTGTCAGAATCATGTATGCTGTCTTCCCTCAACTAGTATTTTCTTTTGATTGATTGGTTGATTGCTTACTGGCCGTCAGGATATCTCGCATCAACGCAACGGGTTCGATTTGACACCAGAGGAACTAGCAGACTGGTACCTGAAGCTGCAGGACGTAGGCAACGTGCACAACATCAACCTCGTCACGCCCGAGCACGTAGTCCCGCAAGTGGCGCTCTCGATCCTAGCCGCGCGGGACATGGGTCTCAAGATCCCGATCGTCTACAACACGTCGTCGTTCGACTCGCTAGCGTCACTAGCGCTGCTAGACGGGCTAGTAGACATCTACCTAGCGGACTTCAAGGTATGGAAGAACAGCACGTCGAAGCGACTGCTCAAGGCAGAAAACTACACCGCGACAGCCATGGAGAGCGTCAAAGCCATGCAGCAGCAGGTCGGCGACCTGAGCTTCACGTCTGACGGCATCGCCAAGAAGGGCGTCCTGCTCCGCCACCTGGTCATGCCGGGGAAGGAAGACGAGGGCCGTGAGATCATGCGCTGGCTGGCTGAGAATGTCTCCAAGGATATGTACGTGCATATCATGGAGCAGTACCATCCGGATGCGCATGTAGGGAAGAAGAAAAAGCGCCGCACCTCGAATCAGGACGACCCTGGTGAGCAGTCTTCGCCCCCCTCAGACGTCCGCTACGCAGAGATCAACCGTGCCGTGCGCGACGACGAGCTCGGCTCCGTCCGAGACGCCGCCGTGGCAGCGGGGTTGTGGCGCTTCTGCGAAGCCAACGAGCACCAAAGCATGTTTCACCTATGATTACGACGACGTCATCATCACTCCGGCAGATCCGGGTGTTGGTTCTCGGCTGAACGGGCCCGTCCAGTGCTGGGGTGGTGGGGAATAGACAGGCTAGTCTCATCCGGTAGCTGGTCATCTCGCAGGATGCGAGCAGCGAGCCTGATCGACCGGGATATCGATCCTGCGTGGCCGCGTGGCGTACAGTGCGGGGGAGGTTTTTTTCTTCTTTAAGATCTATAGGGGCCCGTTCCTGGATCGTATTGGGGGGGGAAGGCAGGGCTAGATGTGCCGGATGGTCAGGGTCCATGGGGTGTTTAGGCTGAATGGCCGGGTATTCCTTGGTGTGTGTGCCTGACTGTCTGTGCTTGAGGACTTGCTGCCTTATGACGGCTAGGCTTGTTTAGTTCTGATTCGTTTCATAGTTCGTGATGTTGTGGGTGTTGTGGGTTCTGATGTGGGGATGTCGATGAGGGCTGTACATGTACATTGTACAGGGTATTTTCCGGAAGGATTGGTATAAGTTATCAAGGCGGATTGTTATAGACACGATATTTGATAGAATCTCATACCATTGATCATTTACACCACACCTATCTCAATTTTCTAGAATAGGTATAACTGCCCACCTCATTAACTGGGTTGATTCTTCCACAGGCTCAATCTGACATGCACCAATCCACTCCTATCTCGTCTTTTTGTAAAAGGAAAACATACTATTTCCTTAATCTCCACTAGGTTTCGAATCTGCAGCCACTCGAGTATTTAGAAAGGTATCAAATTGAGGAATTGTTCACCGGGTTCAATATTCACAATTATCACAAAAACAGAATAGAACTATACCACTCGGGTATAAAAAGAGATCATGATACTTGTGGCTTTGTGATTAACATGATGTTCAGTTGATAACCAGGGCTGAACAAACAGGACAAACTAATACAACAGCACAAACTAATACAACATCACAAACTAATCCAACATCACAAACTAATCCAACAGCACAAACTGACAAACTAAACAAACTAAGCAAATAGACAAACTAACACTGCAATACAAACAAGGTAAACAAGATAAACTAGACATACTGTACAAACAGACAAACAAGACAAACAAGCGACGACGTCACATCGAGCATCATCCCATCCGGACAGCCAACCATCGTCACCGCATGCGGCCATCTCCCCTCCGCTCCGGAATTCCACGGTACCTGGGTTGACAAAATGAATCCAGAACCTGGCATGGGCTGTCAGGTCACTGCCAGAGTATCCATCTCCCCCTCAGTGATCGTCCAATCAATCTCGGTCATGGTGGGGTGCTGTTTGCAAACTGACACAGTAGGCTCCTACCCATGGCAGCCACTCCAGGAACAACAAGCTTCCATGGGAATCCATCCACCTCGATCAGTGATGGTGATGTAGTGGTGATGGGAGTTCTTTGTTCCCATTGTGAAAACCATAGCTGACATACTTGATTTATTATCTTAGGGAGGGCCCAATCTCGTTCATCCTCTCCTCTGCAACTTCCTTGCAGGACCATACTTCTTGGTTAATTTTATTTTTTATATTTTTTAAAAATACGATTTACTTCACTGCATACGCTATATGTGACCTGTCCTCTACCTCCAGACTACTCTCCACATCCCCTTCGTGTTTAATACATTACCCCTCTTTCAACATTCCCGAGGAAAGCGTTCTTTGCTTTTTGCGGCGCTCTGATTGTTCCTATAAAGAGCGCGACTATATTCACATCCGGGCTGTCTTTTCTCGCCTGCGTTGTTACTTATTTAGAATTGACCCTTTCTATTGTAATTCGATCTGATTATTCAATTCTCAACCAAGATGTCGCCATTGGCGGTTCCGACAGGGACGGTCGAGATTGTGAATATCCATCAAAATGACGTGGGGTATTCCTTAGTGAACGATATCCGCAACGGTCTTAACCCCCCCGCCGGGTCCCCGCGTTCCATGCCCACCATGCTGCTGTACGACGCCCAAGGCCTGAAGCTGTTTGAGGAGATTACCTACCAGGACGAATACTACTTGACCAACGCCGAGATTGAGGTGTTGGAGACCCATGCCAAGAGGATCGTCGAATACATCCCCAACAAGGCACAGATACTTGAGCTAGGTAGTGGGTATGTCGATCTCCACAACTTATGGAAGCATCAATTCCATGGACTCAACCTCTCAAAGGACATGCTGACAGGCTAGAAACCTCCGGAAAATTGAGATCTTGCTACGGGAGCTGGAACGCGTAGGCAAAGACGTGGACTACTACGCCCTGGACCTCTCCCTGTCGGAACTCCAGCGCACGTTCGCCGAGGTCTCCGTGGACCGCTACCAACATGTTCGCTTGCACGGGCTACACGGAACTTACGACGATGCCTTGGAGTGGCTGGGGCCCCCGGAGTCCCGGTCTCGTCCCGCGGTCATCCTGTCGATGGGGTCGTCGTTGGGCAATTTCAGTCGTCCCGAGGCCGCGGGGTTTTTGGCGCAATTCGCAAAGCTGCTAGGCCCCGCCGACCACATGGCCATCGGTCTGGATTCGTGCGAGGACCCCGATCGAGTTTATAAAGCGTACAATGACACCAAGGGCGTGACGCGACAGTTCTACGAGAATGGGCTGGCGCATGCGAACGCCGTCCTCGGACACGAGGCCTTCAAGCCGGGAGAGTGGGACGTGGTGACGGAGTATGACCCTGTCGGGGGACGGCACCAGGCGTTTTACTCGCCCAAGAAGGACATGGTCATCGAGGGTGCTCATCTGCGCAAGGGCGAAAGGCTGGTCTTCGAGGAGGCGTTCAAGTATTCCGCGCAGCAGCGCGAAGATTTGTGGCGCAGTGCGAACTTGGTTTTGGGTACGGAGTTTGGGAATGGATCCGGCGAGTACCGTGAGTCCTCTCTTTCTTGACTAACGTCTATCCTACTAGTGACAGATATAGAGCCCCAGCTGACGGTACAGATATCCACCTCTTGTCATCCGCTGCGTTCCGCTTCCCGACCTCTGTGTCGGAGTATGCCCCCAGCGCTGTACCCACCCTGAAAGAGTGGGAGTCCCTGTGGACGGCATGGGATGTGGCGACCAAATCGATGGTACCCCGAGAGGAACTTCTGTCCAAACCGATCAAACTGCGAAACGCACTTATCTTCTACCTTGGGCACATTCCCACGTTTTTGGGTTGGTCTCCTTGAGCCTGACCCCCTCGCCCTCGCCAATGGTCATGGTGTGCGTGTGCTAATTGGCGGCAGACATCCACTTGACCCGTGCTCTCTCAGGGAAGCCCACCGAGCCCAGATCTTACCAGCAGATCTTTGAGCGGGGGATCGACCCCGACGTAGACAACCCGGAACAGTGCCATAAGCACAGTGAGATTCCCGACGAGTGGCCGCCGCTGGGTGAGATCCTGGACTACCAGAACCGCGTCCGGAGTCGCGTGAGGGCCGTCTGTCAACGGGACGACCTTGGGCAGAACCGGTCCTTGGGGGAGGCGCTGTGGATCGGGTTCGAGCATGAAGCCATGCATCTCGAAACATTCCTCTACATGCTGCTCCAGAGTGACAGAACGCTCGCCCCCGCTGGTGTCGAGCGGCCGGACTTTCAGCAGATATTCGACCACGCGCGGAAGCACGCCAAAGCGAACGAGTGGTTTACCGTTCCGGAACGGACGCTCGCCATTGGGCTTGACGATGACGGGAGCTCGGTTCCGCCAGTCTCATTCGGGTGGGACAATGAGAAGCCGGAGCGGACGGTCACCGTGGCGGCGTTTGAAGCGCGCGCGCAGCCCATCACCAACAGCGACTATTTCCAGTATCTGCAGGCTAATCCGCACCGCCGCCCGCCCGCGTCGTGGACCCTCGCCCATACGGATGGCCCGGATTCGATGTCCCGGTTCGCCGTCCGCACGCTGTTCGGGCCGGTTCCTCTGGATCTCGCGCAGGACTGGCCGTTGATCGCATCGTATGAGGAGCTTGACGGGTATGCGCAGTCAGTGAAGTGTCGGATTCCGACGATGGAGGAAGTCCGGAGTATTTACGTGCACGCGGCAGCATTGCAGACAGAGGGGAGGGGACATATCAATGGGACAGGAAATGGGGAAGTCAACGGAACGGGAATTAAGGAAGTCAACGGAAATGGATTCAAGGAAGTCAACGGGAATGGATTGAAGGAAGTCAACGGAAACGGAGTCCATGGGAATGGAAATAGCCATTCGAAGATCAACCCCACCCGACCTCGGTCGCCGGACCACCAGCCTGTTCAACCCATTTCGCGAGAGGGGCTGCCAGTGTACGTGGAACTCAACGGACACAACGTTGGATTCCAGCACTGGCACCCTACCCCGGTGATCGCGCAGGGCGATCGACTGGCGGGACAGGGGGATTTCGGAGGGGTGTGGGAGTGGACGAGCACGGCGTTGGCTGCGCATGAGGGATTCCGCGCGATGGAGATATATCCAGGATATACCTGTATTTTCCCTTTATCTTTTTTCGATCGATTGAGTACTGACGTGAACAGCGGACTTCTTCGACGGAAAGCACCACGTTGTCCTGGGTGGATCATGGGCGACGCACCCGCGGATCGCCGGACGGAGCACATTGTATGTATTCGCACTTCATACCCCAGTGTATACCAAAGCTAACAATTTAGCGTGAACTGGTACCAAACCAACTATCCTTACGCATGGGCCGGGGGACGATTAGTGCGGGACGTGTGATTAGACACCACACCTACCTAGATAGTCAACATCAAGTTTGACCAGAGCTATTTATCCATTCCCCGTTGTAGAAAGTAGATTGTAGCAGAGTACCGTGGGACTTCTTCCCACGAGAGTAGTGATCCACCATCGTCAACGTCTAATTGGGCTGAAAAACCATCCGCTGAGCCGTGCGGGACTTGAAAACAAGGGAAGTAAAGGGAACAAAAACGGGGTGGGATGAATTGACGTCATTGGCTTTTTTTAGTATAGTATAAGTGTCACCACCCTTAACCATACTCTCTCATTCATTCTACAAACCAACTCAATCAAGACCATTTAACCAACTCTCACCAATTGACACCATAGAAAAAACCAGTCTTCCGATCTAGATAAGAAAAAGAAAAGAAAGAAAAAAAAAGAAAGACCCATAATGTCTGTCGAAAACATAACGACCATCTCGCCCAAGAGCGGCCGTCCCGTCATGTCCCGCACAGGAATCACCTCCGAAGATCTCCACAAAGTAACCACCGACGCACAGACCGCCTTCCAAAGCTACCACACCTCGACGAACCTGCACGCGCGCCAGCAGATCGTGGCGCGGGCGCTCGATCTGCTGATGCAGCGCAAGGAGGAGCTCGCGTACGAGATCACGGAGCAGATGGGGCGGCCGATCGCGTACAGCGGGGTCGAGATCATGACTGCTGTGAAGCGCGGGCGGTACTTGAATGAGATCAGTGGGGGGGTCTTGGGGGGTGATGGGGGGGTTGTTTTTGATAATACTGATGAGAAGGATAAGGAGAGGGCGAGTAGGGAGAAGGAGGGGGAGGAGGGGGAGGATGGGGTGAGGAAGGTCATTAAGAAGAGGGCTGTTGGGGTGGTGTTGGTTGTTTTTGGGTGGAATGTTTGTTCTCCCTTCTCTTTTTTTCACTTTTTTTTTGATCTTTTTTTTACATGGATTGGGTTGATAATAATATGTGCAGTACCCCTACCTCGTCCTCATCAACAGCCTCATCCCCGCCCTGCTCGCGGGCAACGCAGTCATCATGAAGCCCTCGCCGCAAACTCCCACAGTCGTGGAGCAGATAGTCGGGGCATTCGCCGAAGCCGGACTCCCGCAGAACGTGCTCCAATACGCCCACTGCGGAAACCCCAAGCTCCTCGAAGACCTAATGCGGTCCCCGCAGGTGAACCACATCTGCTTCACGGGTTCCGTCGCCGGCGGTCTGGCCGTACAGCAGGCAGCCTCGGAGCGAATCGTCGACGTGGGGCTCGAACTCGGCGGCAAAGACGCCGCATACGTCCGCCCCGACGTGAACGTCGCGTGGGCCGCAGCGGAGATCGTCGACGGGGCGATCTTCAACAGCGGGCAGAGCTGCTGCGCGATCGAGCGGGTGTACGTGCACAAGGACATCCGGGAGCAGTTCATCGCGGAGGTGAAGCGCGTGCTGAGCAACTACCGGGTGGGCGACCCGTTCGAGAAAGACACGCAGATCGGGCCGGTTGTGTCGTCGCGCGCGAAGGAGGTCATTCAGCGGCAGATTGACGAGGCTGTTAAGGCGGGTGCGCTGGACGAGACGCCTGATGATAATGACAGTTTCAAGAATATGCCGCCGGAGGGGAACTTTGTGCGCCCGACGCTGCTGACGGGCGTGACGCATGAGATGGCTGTCATGAGGGAGGAGACGTTTGGGCCGGTAATTCCTGTTATGGGGGTTGATGGGGATGAGGAGGCTATTGAGTTGATCAATGATAGTGAGTTTGGGTTGTCGGCGAGCGTGTGGACGAAGGATGTTGCCGGTGCGGAGAAGTTGATCGAGAGGATCGAGGCCGGGACGGTGTTTATCAATCGGGCGGATTATCCTGCGCCGGTGAGTTCCCTTGTTCTTCTGATATACGCTCTTTATAGGATGAAGCTAATGATGCAGGATCTGGCATGGACGGGATGGAAGAACTCTGGACGAGGCGTCACGCTGAGTCAGTTTGGATTTGACCAGTTTGTGAAGCTGCAGAGTTATCATATTCGCGAGTGTCCTGAGACTTGATATTAATAATTATATTATCTTATCTTATTGTCTGTTTCATATTATGAGGTGTGCAGTCAAGGCGTCGAATGACGGGGCAGATGTACATGATGGATGGGATGAGACGATGCGTTGGCAGGGACGCCGCCGTGTACGCAACCAGATGAGTAATCTCTATATATATCTTTCTATATAAGAAATAAATAGAATAAAATAGAATAAAGTAGAGTGAGATCCATGAATAAGAAATGAACAAGAATGATTGTCCATACCAAGGAGGAAGAATGTATTTGGCAAACAAGGCGGCCAGCCCAGCAACATTCCGATATCCCATTCCCCCTTCAGTCTAGGTACATGTCATACAGCTCGGCTTTTTTAGAAGGGAGGGATTAGCATACTACGTAAGATGATAAACTAGAATAAAGTATATTAGAATAAATAGAACAAAATATAAAAAATATCTGTATGAAAAAATAGATGGAGAACAACACCATCATGCAAGGGACAGCCACTCAGTACTCTTCTGCATTTGTGGGTCTAGACTATGCCACTTTATGTAGGGGGTTCTACAAACATACTTACATACTTGTCAGTGGTGAGTTGGCTTCTTATCTGAGGCGAATGTTCATAATTCTATGAAGAATGGGAAATGTTGCTGGTTTCTGGTTCATCTTTTCCATTCTTTTTCTATTCCTCTTTTGTTTCGTCTTCTCTTCTTGACTTGACTTGAGTTTCGAGTAGGTAGGTGAATTCCGTTTATAGTAGATGGTAGATGTAAAGTATAGTTAGGATAGGTTAAGTGCTGTAACAGCAATATCCATAGGGCATGACACGTCTGACGCTGCTTCGCCTCGCTTGGCGTGTCCAGACCATGTCAGGTACAGTTGGACAAGAATTCAGGCACCTGCATGGAATCTTCGCAGGGGTGCGTTAGTGGCCTGCCAACTCTTGAAATTAGCTGACGTAGTCAATCATATACGGAGTACAATTCTCTGTATACCATCTTACTATCCCAAGTTGTACGGAGCACTCCGTGGAGGAATACCGTTGTACAATACCGTTGTAGATCCCCATATGAGAGGTTCGACACACTCTCCCCAAAAAGATGATCAAACCAGGGGCGTCCGTCTGACCCGCTAGGGGGGCACAGAAATATCCAGAATGTGTCACATAACGTGGTCGCCGTCCCTTACGCAGCGAACCAGACCATAGAGGGAGGGAGCCTCAGGGGGGGAGCCGCAGAGACAGGCTGTCTTTTTCGTTCCTTTGCGTGCCACGGAATCCAGCCGAGCCAGCCCAGTTGCCCTGCATTGCACGGGTCAGAGAAAGCCGTTGCTCAATAATGTAGTCCTTGAATTAGTTATCAAGGAGTACGTAGACTCCGGAAGAGAAAAGGAAGAGAGTGGCTGACCTGCAGGTCGGTATATATCCTTGCAGACTCCTCGACGTCAAACCCGTCTGATTCTCTCTCTTCTTTGTTTCTTTCTCTTCCCATCCTCCAACCAGTGCGTCAATGCCATAGAGCGGTCGCCAGTCCTTCTTTTGACATTCATTCCTTCTTGCTCTTTTTGTCCTTTTTTGCTTTTCTTTTTCTGCATTTGATTTCTTTCTTTTCCCCCTTTGGGATCGGTGGTTTCATTCGTTGACCGCCTCTCAAGCTTCTGCTTCACTTTATTATCTATTATATTGTTTTTTTAATACCTCTCGTCTCACCCCATTCGAGTGCTTCGTGGCCCGCTTGGTTCTCCTCGTCTTCTGGTTTCGGTCCTGGTTGTATATAGACCGAACAGAGACACTCCACACACTCCTTCGGACCGGCGGTTCTGCATCGTTTCATCAACATTTATCGGTTTATAATCTCAACCTCGTTTCAATCTTCATATTCATCCTCCTCTCTTCCGACGCAAGAATGGAATGTTTCCGGCAGATCGCTCGACTGGTCAAGTCCCCCTTTCAGCGCGACTCGCACCGCCCGCTGGAGATCGTGAGTCCTTGTCCTCCCAGGCTTCCAGGCTTCCAGGTATCCCAGAATAGAACTAACCCTGTGTACAGGGTCCTCCGACCAACTTTCGAAAGGAGGAACTGCCCACGTTCTTCTCTGACGCAGAGGATGAGTGAGTCCTTCCATATAGATATATGTTGAACCCATCTAACTTCTCAGCGCTGCCACCCTGCATAGTCACGGCTCAATGACGGAAAAGGATGAAAAAGACGCCATGATCAAAGAGCTCGAGCGTGAGCCCTCTACGACAGAGAAGCTCCGATCTCGCGTCCGCAGGCTGAGCGTCCGTGTCGCCCACCAGCTGCCTGATCATGACGATGGCCCGCATCAATAGATTTGTCCTAGCGGATATGATGTACCTGATTTCTTTTTCCTATTTTGTTGTTTCCTTTGTTTTGTTTTGTTTGAATCCGGCGGAATCAGAGCAGGAATGTGGGAACCTCGTTGAGTCGTGACCGTTTTTTCTCTGTGTCGCGTTGATGGACATGTCGTTGTGCTGTCTCGATAGATGGGGATGGCGTGTGGTCCTGTACTTTTACGTCTGGTTCGGATAGCTCTGGCAGCTCATCGAAATCATCCAAGATTGATTTTCTCTTTGGTTTGTGGGTTTTGGTTGGTGTTCGTGTCGTAGCATCACCCACTCTTGGGTTGGTAGGCTCACTCCCCCTTGACGTAGTAGATCCATCCCTCGCCGTATCCCGCGGACGAGGAGTCAAAGAGATCCTCGGTGGGCTGGAATCCATGCTAGGATTCAATCTCACAGGGCGTACTAGACGACGCAATCTAGACGGTGAATCAGGCTGGACATCAAGATCGTCGTCATCATCGTCATCACCTTCCGAGGCGGTCTCCTCACCCCCTTGACCAACCACCCCCCTCCGCAGTGGCGACGACACCAGACCGCCATCGTCAGCCCCACGACTCGTCATCACCGTCTCTCCAGAAGCCTGCGAAAACCCCGCCGCAGCCCTCGTAAACGACCTCACGCCGCGCGCACCAACAAGCGACGGGCCCCTCCTCGGACTCAACATCAGCCCATGCAGCGACGTCCCCACAAAGCAATCATCCCCTTCATCATCCTCTTCCAACTCAACCCCCCTCATGCGTTTACGCTTACCCCTACCCAGCCCATCTCCACTCGATCCAGCAGCCGTCAATCCCTTCTCGCCCAGCAGAGATGGCGCAGTCGCACGCGCAAGATCCCCAATAGCACCCTGGTTCCGGAGCTTAACTTCCTTTCGCTGCTTGATGTACTCCCGATGGTGCAGGTGGCGGGTGAAGTCTTGCGCGATGGAGTGGAGCTCGTCTTCGACCATCATGTAGATGTCGTCGTTGGGGAAGCCTTCGATTAGGTACCTTGGTTTCCGTTAGAAGATGACTAGGTGGGGTGGTGTGGGATGGACTGGGGTGGGTCTATACTCTTCTGAGGGACAGTGATGACTAGGCGATGAGGGTGGGCTTGGGGCTTTGTTTAAATCAGTATTTGTCTATGCTGTGGGGATAAAATGAGGATATAATGGGGTAGAGACGTACACGATCGTAGAAAGTTCCGCTTGAAGCTCTTGTCTTCGCGTTTAGGCGTGGTGGTAGTCTTCTCTCGCTTTACGCGCTGGCGTCGCGGAGCCGGATCCGGAGGTTCGGCTTTTGGTACGAGCCATGGTAATGTTCGTGGCATTGTTGCGAAGATTATCGAGGTTGCTCTTGGGAGGTTGGGATGTTGTTGGTTGGTGTTATCGGCGGTGGTCCGACTGATAGCGCGGCGGAAAGTGGCGCGGGCGGAACTCTACCTCTACTTGGGTTGGATTGGATGGGCCCGCTCTGATTCTATCCCGTATGTAATCTACATAATAGCTTCGTACAAAAACAGTATTAGATGTGGGACCTATGCTGATAAAATAGTATTGATCTGGGTATCTGCTTCAATCTAAGTACCCTAGCGGGACTAATATCTCAAAAACGAGCTAGCTATGAAGACGCCGTGAACAACCCTGTCTGTCCATAGAATAATAACATCCGAAAACGCCCTGATCCCAAAGACGATGAAAAAACACTGTGATTTATCCAGTGATCGGACGCAAAAAAAGACCAGAAGAAAAGCAGAAAAAGAAACTAAACCTCCCCAGGCCTCTTACTATTACAGCTCACAATCTTGACCTTATCCGCCGTCACAGGAGTCTGATTATCGAGCTTGAAGGTAACATCCTTGATGAGGAAGGTCCACACTTCGTCGCAGAAGCGGTAGGTATCGAGGTGGCCCTGGTAAGACATCGTCAGCCTCTCCATCCATTCACCACTTAACCAAGAAAACATCTCTCTTCAAAAAGTCCGGGATAATGTATACCTTAAAGTTCAACCTTGCGCGCACCTTATCCGCCAGTACCTCCGTAACAATCCTATCAAACGTGGACAGGATCTTCATGGCGAGCTGGGGTTCGATGCGGCCTTCGTTGATCAGGTCGTCGAGGGTATCGGTTAGGGAGAGGCCGAGGCTGTATCCACAGAGTTAGTCACCCAGTCAAAAATAGAGTCGCAATATCTAGAATGAAGATTAATATACCTGCTCCCCCGGTAAAGTTCATAATAAGACTGAGCGCTCATCGTGGCGGCGTCTCAAGCAGACAGACAGAGGTGGTTGACGGAGAGAAAGTCGGCCCAGGCAACAAGGCGATCGTGGGGGGCCGATCCTCACGTGATGGCGCTAAACCGGTCGATTGGTTGGTGGTTGGTCAGGTGACATCATTGTCTTGATCATCTTTGTTCACTAACTATTTTGAAACAAGATCTTGATAACGGGTTTTTTATAAATATTGACTATAAAATAAGGTCATAATGTTGCACACTACGTGTAGACTGGGTCTGTTGAGGCACTGCACACTCTCGAGGGTGATTCCCTTGCCTGTATCTGTGTCGACGGCTTGTTCGTCTGGGCAAAGACATATATCGAGCTCGTCGATAAGGGCTTCATCGGATAACAACCACGGTAGGAGCCACAACTCTCTTCTACCAATAAGGTAGTATATGTACTCATGATGGTTAGACGAACACTCCCCCAAACAAGAACATCCCACAACCGACCAAGCCTCGCCAGACACAGCCTCACCAGCCAACAACAAAAGCAAAAGCAAGAGCGTCACCCAAGCGGATCAAGAACTCCGTGAACGCCTGGAGCAAATGTCAGGAGAGGGGGGAGCCGCTGGTATCGAGTACGAGGATGGGAAACCGGCGTCTATGAAACGGAGCGTTCGGAATAATATGTTTCGCTATATTTAGCTTACGAGAGGCGTCCATTCGCCTCGTATCAATGGCAGACCATTGATACCATCTGTAAATAAATGGAGAATCATAAACCAACAGAAAGTAACTTTCAATTTCGAGACTCCGGTCCTAAGACAAATGAGGCCTTCTATTGCCAAAAAGAAGCAGAAGAAATTAAGTTGAAAGAGGATATAAAAGAAAGAAAGAAAGAAGAAATTAGAAACACATCAAACTCCCCCACCAAAGCGCTCGTCCGTAGGTGCCCAAAGACAAAATCGTCACGTCATATCGATGCCGACCGGTAGAGAGCCATTACGAGGATCAATGCTATCCTACCGTGGAGATCCCGGCGAGGACCCCGGCACCAATGACCCCTCCGTCGGATGCTTCTCGCAAGAAGACTGACTTCCCGCTCTTCTGGGGCCCCGTCCGCATGATGAGCCGGTCAATGTATTGTTGGCACATCTCCTTGAACTGCGGGTATTGCTGGATGATGCCGCCCGTGTAGGCGACTACCAGTTCTTCAGGGCCCGACTCCCAGTCTGCCGGCGTCGGGGTGGGAGACAGGACAGGCACAATGTGGCCTTGGCCGCTGTTGTTCACACCATCAGATACCCCCGGGGTCAGGCTATCAATGGATGGCCCCGGGAGCGGGGTGTTGCCGTTGGGGGCAGGCGAGGGAGCAAGGGAACTCTCTGGCGAGTTCTCGGTGCTATCCGCTTTCAGTTCAATCTCCCGTGTGCAGGCCAGCAGACCCACCACGGCCGCCGCGATCAGGCCCGCAGATCGTCGTTGGACCGTTCGGGCGATCTTTCGGAAGGCTCCTGCGGTCATCACGTCCCAATGCCAGTCGCTGCTCTCCGGTGGCGGCAGCGTTCGCTTCAAGACATCAACCAGATCCAGATCGGACCGAGCCCGGGCCACGGTGTCGGAGACGTACGTCGTCGTCAGGGCGTACTCTTGAATCAGGGTCGCCGGCAGCTGTTTCGGCGACAGTTCGGCGATGTTGACGAGGTAGTCGAACAGGATGATCCGGATCAGTTCGCCGATATACCGGCCGCCGGTCATATACTCGAAGGGTTGGAATCCGGGCCGAGCGCACGCTCGGTCCAACTCGTCGTCCCATTTCGTAATGATGTTGAGCTCTTGAAGAGGAGGCAAGGCACCGGAGATGGTCCACTCCGTGTTGATCACGGTCTCCTCGGCCGTCGGGTTCTTCGACCGGACATGGTTCGCCTTGGACTCGTGGAGCGCGCTAAGTTTCATGGGGATGGTGGCGTTGCACCCCGTGCCTACGATGATGCCCATTGCGACCCGGCTGTTGGGCAGAGACTTGACCGCATATGCCAGCGAAGCTAGCGTGGCAACGGCGTCGTTGGTGATCGCGGCGATCTTGAGCTTCGGCAGCGAGTACAGTTTGCGGCGCTTCTTCGACGGCTCGTGGTCATCATCCGGCCGCTTCGTGTGCTTCTCGTAACCGCTCAGTAAGATGTTCCGCAGGTTGAGATCCGAGGTGATGGCGAATCCTTTGCCCATTGGCATCAAAGTGGCCTCTGTCAGGGACTCCTGCCTGCATGCTGTCAGTCGCCGGAATGAGTGGGGGTTGGGCTCCAGTTGGGCTCCAGGGAAACAGCGGAACGTACATAATGGGGAAACTGAAGGTAATTCCCATCTCCAGCTCCTCCGGTATACTGCCTTTGGTCGCATCCGAGGTCAAGCTCTCCGCCACCACTTCCGCAATACAGTCCCCGATCCAAGAGAATAGGTCATCCGCTTTGTCCTTCTTTAGATGCTCTTGGATGGGCCACGCCTTTTCTAACGTCCGTCTCACCCGTTGTCGCTGCGCCTTTCGGATCGTATCCTTGGTTCTCTCCGTTGCATCGGCGGGCTTGTTGTCGGAATCCGCCGCATCCCCGAGAAGTTCAATGAACGCGACTCGCAGGTTACTCCCGCCTACGTCGATCGCCAGGTACCGACCGGTCTCCATTCCGGTAGGTAACTTGGTCACCGGCGTCGGCAGGAACTGTTGGTCGGACTCCAGGGCGAGGTCACGGTAGACGTTCGAGAAGCGTCGCGCCAGTTTGTAGAGGATCGCTTCCCGCGGGATGAGCGGGGACAAGAATTCGTCCAGCTTCCTCTGGTAGTCCAAGTATTCTTGCTGATCCGGATCCAGGTCGGGTCCTTCCTCCTCATCCTCCTCAATAATGTCCTCCTGCACGTTATCCTGCTCCTCTTCCTCCTCCTCCTCCTCCTCCTCCGCATAGATCACATCGGTTGGGGCCATCATCGCGGATCGCTAATCCGCGTCGCAATAGTCCGAAGTGCGTTTCTGCGTGAGGCAAAGGTGGTCAGAGGATCGGTGCAACGCCCAGCTAGGATGATTGGTGAGACGACGATGCTGTGTGTGCAACGACCCGTAGGTTGAAATTGAATATGCCTTCGATTCGCGGAATGTAGTTTAATTTGTATTCTGATTATCGTTTGTTGTTTTTAATAAAAAAAAAAAATAAAAAAAAAAAATTGTTGAAGTAAGACGAGGTCGATGCAACGTAGCTGAGTTACCAGTATTGTAAAGCCTTAAACTGTTGTGAAATCGACCGAATATGCGACTCCAGGGGGCGGGGAGGGAATCCGGCTGAAGGAAGTTCGCTGGACTCTCAAACTAAACGTCCCGATTGATGATCAGCATTTCCGATTGTACAGGAAGAACGGTCAAATTCCAACATTGTTGGCTGCGGGGACGCGTTGTCTGAAAATGCAACGCTGGAGAAAGAATTCCGCAGGACTAGACCAGCGTGCGCGGCGACGATCACCACCACGCAGGAAGCCTTAGTGCCCAGTGGGGGGGAGAAAAGAGACAAGAAGGAATAGGGGGAGAAAAAAATCGCACCACCGTGGGGGGAGTGTCAACAGATGGTCAAGAACGACAAAACCACCCAAGCCATTGGTTGGTCCAGTACCGTTCTAGACCGAGAGGAACAATCCCAGGTTGTATTTAGCTGGCGCGATGGAGAGAATGGCGTGGGGTCTGGCGACAAGACGACGGTATACAGTATACACGACCGCAGATAAGATGGCGGGGAGTGGGGAGAGACGATCGTTAAGTAGATTTGAATGAAAGAACCTTGGGCGACCACACCCCAAGGCTCCAAATGACAATGGGATTTGGAAGGAGAATGGAAGAAAGAGTCAGAGACTCCGAGTCTCGTTGGACGCGGACTGAAACTAAGTGAATGCGATGCTCCACCGAGTAGTGGGGGTGGGAGGGAAAGGAAGGGAAAGAGGTGTGGAGAGGAAAAGAAAAGCGATCCAACGATCAAAACACGAACGAGAGAAAGTCACCGGATGGTTATTATGTCAGAGAGACCGACAGGAAGAAACTCCCAGGTCAAGTCAAGTCAAGTCAAGTCAAGTCAAGTCAGGTAGTCAAGAAGAAGTTCAGATGGCAGCAAATGCGACCATCATCTGTTAGGCGATGTGACGTTGCTGCCACCCTCCCCTCTCTCTCTCTCTCTCGCTCTCGCTCTCTCCATCATCCCTCTGGTTCGATTGGACTCGATTGCTTCTTTGACTTGGTTTGATTTGTTTTAGTTTTATTTATTTATTTATTTCCAGATAGAATGGATTCTGCACCATTCGTTCAACAGTGGTCCCCCCTCAATCGGCCTTGTCTTGGTACAGTAGCTGCGCGGACTGTTCTTGTTGGCTGACCAGGTTTTGGTTTCATTGACAACCTTCTATCATTGGTCTGAGTCGGCTGGAGACAATTGTGGATGGCACACGTAGTGCCTTCTGGGAGGTAGTATTCCCCCTCTTTTTTGCCCTTTGAATCCTGACTATCGCCGGGCCAGAAGTCTCTCGGGTGATCACACTGGGTGAGATCATCTCTATCTAGTCCATCGGTCTGGGTCCATCAGTCTGAAGGTGGGAGTTGACAGGTCCGTATAATCTCCACCGGTTATTCCTCGGTCAAGGCGGCTCAATCTGTCACTCCCGCATCACACCAGGGGGACCACTGAAACAGAAAAGGACGCCAAGGGGCACAGGATAGCACCGGAACATCCCAGATGCTCGGATCGCGCTTGAGGTCTCCAGCGTGTCGGACTATCAAGGGAAAACAGTGGGGTCGGAGGTGCACTCGGCTCCCAAGCGAGACAGGCGAGGATTAAAGTATGGAGACCCGTGCATAATTGCACCCGCTCGACAGTCTAGGTACTACACTTCTGGAGCTTCCTCTGGTTGGTCCGGCTCGTATAGGTCAGTTGACGCCATGGCATTCGGCTGCGATGGACTGAACGGCTCTCCGTCAGGTCCTCGTGTTTGCAGAGACCTGTCGAGTCGTCGACTCTTGTCATTCTCCTCGAATACGGCCTGGGGAAAGATCTGATAGGGTCCCGGCTGTGCGGCCACGCGTACCGAGAGATTTTTCCGCCGGAGTTGATCCAAGAGGGGATGCCGCTCATCGACTTGGGCCATCGTCACGGGCGAACTAGTCTGTCTTCGGGACATCTCGTAAAGGGCAACTCTACGGCGGGACATCGGAAACCTGATGTCTTGAACCTCGTAAGGAGCCAGTTAGCAACTCACGAGACCGCTAAGCCCCTTGGGGATACGTATCCCATCTGCCTAGTACCTACACTTGTGACCAGGTTCAGTCTCCGTCAACGGGTCCGGAAGTGACCTGTCTCCGAGATCGGAGAGCTAAAGCAAACAACCTTTGCCAAAAAGATGCGGAGAAAGACAAGTCTGAGCGGGTGGGTGATCTGCGTCGGAGTCATCCTAGCTTTCTTTTCCCCTATCTAGGCCTAGATACGAGGTTGACCTGGAATCGCGACCGGAGTCTGGCCAGCGCGGTCCGGCGAAGACCGTCGTAGGTTAATTAGGTGGGAGCTGTCGCAGCCCATCTTAGCTTCGTAGGACAAACAGGGGTTTTAGAGTAGTTCATTCTGCCCCCTCGGGCTCCCGCCGTCTTCATTCCCTTCCCATCTCCCCAGCTCCCACGTCGGGATTTCACTAGGGTGATATATATTTGCCAAGCAGTTGCATCGAAGCAGGGCAGCGAACGAGATTTAATCAGGGACTCCGGACCACCAGTCGGCAACATTAGCCAACATTAGCCCTGGAGATGCCCGGGGGAGGAATTTGACTTCCATCCATGCAAGATGGACCTGCTCGAAAACCATTTCCACGTTTCATTCTCATCCTGTGTTTCGTTACTCCGTGTAGGAGATCCCAGGATTGTGATCATGGTTGGGAGTCAACTGGCCAATGAGTGGGCGTAACCATGACGCAAGAACAACAACAATGTCCTTACCTCGCTATCTTAGGCACCATAATATGGACAACCACCAGACAGGCATAGATTGATGAACTAATCAAGCATTGGACCATTCATTGACGGGATATAATAAGAACACTGTCCAGGGTATATTCTTCATCTGGGTGTAACGGTGAACGGGACAGGGAGAGTAAGAAGGACGGGAAGCCTTGAGTCCCCGCAGTCACATTGACTTGGAATCTTTGGAATCCTTTTTTTTCCCATTCCTCCCTTGCTGGATCTGGTTCTGGACCTTCTTCTCTTTTTCCCCTTTCTCTTTATTTGATTACTATTATTACGATAATATTATTCTCATCGTCATACAAATCGTTACCTAAATACAGATCACCATGGAGAAATCCCAAAGTCAATACAACCCCGACAACCAATACGACGGTTTCTCTCCGACTTCCGCCGCCCCCTACGCAGCCCGCTCCCGACGTAACCGGGCGTTGTCCCGACTCACCCTAGGCGTGGCGGTCGTCGCCCTGCTGATTGTCAGCGGCGCCTTCCTCGCCGTGCCTGGGCACAACCTGCTGCCATGCCACAAGTGGATGGGACGACGGTCCGACGGTGGGTCTGCGGTCGTGGTCGGACAGGGCGACAAATCCACCGGGACGGAGGGAAGCCTACTAGAGAACCGCCCGGAGGATCGCTCGTCGAATCGGAAGGTTCCACTCGAGGCGCACATCATGAGTAAATGCCCGGATGCCCAGGCTTGTCTCCAGCAGCTGGTCGTGCCGGCCATGGAGCAGATCAGCGACAAGGTGGACTTTGGCTTGTCGTTTATTGCTAAGTAAGCATCGGGTGTGCATTGACATCAAGAAGAGATCACTAGGCTAACTCATGAATAGTGTATCCAGCGGCTCATCGGAGATCAAGTGCAAGCACGGTCCCGGGGAGTGCGTGGGCGATATGATCATCCTCTGCGCTGCGAACCTGCCGTTCCCGCCAGACGGGAGCGACGATGGCGCGAAGACCCCGACTATCCGGTCGCTGGGCTTCGCGAACTGTCTCATCGGCGAGTATGAAGATATCCCCGGACGCCCGTTGGTCGAGAAGTGTGCCGCGCAGCATGGGATTGATTTCGACGCTCTGAACCGCTGTGCTAGCAATCAGGACGACGATCCGAATGATCCTGATAAGCTCAGTGGGCTGGCCCTGCTGCGGAAGAGTGCCCTTCGGAGCGCAAAGCTGAAGGCTGGCATCAGCTGTACAGTCCGGTTGAATGAGTCTGTCTGGTGTGTTCGTGATGGCGGAGTCTGGAAGGACTGTGTTAAGGGGGGGAAGGCGAGTGAGGTGTCGGTGTTGGTTGAGGAAGTCAACCGGCTGTATGATGAGGAGAATTAGACGAGCAGACCTTTTAGTGGGTTTGGTATATATATGATGTGCTCTGATGCAGGCTGTCCTTCATGATTAGTTAGAGAATGAAAGTTGGTTATCTTATGGCTGTTGTTCTGGATTCCCTGCTTTATGCTCACGATGATATAGTAACGCCTTTATTCCCAGCGATGGACAATGGTCGAACATGGGGTATTTCCCATACCATTCTACTGATCAACTAAAATGAAAACACCCAACAAAATACCAGGCTATGGTGAACGGTCAAGCAGCAAGCAGCTCTACACTGATATGGCTTTATCGAATCTGCTCAGAATATCACTTTACTTGCCCACTTCACCAGATTGGCCGTGCAACGCTCACAACGATCCCCATTCACTCAAACATGGAGCCAGCCAGGCCAAAACCTTTATTCTCTCGGCAACCATTGACTCATTCTCTCAACAGACCATCGCAAACATCATCTCTTGTTTCTGTCCAAACCCATCTCACATTTCCCAAAACCTCCCATCATCTATTTCCCCATCACCTTAGCCCCTATCCCCAAACCAAAATCAACAGCCATGTCTCCCTCACACAGTCGCAGTCGCCACTCCAGAAGAGACCACCACCGCCATCATGAGGACCGCAACCTAGACGATCTCATCCGCAGATACACCCAAGCAATCCAGCCGTCGCCCGTCCTCGCTGACATTCTCAGAAGCTCTCGAGAATCATCCCTACTCGTCAGCGCCCTCCGCCGCCAGGTCTCGCTCATTAAGTGCCGCTCCCCAGACCCCAGGGACAACCAGGTTACTGTCTACGACAGGGCCCTGATGGAGCTGTCTCGTTCTGGTGACGATCCGAGACACCTTGGTGCTTTGGAGCTCTATCTGACGGAGTATTTGGGGATTGTTCCGATTGTGCCGTTCCAACAGGGGAGGGATGTTGCGAAGGAGTGTGCTGAGGTGGAGGAGGTTTTTGGTAGAGGTATTGCACATCTTATTTGATATTCTCTTCATGATCAAATACACGCTTACCTCACTGTGTTATAGCCCGCGAGACTGAGCCGGACAAAACCGACAACAAGAAAAAGAAAAAAGAAACCAGAACCAGAACTCACCCCAGACCATCAATCTCTCCGATCGAAAGAAGAACAGCCAGTCCCACCAGACCCCACCACCCTAACAGCAACAACAACAACAACAAAACCATACATTCCAACAACCCACCCCCCAACGACGAAGTCCAAAACCGCATCACCCGCCTCCTCTCAACTTACCAAACCGCCAAAGATGACTACTTCGGATCCCTGCAGCAAAGCGGCATGGTTAGCATGGACGCGGCGCGTTTCCTGCGCGACACGGCGGAGAACACCCTGCGGTATCTGCGGAGCAATGGGCTCGCGGAGGAGAAGGTGGGATTGGTGACGGAGCTGGAGTATACGTTTGCCGCTGCGAGGGATAAGGCTACTGCGCTGTCTGGGGGCAGGAAGAGGCATTTTGATGAGGCGGATGGTGGTGGTGGTGGAAGGTGGAGTGGGAGGTCGGGTAGGAAGAGGGGTCGGAGGGTTATGATGGATTCTTATCGTCCGGAGGGTTGATTGAGCTGGGGGAATTTAGGGTGGGATTAGGGAGAACTTGTAGGGCTGGGTGGGAGTTGTGGTAGGGATAGGAATTTGTTCTGACGGTGTTGATCATGCGGTAGTGGGAAGGTGATTCTGGGTTGAGACCTACGTTTATTGATCGAGGATATGGTTTTCAGGTACTAGGTACACTATCCGCGAAGTCGATTAACATGAGCCTGTTGTAAGATACATGTCTCTCCACTCAACAAACTCTGATGTTTTATGTCATATCTTTTCTGGGATTGTGAACCATCCTGTATCTTTCTATGGGCATCCTGGGAGTCAACGATGGTAGGCATCGCTAAGGGAAGATATTCCCGGCTGACCAGCTGTACTCTTACTCAACCCAACCTGTATTATGTTCAAATCCTCTATGCTTCCCTACAACTGTATATTCGGTTATATAGCTAATTTGGTTATAGGTAGTCTGGTTACGCTGCAGGTTTAAGATGAACCCATCTAATCAAGTATTAACCCAGCAGTGTACCTCACCGGACAAGTGGGCAACTCCTGAGACTGATCGGAGTTGAGAACCATGTACGGGAGTTCCTCTAGTGCACATTGTATAAACACTGTCATACAAGCACCCCCTCATGCTTGACTCGCTGACTATCCCTCAAACCTACCAAACAGTCCGTATATTCCACCCCTTCACGCGTATCCGCACCCAAACGAAGCAAGCAAACGCAATCACATAGCTGAGACCAGTAAACAGAATAACGCCCCAGTACCCACGGCGTCCCCGACCAGTAGACGTGATAAGGTTCCCGGCGATTGGGATTCCAGTAAGACAGCCGATGCTGGCGACGGTGTAAGCGCTAGCATAGTACCTGCCATAGTCATGTGTAGCGCACAGCTGACCGACACAGACAGGCATCAAGCTAGTATTAGAGCCACTGGCAAAACCAAAGACCACGACGAACATAATAAGAAGAGCCTTGCTGGGCGGGGCGTCGGCCAGTGCGTCAGGCAGCCACAGACCCATAACGGCAGCGAAACAGATGGTGTTGGAGACGATCATCGTGTTATAGCGGCCCTTCTTGTCAGCGATGTATCCAATAAGGTAGCGGCCGAAGCAGGACACAGCGTTGAGAATCGCAAGCAGCTGGTATGCAAAGGCCGCCGCGCCGCTGACGGACTTGCCTTCTAGAAGGCCCTGTCGGATGAGGTAGTAGCTTGGGATGTACGTCACGGGGACAAAGTACGCCCATTCGAGGAAGAAGATGCCCGCCGTGGTGACGGCCATGGCGCCCGTACCGTCCTTGAATATGCGCGGGTCTGGTACCATGTCGCGCCAGGAGGTTTCTGCGCCTCTCTTGGGGGGGAGGCGGCTGCGGCAGAGGATTACGCTGAAGGCGCACAGCAGGAGGAAGACGAAGCCGACGATGCGCGTCGACCACGCCCATCCTACCTGTGGGAGCAGAGACTGAATCATCAGTGGGAAGAGCACGCCACCAAAGCCGCTGCCGGTGAAGGCAAAGCCACTTGCTTCGCCGCGCCGTTCGTGGAACCAGTGCGAGATGGCGCCCATTGCGGGGGTGAACAGGAAAGAATTCCCGATACCGCTGAGGACGGAGAACGCGAGGATGAACTGGTAATACTCTGGGTTGAAACCAGCAGGTTACGTATAAGCTTGTTTCTGCTTTATGAACTGGCTATCCCGCGACCAAGTGTAAGCTGCGTCTAAACTCACCGTTGCACAGGCCGAGCGTAAAAGTACCGATCAGCAGAAAGACGCTCCCAATCAGCATCAGCCCGCGCGGGCCCCGGGCATCGAAGATGGGCCCAATCTGGACGCCGCAGAAGTAAGAGACAAAGACGTAGATGCCGAAGATCCACCCGGTGGTGTTTGCCGAGCTCGAGGCTAGGATATTCGTCGACACATATGCCTCCAAGACCCCAACCGAGTTGACCATACCTAGCCCGGCTGTCATGGAACACCATGAGCCCAGGGCAACCGTCCATGCGGCAACTCCACCTTCTGGATAACTGATTGCCTCTACTGAGGGGCCATCTTCACAGGGTTCCGGTGGAAGCTGGTTGCTGGGTTGTTTCTCGACAATTGCCATGTTTAGGCCAACAGAGGCAGTGGTGGAGGGGGGAGAAAAAATATGAGTAGCTCGATAGTTCACTAACTGTAGTAAAGAAATACTAGACGCCGTTGTAGAAAAGCGAAGGAGGGATTTCTCGTTCGAAAACAAGGGCTACATTGCGGGCAAAGAGCTAAGTAGATAGCGGAGAAGTATGTAGGTATTATTAATGGCCTTGAAGCCTTGACGGGCCGTTCCGCTTACTAAAGCGGGGGAGTGGGACGATCGGGGTCAGGACGAGAGGCGATTGGTCTGATCAGGGGAGACCCTGGCCCCGACGGATTACGGGGGATGGATCGAGCTCCAATCGATCCGGACACAAAACACCATAGATGGTGGATTATGGACATACTTACCCAAGTGGGTAGGTGTTTATCCTAACCCGAGATATGTCATGTATAGATGGATATACATGGCTTAACGTCGGTCAGAAAGCTGAGACAAGGCCGACTGATCTCCCGTATCTCCCTACCACTTCACGACAATATTGCCAGACAGTTCGCGCGCCTGATGGAACTGCTCTGCCGTGTATTTGAGACAGCTGTTGGTCAGAGCGTACTTCTTCTGCCCGTGGATGTGCACGGGGACTAGAGTGGCACCCACCGGGACGGTACCCACATCCGTCTGAAGGGGCACCAAGTGGAACACATGTTTCCCGGACATTCGCACGCTGAAGTCGAAACACTGCCCCATCATACTTGAGAAACGATGCATCTCCGGGTGATGGTAGAATTGTCGGGTCGTCTCCTGCTGGCCTGCATCTCGGATGGCGGCAGGTCTCCGGGCTGATATCGACACCGACGTACTGCTGGAGTTGCGCACCGATAGCCTGCAGTTGTGTCAAGATGGCGCGTGACTTCCACGGCACCGGGCCAAGCTCAATATAGCGGATGGGACGGCCGGCCGCGAGCCGGGCAATCTCATCTGTCACCTCGAGCAGTGCGCCTCAAAATGGTAACCGCGACACACTGATTCCTGAAGCTCAACAGAGATAGATTGAAACATGTATATCCCAGTGCAATTGTTGCAGACGCGTTGATTGGTATGGAAGTCGAACAACTCAGACGACATATACAGCAATGGTTGAGACTACTGACGGTTGCAAAATCCAAGAGGAGTTATTTCTAGTATGTCGAGCAGAATAGAAACGGAGTATAGATCGTCCTTTAGCACCTCGTCCAACATCTTCCTGTACATAAGCACAGAACCTGAAATCCAAGAAACCAATCAATAAAATGCCGCACTACAAGCATACTGATTCTGACTCCTCGAGACCACATCACAAACCGATGGGAAGACACACGCACCAGAAACACAAAGTACCTTGAATGAACGAGCATTGGATGGCTGTTATTGGTAAAACTTCCCTACGGATTTACTGCCGTAATAATCCTCATTCTTCTACCTAGAATAGCATAGTTACTACCGTGCAAACGAGGAAGGTTGCACTAGTCGGCACTCTCTCCACTACACTCCATCCAGATCACCCCGCTGTTGAACGCGGGGTCTATATGAGGATCTACATAATGATGAGACCACAGGGTGGATGTGATGCTGCTGGTCTTGTACTATCTCTGTAGTGGAGTACCTGGCCAGCATCGTCACCGCTATATAGTATATACCTTGGCTACTTCCACAGACTGTTTACTGTTGTTCCCATGGTACCTATCAATTCATGACGTCATAAACACAGCACTAGTACGTTACTCAGTATGTCAATCCATGGTCAACCCAGGAACGAAAAGCTAAAAACACCATGTCAGTCAATATGTCAATAGCGCAAAAAGACAGACTATTATCATGACCACAAAGTATCCTAATCATGACGCTGTCGGTCGTCGTCAGTAACCCTAATCGTCACGGGGACAGTCAATGATTGGTTATCGGTCACCGCCTTCCCCACCGCCGACGGAATCCCCCCCGAACACGTGCCGCACGTGTCCCTGAGCTGTGTTTATCCTGTTTATCTCGAGATTCAATTTCACCAATCCTCCATCTAAGTCTTCCTCTGTCGAGTAGTATGGATTCTTCATCCTGATTCCTCGATGAAAAAAGCCTATCATGGCCTCTTTACAGCCTCCCCCGGTGGGAACCTCCGCGGGAACCCCCGCAGGAACCTCCTCTTCAACCTCCAGCAACGGTTCATTTAACACCCCACTAGATACACCCTCGGAAAGGTCTGATGCGGACGGGGACGCCCCCAGCGTGAATTGGAATCGTCCGGTAGCCGGTTCATTGAGACTGCAGACTGATTTTGGACCCGAGCAGCATAGGTCGTCGGAGGATGACGAGAGTAAAGACGATGGTTATGACACGCCGGATGACTTTCCTCGAGAGACCCGGCCCAAGTATACGGCCATCGAGGAGCAACAGGTCGTGAAGAAGTTCGATCGCAAGCTCGTTCCCTTCTTGGCTTTTTTGTATTTGTTGTCCTTTTTGGATAGATCTAGTAATTCCGACCCCCTCTCCTCTGATCGTTTCAAATTCGATGGAAGACTAACCGCATAGTAGATATTGGAAATGCAAAGATTGCCGGACTCACCGACGATCTCCATCTCTCCTCCGCTCAATATGAGTGGGTTCTGACGGCTTTCTACATTACCTACATCCTTTTTGAATGGATGACTCTGATGTACCGGCTGGTTCCGGCGCACATCTACGTCGCCCTCTGCGTCTTCGGCTGGGGACTGGTCGCCTCCCTCCAGTCGATCGCGACCTCCTTTGGCGCCCTCGTGTTTTTGAGGGCCGCCCTCGGCATCGCCGAGGCAGCCTTTGGGCCCGGGGTTCCCTTCTATCTCTCTCTCTTCTACCGACGCGAAGAGCTGGCCTTTCGGAACGGACTCTTCATCTCCGCCGCCCCCCTCGCCTCGTCCTTCGCCAGCACTCTGGCCTGGCTGATCGTCCGTCTCAGCCGCCACGGTCCGATCTCGCCCTGGCGCACGCTGTTTCTGGTAGAGGGCTTCCCCAGCGTGATCGTTGCGGTCGTCGCCTGGATGGTGATCCCCGACGCTCCGGGAAGTGCCTGGTTCCTGTCCCCGCGGCAGAGACAGGTAGCCCAGCTGCGCATGGAAGCGAGCAGCACCAAATCGGGGTACTACGGGCAGGCCCGAGAGAAGAAAATCAACTGGAAGGAGGTTGGGAAGACGCTGGCCGATCCCAAGTCGTACATTGCTGCGGTCAGTCTTTCCGGTTTTTTTTTTTTTTTTTTTTATTCTTTGGTTCCAGGTCTTGGTTCCAGGTCGAGTACTGATGTAAAACCGCCGGTACAGTTCATGTTCTTCAGCTGCAATGTCGCCTTCAGCTCGATGCCCGTTTTCCTCCCCACCATCATTGCGGAGTAAGTACCGACTTACCCTACCCTACCAAGGATCATCACCTCGGGCCCACCAACGCCCACGCACCCTTGACCGTCGTTGAGATTAACCCGCTCTACCAAACAGCATGGGCTACTCCTCCCTCTCCGCGCAAGCCCTCTCTGCCCCACCCTACCTCGTCGCCTTCGCTTCCGTCCTCTTCACAGCCTACATCTCCGACCGCCGACGCAAGCGGAGCCCCTACCTCATCCTGCACGCGCTCATCTCCTCCACCTCGTACCTCCTCATCGCCCTCACCAGCCACTTCCACGCGCACCTTCCAGTCCCCGCCCACCGACTCATCCGCTACATCTGCGTGTATCCCGCTGTGGCGGGGTTCTTCTCGGCCATTACGCTGATCATGACCTGGACGATGGATAACCGGCCCGCAACCGAGGGCAAAGGCGCCGCCATGGCCGTGCTCAACCTCATCGGGCAGTGCGGCCCGCTGCTCGGCACGCGCCTCTACCCAGCTTCCGACGGTCCATGGTACGTGCGTGGCATGGCCACCTGCGCGTTCTTCATGCTGCTGGTCGCGGCGCTGGCCGTCGTGCTGAGGCTGCTTCTGGTGCGGGCTAACCGTGGTTTGCAACGGGGGGGACAGCAGCAGGAGGATGATGTGATTGAGCTGGAGGGTGGGGAAAGTGAGGTGTTGATTGGGGGCGGTCAGGTGGAGGCTGCTCCTGGAGAGAAGTTCACTTATATTTTGTGATGTTTCCCCTTCCTTATCTTGATACTATAAAGTTGGTATGTTGTTGGTGGTAATTGTGGTATCTAGATAGTATATAGGTGGATAGGTACATAGATTGATATGTAGGAAGTCAACACATCGTAATGCCAACCATGATCTGGATAATGTAACATGTAGCAACCCTATTTATTTCTTCTTCCCTTGTATTGGTGGACATAGACGCACATACATACATAGATGCACAGTAAATATCAATAATTCTATCTTTTATTTGATTGCATCCATGGCATTCCACTAGACTGAGTATCTCTACCAAATAAGATATCAAATTCGACCCCAAAGTCATTATAGATAGAACCAAAAAAAGGAAAACAGGAGCAGTCAGACCCAGATGCTAGACGAAGAGATAGGAAACGAAGATATAGAAATAAAAGAAAAGGAAACATGGATATGTATGTAGTAGGTATGTAGGTATATATCTGTGTCTGTTATATGTATGTATGAGAGAACACAGGAGAGTATCGGTGGGGGTCGAGGTAGGAGGTAATAAAACAAGCAGCAAGATCATCCTGGATAAACAACCCCGTAGCCCTAAAAACTCCGTAATGCGCCAGTCTTTTTGTCCTTCTTTCTCGCCAGTGCCATTCTATCTCTTTCTATTCCTTCCTTCTTTTTGTTTTTTATCTTTTCTCTTTTTGTTTTCTTTTCCGCAGGCAGTATCAAACAACCTACCAAGCGGTATGCCCACCATCAATAACAAGCGTACTCCCAGTCATAAAGCTGCTCGCATCGCTAAGCGCAAACAGCGCCGTGCCACGGAACTCCTCAGGGTACGCCAACCTGCCCAACATATTCTCAGCCTCCCACACAGCCCTGGCAGCCGGGTTCTGCTGGAAAACACCCTCCACCATCGGCGTAATGATATGGCCCGGGCAAAGCGAATTGACGCGAATCCCATGCCGCCCCCACTCCATCGCCAGCGAGCGCGAGAGCTGAATGACAGCCGCCTTGGACGAGTTATACACCGGCGACGTCATGCCCTTGTTGGCAATCAGGCCGCTCATGCTGGCGACCAGCAGGATGGAGCCCTTCTGCTGGTAATTGAACATCTGGCGGGCTGCGGCGGTGGCCGAGTTGAAGACGCCGTTGTAGTTGATCTCCATGACTTCTTTGAGGGCCACTTGGGAGTACTCAAGCGAGCTCTGCAGGTGGTTGATGCCTGCGGCGGCGATGAGGCCGTCGAGGCGCTGGTGGCGGCCGGCGATGTCGCCGAAGAGGGAGTTCACTTCTGTGTCGTTGCGCACGTCGATCTGGTGGTATTCGAGGTGGCCGCCGTATTCGCGCTCGGCGTGCTCTTTGGCGACGGCGAAGTCGGGGTGGGGCTGGTCGAGACGGTCTAGGCAGTGGACTGTTGATTCGTTGTCAGTTTCATCACTCTAGGAAGTAAAAAAAAAAAATAATAATAGACAGATTGGAGAGAGAAAAAGGACTAACCTGTGGCACCTGCCTCCAGCAGGGCTTCAGCCATCGACAGACCGAGTCCGCGGCCACCACCCGTGATGGCGTAGACACGGCCGTCGAGGTCGAATTCCTGGAACCGGGGGGTGTTCTTGATCTTGGGCTCCTGCCGCATGGAGGGCATGCGGGTTTGGATGTGATGGGCGCCGGGGGGAGGGGAGCTGGCGCTGTGTGTTGTGGAGAAGGCTGCCGCTGCTCGTGTGATGGGACGGATGGCGGCGGTGGGCCGGCATGCGCGCAGCGCAATGGGGAGGGACCGGGAGATGGTGAAGCTCATTGTTACGGTGGGAGTGTATAGTATTAGGTAGATTAGATATTAGGTAGGTATAGAGGACGGAAGGCGTGGAAAAGGAGGAAGAGGAAGAAGAATCTATGAAGAAGACGGCTGGACACGCAACAAACGGCTACCACAAGGAAGATATCGACAGTCACAGATGTTAAAGAAATTCAATGGGTCTGTCTACGACGGAGGAGCAGCTGGGGTTTATAGTCCTGGGAACGGCCGTGGAGACAACTACGAAGAAACGACCAAAGCGAATCATTGAGAGATGTTGCACGACAGGGCCGAAACAAGAAGGACGCAAAAATGGAAAAAAAAAAAATGAAAATGCATGAGCAAAAAAGAAAAGAAAAGAAAAATGGGGACTGGGAGAAAAAACATGAGGGCCGCGTGATACCCTCGATGGGTCCGCCATTGCGTTCTAGAGCGGCGTTCACGATGACTTCAACGAGGCCAGTTGTATTTCTTTTGATTAATTATTATTTTTTCATACCCGCGAACATCCATGAGACAGGAACTAGCTCCATGCACCAGCTCAGAACCCGTCAAAGCTTACCATAGGAAGAGGCGAGGGATGTGGAGAGGGGAGGGGGGCAAAAGGCATGAATGGCCAAGCATTGAACACATAACCCTCTCGCCGTCGGATAAGGGGGAAGGAGTAATGAGGGGATCGTGACTTTCTGGGACAGATTACCCCCAACCCCGTTACCTGGTCGCCGAAGCCGGCCAGCAGGGTGGTCAGTTGATCGAGGGATGGCGATCATCCATTCGTGGAATGGCCCACCAGAACGGGATTCCCGAGTATGGGGAGGCCGAGTTTTTTTTTTTTTTTTGCTGGATCAGATTTTCGATGCCGGTGCTAACGTGTCCCCTTTCTTTTCTTCCCCTCGCGAGTAATGCAGCGGTCAGACCTGGTTTTTCCAGCGGTTTTGGTTCTTGATACCTCCTTCCCTGATGAAGGGTTTTGATTCCATGCCAGTTGACAGGAAGCAAAGCCAGGGGGGGCGGGACAAGACAAGCTCTCCCCGGCTTGTTGCTGAACACATTCATTCATTCCCCGGGGAATGGGGGACCCAGACAGGGCAACGCTCCAATGACGGACTCGGCATCGCACTGGTGGTGTAATCCGCTCTGCGAAGTCAAACCCAAGAGGATGTTGGGTGGGACCCCACAATTCCCGTGCCCCCATCCTGCAGGAAGATAAGAATACTGGGAGTGGAGCCGGTTTGTTTCTTTTTTCGGTCTCATCCTTGCATCTTCCGGACCCATCTGTTGGAGAGAAAGAGGGGTCATGGGTCTTTTCTAGATTTTCTCTATTCTGGGTCCTGCATCCTTCCCGGCATAAAATTGGTATGATCTGAACGGTTTATCCTGATTGGGGTTTTTTTTCCTTCAAAAATTAAAATAAAATGCCCAGGTTAAATGTCGGTGGACAGGGAGAGGATCAGATTCCAGGGAAAGGATCTCGCCTCCTCTCCACCTTGGATTTTGTCCCACGATCTCACTTGTCGCAGCGTTGCACGCCCAGCATCGTGAAGAGCATCAGATTCATCATCCTACCGAAAAGGGTAATCCGATCATTCATTCCGGGGACAGACAGTCTTGCCATCTGCCAGGGTCTGTCTATGTATTTTCTCGTTTCTTCTCCCAAAGATTCCATTCCTGTTCCAAGGGGAACCGATCAATCGAAAGAATGCATGCAGTGGCTCGTGCGAGAAAGAGCGACAGGGGAAGATCCAAGATCAAAAGTACATACTTCTAATCTGACCGGTTGAGATAGAGGATATTCAATCGGAGTCCGTCAAAGAACCAAAGAAAGTCTCGACCGTCAACGGGTTTCCCGCACGGTCCACGTTATCCACACCCGGGTTCTCCGCATTCGGTAACCCGGGGATTCCTCCCGACTTTGTTGGAGATCATGCGTGCTTCAGATTTTTCATGCCAAAAGCAAAAATATATTTGAGTAATACATTTACATTGGATTTGACAATTGAAATCAATCAATTTTATTCAAGCATTTATTAAAATAATATAACAGAAATAACCCGGCCCTTCCGCTGCGCAGGGGAACCGATTTCCGCAGCAAGGGAGGCGATCCTCTGCCGCTGTATAAATCAACCAAATCATGGAAATAAATACGAATGAAACACAATAAAATAGATAGAATGATATGTATAATTTCTGTCTATCAGGTGACATGATGAAAATTCTATCTATGACTGCTACTGTTTGACGTGGGAAAAAGGATTAAAAACGAAGGATGAAAAGCTCCAGATGGATGCAATAATCCATGCAGGAGTAGACCAGGTGATACTTCTTCATGCATCTAGGACGGGATTCCCGTGGTACTTTGTGCATGACAGTATCCCATAACTATTCACAGGAGCTACAGTATGGTACCTCTGCAACATGGACGAACCGTGCAGTATCCGTACCGAGATCTGTCTCTGTCAGGGAGCAGAGATCCAAGTCAAATGATCAGATCGAACCTTGTTTCTCCCTGGAACTGCTCTTGTCCAGCCAAAATTCCACCCTGAGGTTTACTCTAATTAACCATACTTGAACTTAAAATAAATTATAAATTTAAAAAAAGGTAAAAGACTAAATTAGAAAGGATGGAAGATGTCAGGTGACGGCAGCGTGTAAGCATTAAGATCAAACCAGTTGGCCGATCCCCTGGCCCCGATTGGTTGAGATCGACACAGCTCTCCACCAGGGCGACTACAATGCAGGATCCGTCAGTCTAGACGCGACTCCCGTTGGCATTCCCAAAGTCCAGCTTCATCAGCAGTCGGTCGACGCCCGCCGTCTTGCGAGGCACATAATGCGCACCGTCTGGTCCTGCGCGCCCGGACCAGCTCTCTGCGGAGGGGTGCGTTCGCTGGCCGAGGGCGAATATCTCGCGTCCTTCGGCTGATCGGCTGTCGTCGATGTCGCGTAACCGTGCGACCACCTCCCGGATGCTGACTTCCATCCGGCCCCGCGCTGCCCCGAGCGCCTGCCACAGTTCGGTCTCTTCGCCTGCGTAATCGGCCAACGCGTCGACCACGCCTTCGTCTGTCTCGAGGTCCATGTTGCGTTGGATCGTCTGCAGGCGGATGACCAGCGCGACGAAATGGTCTACTCGCTTTAGGAGCGATCGGAGGGACTGGGTGAATGGGACGTCGGTTAGGAAGAGCGACTGCACGAGTGCGAATAGGTATCGTCGGTGTGCGACCGTGAGGGTCTCGGGGTCGTGTCGTGGAGGGCGGGTGGTAGAGTGGTTTGGGTGGTCTGGTGGCTTGCTCTGCGCCGACGAGGCAGTTCCTGGTCGCGAGCTTGTTGGGGAAGGGGGTTGGCTGTCTTCAATCCAGGTTTGAAAATGCTGCCAGGAGCCCTGGATCACTTCGGCTTGGAAGAAGCTTCCGATTTCGGATAGGAGGAAGAGAGATGCGCTGCTGGTTGCCCACACGGGTCGCATCTGCCGCGTCCGCGCGTTGTCTCGCTGTCGGCCCACGCCCAGCATGTTCTGCCCAAAGGCCGAGTTGCTGCGTGGCGGACCCCACGGGGAGGGATGGTTTCGCCGGAGAAACGTGTGCTTCCAGAGACCGCTTAACCGGATTTGCGCGCGCCGGATGCCGAGTAAGTAGGCGTGCACCTTGGAATAGACGGAGATGTCGGAGGCGGAGAGAAACAGGTCGAGAGGGGGCCCGACTTGGACGGAGAGGCAGGTTGGCGCTGGAAATAGGAGGTCGTCGAACGCGACCTGGGAGATGTCTGGTGACAGTCCAGACCCGGCTAACTCTGCCGGACCGGCTGCCGTGGAGTTGCTCTGCCCGCCGACAGAGAGCCGAAGGAGGTCTTTGGCGAGATCAAGCGCATCATCCACGGGATCTTCCTCAGACTGCAGGGAATAAAGCTCGGATAGCGCGTGCCCCAACGTTGCCATGACGTCCCCGTCTTTGACGGACAGTCCTCCCAGACCATCCACCGCTTTCGCTCGGGCAGCCATGGGTCTTTCCTGCAGCCGCACGTCGGCGTGCGAAACCAGTGCCATGGCGAACTCGCCGCGTCGTAGAAGCAAAAAATCGTGAAGAACAGATAGGATTTCCAGGGTTTTAGGAAGCGGCAGGATCTTTGAGAGGGTGCTCTGCGACAATGACAGTCGGATGGCATCGACCGCGTTGGATAGCATTGAGCTTGAGATGGGTGACTGTAACGCAGCGAGATATTCGACATGCTCGCCTTGCAGAGTCACCGGATAGGTTGGCAGGCCGCTTGGCCTGGTTGTAGAAGCATTACGCTTTGCGCGGATCAGGTTCAAGGTTTTCCCAATGAACAAGATGGATGACGCTGTCTGCGGCAAAACAAACTTGGGCAGTAAACTCGTATGCAGGATGAATGGCGCCTGCGCGGTATCTGGGGAGACTCTATCTTCTTGAATGAAGAAATCATCTTTCCCAAGCACCGGGACATTCCCATACAACAGCCACGTTGACAACTGTCGCATCCAAGCCGTCTCCGCGATCTTGACCAGGTGCAGGGCCATTTCCTCAATATCCACATACCCGGTCTGCGACTCCGCCCGAAGATGGTCAATCAAAGCGGCACCTGCGCAGCCCTGATTGCGGCTCGCCTTCGGATCGGGTAGGATGAACCTGACCACTTCCCACAGCCATTCCAGCCGCCGTGTCCAAGGAGAGAATTCCCCCACAATCGTCGACAACGGCACTATCCCGTACCCGCCCACATAGCCGCTATCCTCGACCAAGATTGCCTTCTCTACTTCGAGAATCTTCTTCTGAAACCCCCCGAGGTGCTCCGTGCTGATCGCGGTGGAGACGGACCGACAGATGACGGAGGCGTGGGATGAGGATATGGCGGTGGTGTGAGCACGCAGGCGCGCATGTAGTCGACTCAGACGGGCAAGGGAGGCGAGGAGTGCTTTCTCGGGCGGTGACAGGAGAGGAAAGGCATCATCAGAGACCAGACCTTCCTCGGTTGGGGCATTGAAGAGGGGTGACGGTTGGCCGGAGAGGGAGAGAAGGATCTCGTGGAGCATGCTGGCTGGAGCTCTCTACAGGCCGTCAGAACGTTGAAGAGCAAGATGCGAGTGGTCCCACCTACACTGGGGATGGGTCTTCCTCCAACGTCGGCCTTTTGCGCTGCCAATATAGGAGCCCGCTTCCAAGGAGCTCGTATCGGCACATGTACAGGGATTGGCGGGGTATCTGCTGGCGACACAGGCCTTGACTTCTAGGGTCTGTGGGCAATAGCGCGTCGCGTCAACGCGCAACCTGCCTTGGGAAGATGATAGAGCTGGTCAATTCAAGTATAATCTGGGTAGAAGATATCATGCTTTGTAGGAACATGACGGAAGAATCACATCATAGCCTTCAATCATTATCATCAACATCAAGACATCCTCCAACTGGGTCAGGAATCCCGCGGCAGTCCCAAAAGAATAGATGGAGATGGCCAGTCGACGCTATTCCCCTTTTGGAACTGAGGTTCATCTGTCAAAAATGACTAATACTTTACATAATCAGGCAGTCTGCTGAATCAGCCACCAAACAAACCAGACAAACGGGCTGAGCTTGTCCCTCTTACGTCGCCGAAGTGACCCAACTGGACGCCCATCTTCGTTTCTACCTTACCTTTCTCAACTAACGTCTTCTCTCTCTCTCTTTCGTCTGCTCACGTTGTCCTATTCTCTGTGTATCTACCACTTTATCCTCTACTCAACTTGGAGTTCTACGAAATAACTCCATTTCCTACTTACAGCGGATCACTGATATATCACCCCGCTCGCCGCTCCCGCAGATACTTGACCCCTCCTAAGTATCTGCCCCTCTTTGGTCTGCACTGGGAGTTGTAGACTTCAGCATTGTTGGAAAGTCTTGCCTAGCTGCAAGGCTTTCATAGGAAATCTCCACAATTTCTTCGGAAATTCCCGTTCGTGACGCTACGAAGCTGGGAAAGCGAAGAGCGTCTGGTGATAAAACAGTACTTCCACCCGAGAAGAAAATCATGACGGTATGTTGGATAGCCAACCCGCTGGTCGTGTAATGTTTTTTTGTTTTGCTGATGATTGGTAGGACACCAAGATGCAAGTTGATACTCCCCAGGAGACGGTCGAGATGCTCAAGCACGGGGAGATCGACGAGTCTCTGTACAGCCGACAGCTGTGAGTATTATCTCCGTTCACCATTCCCTTTGTATGGCATCTCCTGCTAATGACCTCTTCACCATAATTAAGCTATGTTCTTGGTCATGAGGCGATGAAACGCATGGGTTCCTCCAACGTGCTCATTGTTGGACTCAAGGGCCTGGGTGTCGAGATTGGTAAGTCGGGTCGCCCTCCGCATACTATGTGGCAATGCTGATTGACTGCGTCTAGCCAAGAACATTGCCTTGGCCGGAGTCAAGTCCCTCACCCTCTACGATCCTGCCCCTGTCGCCATCTCCGATCTATCATCCCAGTTCTTCCTCCAGCCGGAAGATGTCGGCAAGCCCCGCGCCGAAGTAACGGCCCCCCGAGTGGCGGAGCTGAACTCATACGTCCCCGTCACAGTGCACGAGGGTAATAATATCGCGGAGGACCTGGAGCAGCTGAAACGCTACCAGGCCGTCGTCCTCACCCTGACGCCTTTGAAGGACCAGCTGGCCATCGCCGACTTTTGCCATCAGAACGGCATCTACGTCACCGTCACGGACACCTTCGGTCTGTTTGGCTACCTCTTCAACGACTTTGGCAAGAACTTCACCGTGGGCGATGCGACGGGCGAAGAGGCTGTGGGTGGCATTGTGGCTGGCATTGATGAGACCGGTCTAGTTTCGGCGCTAGACGAGACTCGCCATGGTCTGGAAGACGGCGATTTTGTGACTTTCTCCGAGGTCAAGGGGATGGAGGGTCTGAACGACAGCGCGCCCCGCAAGGTCACCGTCAAGGGCCCTTATACCTTCTCTATCGGAGACGTCTCTGGCCTTGGAACGTACCAGAGTGGCGGTCTCTTCACGCAGGTCAAGATGCCCAAGTTTGTAGACTTCCAGCCGCTTAGCGAGCAGTTGAAGAAGCCAGAGCTCGTGATGTCCGATTTCGCCAAGTTCGATCGGCCCCAGCAGATGCATATCGGTGTCCAGGCTCTTCATAAGTTCGCCGAGAACCATGATGGCCAGCTTCCTCGCCCCCACAATGAGAGCGACGCCCAGGATGTGCTCAAGATCGCGAATGATCTCGCCTCGGGCGAAGAGGACAAGGTGGAGTTGGACGAGAAGATTATCAAGGAGCTCAGTTACCAAGCTCGTGGTGATCTCAATCCTCTCGCTGCTCTGTTCGGCGGTATTGCAGCCCAGGAAGTCCTGAAAGCGGTGTCTGGGAAATTCAGCCCTGTCAAGCAGTGGCTCTATTTTGATTCCCTGGAGTCTCTTCCCTCCTCTACGGCCCGTTCTGAGGAGAGCTGCAAGCCTCTTGGAAGCCGCTACGACGGCCAGATCGCTGTGTTTGGCAAGGAATTCCAGGATAAGATTGCCAACGTCAAGCAGTTCCTCGTTGGTGCTGGAGCCATTGGTTGTGAAACCTTGAAGAACTGGGCCATGATGGGCCTGGGAACTGGCCCCGAGGGAAAGATCTTCATCACCGATATGGACCAGATTGAGAAGAGCAACCTCAACCGCCAGTTTCTCTTCCGTACCAAGGATGTTGGGCGACTCAAGAGCGAGTGTGCGACCACAGCAATTCAAGCAATGAATCCGGAGCTGCAGGGCAAGATCGTCGCGCTCCGCGACCGGGTGGGACCAGACACCGAACACGTTTTCGACGAGAAATTCTGGGAAGGCTTGGACGGGGTCACCAATGCGTTGGACAATGTTGATGCGAGAACCTACGTCGATCGACGCTGCGTCTTTTTCCGAAAGCCCTTGCTCGAGAGCGGCACCCTTGGCACTAAGGGCAATACCCAGGTCATCCTTCCGCATATCACCGAGTCCTACTCGAGCTCCCAGGATCCTCCTGAGAAGACGTTCCCGATGTGCACGCTCAAAAGCTTTCCCAACCGCATCGAGCACACCATTGCCTGGGCCCGGGATCTTTTCCAGACGTACTTCGTTGGTCCCCCGGAGGCGGTCAACATGTACCTATCCCAGCCGAACTATATTGAGCAAACGCTCAAGCAGGCTGGCAATGAGAAGCAGACCCTGGAGCACCTGCGCGATTTCCTGGTGACGGATAAGCCCTTGACGTTCGACGATTGCATCGTGTGGGCCCGTACTCAATTCGAGAATCAATACAACAACGCCATCCAACAATTGCTCTACAACTTCCCCAAGGACTCCACGACCTCTTCGGGCCAACCTTTCTGGTCTGGCCCTAAGCGGGCTCCGACGCCGCTCAAGTTCGACAGCACCAACCCCACCCACCTTGGGTTCATTATCGCGGGCGCGAACCTGCACGCGTTCAACTACGGTATTAAGAGCCCTAATGCCGACAAGGAGTACTACCGCAAGGTCGTCGACAACATCATCGTCCCGGAGTTCACGCCCAAGTCTGGGATTAAGATCCAGGCTGACGAGAACGAGGCCGACCCGAATGCCCAGCAATCGGGGTCGTCTTTCGATGATGGCAACGAGATCCAGAATCTGGTTGAGTCTCTGCCGTCACCCAAATCCCTTGCCGGCTTCCGCTTGAGCCCGGTGGAGTTCGAGAAGGACGATGATACCAATCACCACATCGACTTCATCACGGCCGCCAGCAATCTCCGTGCCGACAACTACGAAATTCCCCAGGCCGACCGCCACCGGACCAAGTTCATCGCTGGCAAGATCATCCCTGCGATTGCCACCGCCACTGCCTTGGTGACCGGATTGGTTGCATTGGAGCTGTACAAGATCATCGACGGCAAGGATGACATTGAACAGTACAAGAACGGGTTCGTCAACCTTGCCCTCCCCTTCCTGGGCTTCAGCGAGCCTATCGCCAGCCCCAAGGGCAAATACATGGGTAAGAATGGTGAAGTCACGGTGGACAAGATCTGGGACCGTTTCGAGGTGGCGGACATCCCGCTCAAGGACTTCATCCAGCACTTTGCGGACCTGGGCCTGGACATCAGCATGGTGAGCTCGGGAGTCAGCCTGTTGTATGCCAGCTTCTACCCGCCGTCGAAGCTGAAGGACCGCCTTCCTATGCCGTAAGTTGCGCCATAATTCCGTGTGACTATGTCCGATTGACTAACTGCTGTACAGGATGAGCAAGCTGGTGGAGCACATCAGCAAGAAGCCCGTTCCGGATCACCAGAAGAACGTCATCTTCGAGGTGACGGCCGAGGACCAGAATGAGGAGGATGTGGAGATTCCGTACGTGATGGTGACTCTTCAGAAGTAAGCGATTGGCTACGGTATAAAAATATAAACTATGCCTTTTGAGTATGAGTTGTATCTATTGGAACTCGATTAGAAATGATCACATGGAAGCAATGCTAGTCTATCTGTCCCGCTTGAATCCTGTTGGATAATGAGCGTAGAACCCACTAGAGACCATGTTGATAAGATTTGTAAGTGCTTGTCAAGCTTTGTCAGATCTGAATACAAGATCGGTCAGCAGAAAATCGTCCCAAAACGTCATCGCCCTGGGATCGCTCCCCGCACCAAACCAACGACCCCAAACCTATTTAATCAGTTATATCACCATCGCCATTCCTGCTCGATTTTTCCTCTCTCATGTTCTCCTTCCTCCGCCAAACTCACCGCATCACCCAGCGCATCGCATCAGCTAGAGTCATCGCGCCCGCGCCAATCTACAGACCCTCATCAACCTCCGTAATCTCCGCACTTCCAACACGCACCATGGCCGTACGTAACTCCCCCTCCCCCAATTCAAATAACACCCCTCAACTAAGACCCATAAATCCAGACCAACACCGCAAACAAAATAACCAACTGGGTCAACCCCAACGACAAATCCGGCGAGTTCAAGCGCCAGGAGTCATCCTTCCGGAACTGGATCTCCAACGAACCAGGCGCGGAGTTCCCCCCTGAGAAGGGCAGATATCATCTTTATGTTTCGTATGCGTGTCCGTGGGGTGAGTTCTTCTTTTTTTGGGTTTCTTCGCTTTATAGCTTGGACTTTTGCTGGCTGTGGAGTAGACTTGGCTAATTGAGAACTATAGCTCATCGCACTTTAATCACCCGCAAGCTGAAGGGACTGGAGGATATCATCTCGTATACGTCCGTGCATTGGCATCTGGGAGAGGGAGGTGAGTTTCTCATTAAACTCTTGTGCATTATGCATTCTGCATACATACGCACACATGGCTTCATGTCAAGAAACTAACAACAGCAGGATGGCGATTCGCAACACAGGACGAAGCAGTTCCTAGTGACAACTTCACCTCAGACCCGCTGCATCCGCAATTCACCCATCTCCGCGAGATTTACTTCGCCGATGAGCCTAACTATAGTGGCCGATATACGGTCCCTTTGCTGTATGATAAGAAGGCGCAGAAGATTGTGAGCAATGAGGTATGCTCCCCCCTCTTCCACACCTCCACAATCGATATAGGCGGACATATAAGAGAGAGAGAGAGAGAGAGAGAGAGACATACAGAAAGTATAAGAAAGAGAGATAGAAACAACATCTAACAAACAAAACCAGAGCTCCGAAATAATCCGCATGCTCTACACCACCTTCGACGACCTCCTCCCCCCATCCTTCCAGAAAATCTCCCTCTTCCCCGAACCCCTCCAAGAATCCATCGACTCCGCCAACTCCTGGATCTACCCAACAATCAACAACGGGGTGTACCGCTCAGGCTTCGCCACCACGCAAGAAGCCTACACCAAAGCCGTAACCGAGCTCTTCACCAGCCTCGACAAAGTCGAATCCCACCTCTCCTCCACCCCCGGCCCGTACTACTTCGGCGCAAACATAACAGAGGCAGACATCCGACTCTTCACGACCATCATCCGCTTCGACCCCGTCTATGTGCAGCACTTTAAGTGTAACGTGCGCGATATCCGCAGCGGCTACCCGGCGCTGCATCGCTGGATGAGGCGGCTTTATTGGGAGGTTCCTGCTTTTGGGGAGACTACTAAGTTTGATCATATTAAGTTTCATTATACGCGCAGTCATAGCCATATTAATCCTTATGGGATTACGCCTGCTGGGCCTGTGCCGAATGTTTTGCCGTTGGGGGAGGAGGTTACTGCTGTTGGGGCGAAGTAGGTTGTTGACTATTTGGGGGGGAAGGGGGGGAAATTTGTATAGAGTTTGCACGGGATAGGTTCAGTTTAGGTATAAGAGGTGGTAACTGCGTATGCTATCAATTTCCATATAGTATGTCTATACTATGTAGGTACTACTTCTATATCATAATATCTCCCCATTTTATTCAAACAAGGCAGTAATGCCAATATATGTCTCTAAATACACTCCCCAAAAGATGAAGGGAAAAAAGTAAACAATAATAATAATAGTATGTGGGCTCTGTGTATTCCACAGATCAACCAGGGGAATCCAGTGTACAACGAGATGGTAGCAAAAAGAATATGATGAAATGGAAAGGAAAAGAAAATAAAAAAGAAAAACTCCAATATGCTTTGCCGCACGACGCCTTGCCATGCGAGGGTGGGTGGGTGTGTATGTTTGTGTGACAGGTATGCAAACAGTTGTTTAGTGGCCGTTCGATCTGCGCGCGTTTTCCCCGAAACAATGGCCTGGTTTTGTAACGGTAGACGGCCCGACAGGATGCAGGAGGATATGTATGGGTGGGAGCGCTGGGCTGGCTGGCTGCGACGCGGGGGGTGATGAGGTTGCGTGGTTAGAGCCATGCAAAGCATACGGTGCCATAAGTCTGTTATTGGCTGTAGGGTATCTTGAAAAGGTCTAAAGATCAAGCAAAACGAGACGGTAATCGAGGATATATGACGGCGGGAGTGGGTGAGCGGCCCCGGCGCAGTTAGCCCTTTGGTTAACTTATTTCAGGCCGAGCATGCGTTTCGCGTTTTCGTAGACGACGTAACTGATGGAAACCGCGGGAGCGACCTTGAGAAGGTTTGGCGTCAGGCCCTTGTAGAAGCCCCGGAAGCCTTCGGTCTGGATCGTTCTGCGCGCGACATCGCCTATCCCGGAGTAGGTGGCGGGGTGGAGAATGGTGCCCTGCGCCTGGAGTCTTGTTCGGAGGACATTCAGCGGGTAGACGACGGATGCGCTCAGACCTCCGCTCAGTGCACCGATCCCGCCGGTCGTGAAGTTGTTTAGGGGAACGTCGTCCTCGTGGCAGTGGTGGAGGCGAGCTTTGCGCGCGATCAAGGTGCGCTTGAGGTATTCGAAGGTAGACAGGTCGATGGCCGCGTAGGGGAACATGCCCGTTATCCCTAGCGGCAGGCCGCGGAAGAAACCGAAGAGACCGTTCTTATTCCACACCTTTCGAAAGGTGGCGGCGATCAACTTGTTGCCCTTCGGGCCTCCTACAACGGTTTCACACTGCATGCGGCTGGGGGATTGTGAGTTTCGATGCCCATCTCCGGAGGAGTCCAGGTCACTTACAACTTCAACGTGTCGAGCGGATAAACGAAACATCTACCATGTCTGTCAGAGAAGATCCAATACCAACGGCGGGAAATCAACACATACTGGGCAACCATTCCGCCGAAGCCTCCAGAGAGAAACTGGGAGACCGGTGACAGTTTCCTCGGGTCATGATGACCTTCCATGCGAGCAAATGCACGTTTCGCAGACTATCCCACGTTAGTTCCTTGATACTCGAAACGTAAACTAGCAAGCTGACCTCGTAGGCTCCGAATTTGATGGCCGATTCGGGCATGACCTTCACCACATTCAATCCATTGCCTGCAAAAGTTAGCGCACGTCCAGATGGACGGGCGGTTCAGACAAACCTGCAAACAGACTCCGCACCCCTCCGGCCCGCCACAACTCCTTGACAGCATCGGTCAACGTCCGTGATGCTCTCCCCGCGGCTTCCAGCGGCGCACCATCCTTGGCGGCGCTAACGGCGGACGACTGGATGCCGGTCTGGGCGATCAGATAGACCTTGAGGCGATCCAAAGGGGCCGTCGCCGTTCTCGAAACGACGCCCGCAATCCCACCCGCAATGAAATAACCTAATTGAGGAGTGTTCTCGGTCAACTTCTGTTCATAATATCGAAAGGACATCCACATGGCGACACGCCTTGGTATGGGTAGCCACTCCAATTCCGAGTCACCATCTAAGGATACAAAATCATCATGGCCGGAGCCCGGGGCTTCTGCGTGGGCGGACGGGATGAGGGCTGCCAACGCAGGCACCGGGATATTGTACAAAAAGCTTTTGATGGCCAAGAGGATACGTTTAGGAAACGAGTGGTCTGTACCTAAACCCTGTAGATCGTTGATGTGGACGTCTCCTTCCGGGTTTAGATTTCCCGTGGCCGTGTAGTATGAGAGAATGGCGTGCAGGTTGGAGGAATAGGCGGGCAGGAAGAGCAGGAAATCCCTAGGAGCGGCACCGTCAGTCATGAACCATGGTCAGAGGGGACCTCATCTGACGACCCGTCTGACCAGCGCAGGGGACGACATACCTCCATTCCTCGTAGGAAATGACCCCATCCTTATTCGTGTCGACGTCGCTGAAGAAGGCTTCCAGCTTGGCGCTCGAGACGGTCACCTCGGAGTTTGAAAAGGCGGATTTGAGCTCGTTCTTATCGATTTCCCCGTTCCGGTTCCGATCGATATTCTGGAAAAGCTGCGACAAGCCGTATTCGGTATGGTCGACGAAGGCACGAAATTCTAGGCGATCATTAGTTTGGCCCGAAGAAGCCAGCATGGGGGGAGCCAGCCCACTTGACGATCAGAGGTCCAGCACACGCGATCTTACCAGAATAATCAATAAACCCATCCCCATTTGTATCGACCGCATGCAAGACATTCCCCAGCATACTATCCGCATTTTTGAGCGCTAAAGTGACGAATGTAAACCCGGTCAGTTGACAGCACCATCACCACGGGATCGGGTCACGGATGGAGAAGAGGGGAAGGGGGGGGTGGGATGAGAGGGGGTGAGGGGAAAGGCCTTTTCCAACTCACGATGATCAATTTTCTTTAAACCCTTCTTGAGACCATTGAGATCCAGACGGCCACTTTTGGAAACGCCGAGACTCTCCCAAAGATCCGCGATCCTGCGGTCACGCTCGTCTGGGGATTCCGAAATTACCATGATCGCGAATGAAAGGGATTATCGGGAACCCGGCATTATTTGACAAGACTGGGTATCACACGGAAGATGTGCGATCAGAGACCGACTCTGTCACGACAGGGACCGGTGAGAGGAGGATAATAAGGAGAGGAGATGGTGATATTGGTGGTTGTACATCGAATAATTTGTTCCGGTCGGGATGAAATTCTCAAAGCAGCGGAAGTTCGGACATGGCAGTTTGGCAGTAGTGGAGGCGGGCGGGTATAAGATAGTAATAAAAAATAAAAAATAATAAAAAATAATAGGTAGGACACTAATGAAGGACGATAATGGGGTGGATCAGCAGCCGCGAGAAAGGCCTATAGAAAAGGCTGCGAGTGAGAAATCCACGCGCCATGATTTGCTTTTCTATTACGACATGTTCGGAAGAAATCTCGGTCCTGACCAAAGGGCCAAGCCCTACTAGCCTGTTTGGGTTTTGATAGATAACTGCGATCACTTCAGTTGATAAGGAATGCAATAGATACCTACAAGCAGGTTGGGAGGACCGATCGAACGATGCAGAGAATGACTGTGAAGGACTGCGTCTACTTGCGAAATAGTTGCAAGACTACAAAGATCAAAACTTGAAGAATCAAAACAACAATTTAGGTAGAAAAAAACACGGAAATCAGCTAATATTTCACAATTTCGCAGTATCATACTCCCTGGTAGCCCTTTACTTAAAGTAGAGACCCCCAAGCGCATGATGAACCCCTTGTATTGTCAGTATCAAACCAGTACTACCTACCTAGTCATCGGAATACAGTTCTCGCATCTCCTTCGTGATCTCAGCATCTGTGTGGGCATACTCGGCGTCAATCCAAGAATCCCACTCCCAATCGATCCAGTCCGCAAATAGGCCGGGCCGGTCATTAGCTTCTTTCCATCGCAGCAACGGTGAGATGTATCCTCCCACAGTAGAGTTCATCTCTGACGCAGCGGGAGGAACTCGGCTCTGGCCAAAAAAAGTAGCGGCTAGGTCGACAAACATGACCCGAGGCTGGTCGCTAGTCGGCGATGTCAAGGTGATTTTCCGCGGCTCAATACCCATGATCGACACGTTCTTCTCGTGGAGCTCGCTTTCGAGGTCCACGATCGACCTCATCAGGTCTTGACGGAGAGACTGGTCAAAGTACTCCGGATTGGCATCTTCCATGATGAGGCCTGGGATATGCTCGATCAAAATCATCCGGACGGTCCGCGTGTGTCCTCCATCCACGGGTAGAGTCAACGAGTAGGATCCGTGGTATCTCGGTATCCGGTGACCTTGCAGATAGCGAAGAATCGCATATGCTTTTACCTCGTGGGTGTAGTCCCAGTCCAGGCAGACGAAAGGGTCGAGAGCCCCCGCCTCGTCATCGTAGTAAAGCGGGTCGTACAGCTTTGCAACGAGCTTCGTGCCCTTCGGGGGAAGCGATTGCGATGTCGTTTCTAGCAACCGGACCGTGAAGACCTGGGCCTCGTGCTTATCGCCTGCGTCTAAAAGATCCATGATCTGCAGGCTGACGGAGTCGTCCCCGTCTCTGCCAGGCGCTGGGGGTAGCTTCACACATTGCATGACTGGGCTCAGCAGTTGTCTTTCCTGCCAGTCGCTTTCCTTGAGGAAGCAATCGTTGAATTCTGCCGGCGTCGGAGCCGGAGCAATGTGAGACTTGACTTGGAATCTCCAGTCGGGCACATATGGCACCGGAGGCTTTGAGCGGTTCGGGCGACGTCCAAAAGAAGCCATGGCTGCTGTCAGTGGAAATGCTGGCTTGGGGAGGAGGGGATAGGGGAGGATAGGACGGCACAAAGGGAGGTTGAGTCGTGGCAGGTTTATTTTGCCCAGCGGGATTTCGGCTTCATCGTCAACATTTCATCATCGGCGGTGCCTTGTGAGTATGGTTTTGAGGGGTCGCGCTGTAGATTCCCGTTCTTGCTTCGAGGTTCTCCTCTCTTCCCGTGCCCTTTTACCCTTTACCCAGAAAGTCTATACATGGAACTAACCTGGTACGAAGTAGGTCATTATAGCATCATGATCTTCCATCACAACCGTGTTCTTATACAGATACAGCGTCCAAGAGAGCTAACAGCTCAAACAAACTCTTCTTTCCCCCTAGCATGCAGAGAGGTCAAAACAATCAAACTAAATGCATAAAAAAGTTAGTCAGAATACCGGTAGTTACACACATGTGTATCTATAACACAACATTAGAAGATAATGAGTGCAGAAAGGGGTTCACCTACCTTAGGTAGGTCTAAGGGAGGTGGGAACTACATGCTTTAGCTCAGATGTACATCAGCCGCTGTTGACATACCTAAATAGACAGGCACCAGCTAAGGAAGCATGTATAGACTATACACCACCTCATGCATACCATGAACACATCTAGTAACACAGCACGATCACACTATCTACCTACCTACCTATCTAGGTAAATACCCATCTACAATCCATCTATCCATCTACCCCTGGAGAGCTCCCTCCCTCCCCACTTTCTAGTGGGAACTACATAGCTACCCCATATTTAGTGTCCGGTAGTTATTATTTAGCGCAATGGGTCATGGACTCACTCATGCCAGGGGCTGGACTATTTGCTTGTTTTCCATTTCATCTCCTTGGTATTATTATTATTATGACTTGTTTGGACGTGTTTCCATCTCCCTTGCTAGGTAGGTACCTAGATAGGTAGGTAGGAATGGGGCCGCTAAGGTACCTACAGAAGGCGGAAAGGGTTGGATACTACGAGCAAGGCAAGTATCTACGGGTGTATGTAGGAGGCATTTTCATTATTATGATGGATAGGGGAAATCTACCTGTCTTACAGTATTAGTCAGTATCATGCTCTGGATTGTTTAGGACATGTCTGGTGAGATCAGATCAGGTGTTGTGCCAAAGGAGTATAGTTGTAGCAGGAACATACGTTTCGCTCGTGCTGTTGCCGGTGCCCCTTGTCTGGGATACCGACAGGCGCCTACTCCCTAGGCTTGTTTCATCGGGAGACCCACGGCCTGACAGGAGGGTCATTAGTTGACTGGATGATATTCATTAATTGGCAATGCAGTTCTGGTCAATTTCTATATTTATAATGTTGGTTGGAGTGATTACTACGGAGTCATCCGTAATCTTTTCCCAGATGAAAGAATTGAGACTGGTACGACCATGGCGCCTGGAGTGCAGCCGGCCCCGCACTTTGTCAGAAGGATCGGAATTATGATATCCAACCCCCTGATGACATGTCTCATTGGTCATTGCCCAGTTTTTTTTTCAGTATCAGACAGAAGGGACCTTGATTCCTCTCACCCACCCCTCCAAAACACCAATCGTTGAAATGATTTGACATCTCTGTCTCAGTTAGTCTACCTGCAGGGATGGAATCCACCCAAAGGGGCGGTGAGCCACCAACTCCAGGAACGTGAATGCCACCACCTGGATAAACCTTCAGAGGGTGAGCTAACGGGCAAGGTCCATGTGTCTTACTCCAGCCTGTTTGGTCGCGCATCATGCAGCTAGCACGGTCGACGCACTGACTTTCCCTGGCCCGGCTGACGCCAAGGAGAGAGGAGGAGGGGGGTGGTGGCGCCCACGCTCTGGGCAGAGCTCTGGCCCTATGGTCAGTTCAGAATATACTATTCGTGTCTCCCCGGAGCCGCCGCCCATTTTCCTCAAACTTCCCGTCCTCGGCCGTCATTGCAGGCCAGCCTCTCAGATGCCGGTGTTCCCATGCTGGGATTGGGGGGCTTGGGCCCAAGAACGGCGTCAGTTTCTGGCTAGCGGGCGGCAGATCCATATTGATTTGATCAGTACCTTTCGAGGTGGAGGGAGGGAGAGGGGCGCAGGCGCTATCATCCCTCCCCATTCCATGAATACGTAGTAGTGACTCCGTGGCCCGTCCGGATGAGACACTAGTCCCTAATTCTTCAACCTGTTCCAAGATGGAGACGACGCAGATCGGGTGTCGAAAACCGTCGAAGTCAGGCCGAATCCCACGGCCATCCATCGATCAATAACGATCATGGTCGGTTATCGAATTGGTTGAAAGGAGACGAAAGACCCGCTTGGCTGCCTGCTGATCAGGACCTAGGGCTGGGATGAAAATTACCAGGTTCCGATGGAATTTCGAAATTTGGACTGAATTGTAAACGGGTATTGAAATGGGATAGGGTAACTTTGGGGATTGGGCTGGGCTCCGTCCAGTCCAGCTCTTGGGGGCTGCATGTATCATCCCACAGATCACGTGGTGGTCAGTGTCAGAGTTTGATGAAATGAAACAGACCGTATTCAAATTACACGGACTCGTACGGAACGGATCAGCGTGGTACCCGTTCCAAGGGGACAATAAATGAAATCAATGACTGGCTTGGCAATTCATTTGCTGCCTCTGTGGCCCCGGTGGAGCCATGAGTTGGAGATGTTTGCCAACGCATGCCTGTCTTCGGAAGGTGGAAAGGTCAACATTCCCACCTTGATTTCCATGATGGATTCGATACCCGCTGGTCACTATTATTATCAACCTCTCCAACTGATACCAGCCGAGAGAAAAGAGTGGAACAGCATCGCATCGCATCGCATTTCCACCTCAGTCCTTACCTGAGGGCACACCATGCTGGTTGACAGCAGATGGTTACACGTCCCATCGTCGTCAACCTTTGCATGCCCCCCGATCCACGATCTTCCCCGGTTCTGCCTCATTCAACACCTGCCGATCCACTTATCCTGCAGTGGTTAGCTCGGTATCATGCAGGAAGGTATTATTATCTGGCTGGCCCTTGCCAGGTCCGACGGCTGTACGGAGTCTACGGACCACCATACCAGTCCACCGGCGGTAGTGACCGTACGGGGTCGGACATGTATTCCCACCACATTGGAGGGACCAGGTCCATGTCGAAGCATCTCAAAGCTGGGATCGGCCGTCAGCCACTCTGTACGAGATCAGAAATGGTTCCAAAAAGAGACTTGCCCTGAAACAGGACTAGTGGAAATTTTCCAACGTCACAGTGGCTCCACCCGAAATGACGATGATTGGGACAAGGAAAAGTGGCTGCAGGAGATCCACTTTCCAGACCGATGAAGAAAGGCGATTGGAGATCAGGAGTAATGACTCGCCACCAAGCAAGCCAAGAACAGAACTCTTGTTGGTGGTTTGAACTGCCCTAAAACTTGTGCGTGACCTGATTACCATACTAGTGCCGAGTCTCGGAACCTTGGGTTGACCCTTTGGTGATGATTGATAGGGTAACATTACCAATTCTTACTCTATAAGTCAAGTAGAAATTGAAAAACTTACTGAAAAAAGGAGGGAGTGTTCTGTGTATGGTAATCCATGGTATGGACATTCTTTTTTAATGTTTTTTTTTTCCCTTTTTCTTGGATTGTTATTATCAATTTATGCTCCGCCCCAGTCAAATAACCGTGTCTGCACCAAAAAAAGCCCCTCTCGCTCACTTGCCTCCCCCGTTCACTCTTCCTATTTTTCACCTCTCCTTGTCCCGCCAAAGCCGCCCCATCCCATCTTATCCCATTCCACATCCCACACAACATTTCGCATTCTTCTTCTTCCCTTTCGTCCTCCATTTTCTTCTCCCCCCATCTACTTTGTTCGATATTATTTTTTATCTCGTATTTATCTTTCTCGCATTCTTTGTTTGGACGTGATTGATTTGGATCTTCCATCCTGTTGATTCTTGTTTTTCAAAGTCCTTTGCCTCCTTGTTCTCGGGATCCCCCAGCGAGCTGGTCCGAGTTCGTTCTTTTCGATCTATCCATCAATCACAACTACAACGACAACCACCAATACCCTTCACCATGTCTGCTTTCTTCTATGGCCAGCAGCATCAGCAACATCCGCACCATGGCGCCGCCACTCACGCTCATCCGAACGTCCACGGCCACGGCCACCTAGGGGGTCGTTCCCGACGGGCCCCCAAGATGGCCCCCCAGAATGCCCAGCGTCAGTTTCGTGGTGTCAAGAGCATGAGAGAGCTTGCTGAGGCCCCTGCGGTGACGGCCTTCCGTGCGAGATTCGAAGCCGGTCGGTCTTTTGATCTGGATGATGACCTGGAGTTCTGTCCGGGTCTCCTGACTGAGGACGATGTACGTTGCCCACTCACTTTTGAAAAGAGATCCCGAACCCTTCGACTCGTAGATCCTCCCGTGCCAGACGCTTAACCCAAACTCAATATCTTCCTCGCTAATATGAACACCGCTCAGCTCCACTCCATTCACTCGGCGTCTTCCGATCGATCGTCGCTTTCCAGTGGTTCCCCCGACACCTCGCCTCTCCAGCATCAGATTCAGCCCGTTCAGCAGGTCACCCCTTCGATCTCCCTGTCGCCTGCGTCCAACAACGCCTATGTCCATGCTGCGGTCGGGAATCTCGGTCACGCCGGCTTCCAACAGCCTTCTGCTGCAGCTCGCACCCGCAAGGTCATCCCCATCGTTAACCCCCAAACCGGGATGACCTTGACTAGCCCGCCGACGTCCATGTCCCCGGCTGCCCTGCAGAATGTGCACCGCCGGTGGTAATGACCACCTACGGCCAGTTGCCATTCCATCGGCAGGTTTTCCGCTCATGGCAGCGTTCGCCATTTCGTCCATTTTCTACATCATCGGGCTTCCTAACCGCGGGTCATAATCATCCTTCGCTCTACTTCCTTCTCCTTTTGTTCTTTCGACTTATCGACTTACTTTTGACGACCATCGCATCCTCTTTTATTACGACTGACAACCCTTTCTTCTTGACGAATCGCCAAATGTCGGATCATTCAGTGATATTCTGTATATAACTACCTTCACCGATGACGACCTTTAGCACTTACATCTAGAGTGATGCTTTCGACTTCCTGCGAGCGACGGCGCCTGCTACTTCGATTTTTGCATTCTTCCACCTGTTCAACGATACCTCTCTCCTTGTTGTCTTTCGGTTAGGGAAAATCCATATCTTTCTGCCCTCGTGGATTGGTCACGATGATGTATAGAAAGCGCGGCGACTTGCCATCGGTGTGCGCATCTATTGTTCGGAGTTGCTTTTTTTTGGTGTGTTTGGACGACTGGCCGATGACTCGGCAGTTTTCTCTTTTTCGGATCTTTTGGGGTTAATCTTATGGGTGGGACGGGTTTTTCACGGTTTTAGGGATCTAGAAAGGTGGAAACGATATACGTGTGCATTGTTTGGGTATGTTGAATTCGGAGTGTTTGTTCTTTTATTCCTCTCGTTTTCTTCTTTTTTCCTTTGACTTCTATTCGCATCTGTTTCTTTAAATACCTTTTGTTTTCATTTCGTTCTTGTACATGGATTGAGGCTGGGTGGACATTCGATTCTCGGCAGGACAACAGCCTGTTGTGAAAGAAGAAGAAAAGGAAAAGTCCATGGATTGGATGTGGAGTTTTGCAGGGTCTGTTACCTGTTGGTTCTATTCTCTTGACTTCCGCGTTGATTCGATCGGATGTTCATATTTGTTTTGGGGACTCCCGGCGAGTGTTGATGCCGTGTATGATTTGATTATCTTTGTGATCTCTCTTTACCCTGTCTCTTTTGTCTGTATGGCTAGTCCTTTTACTCGAGCTTAATCGATGTCAACCTCATTCCACTATCTATCACATTCCATTTCATCCATTATCGATGTCCCAATACATAGTAATAGTAACTGGATAGGCCCAGGTAAATCATACGGCATCATAACAGAATAGTCGTTATACAGCATACCGAACATAACACCCCTTACTGACACCAATACGTATGCAAACCCAACACCAAGACTCAAGTCAGCAAGCAACCTTAAGTTCTGAATAAATGCAAACCTATCGCAAGGCACAGCACGCATCATGCCGAAGAAGCACAAGCATGAGGAAGTACAAGCACCCACCAGACCATCCTTATAACACGCAATCCGCTCGAAAACCAAGTTCACCCGTATATGATGTCATACCCGGTGCGTCCTCATCCGGTCATCTCCCTCTTCCCTTTCCCTCCCATCCGACCATTACTGACCCTTTTCATAAGTAACTATCCTCGAGATATAGGTTTCTATAAATTTGTTAAGTAGATGATCTCCTCTCACAGCACCCCATCCATCCATCCATTGAACTCCAGGGTAATGGTGAGCCAAGAAAGCGGCGAAAACCAACCTATGACGTCACGTCGACGTGGGCGAGCGGAGCGTCACTGTCTGGGTTTCTATCAACGAGGTCCGGGAAATCAGCTCAATGTGGTTGGGCCATGGGGTCTGGATTGCTGGGTCGAAGTTGTAATATAGTATTACCGAGGGTTTGAAGGATGGAGTTTAAATAGATGGTTGCTTCCCTGTAGTTTTTGTTGCTCCTTAACATCTTTCAACTATCGACGTCATTAAGTTACGACCTTTTACCTACTTATTACTTCCTGGTTATATATCTGGTGAGTTACTCGACCACCCACCACAAACACACACACACACATACCCAGTCAATTGAAACAATCAATCTAACCAACCCAGCACTTCCCTACCAATTCACAACTACCAATCCTATACAAACAATAAAATGTCCTTCCTCGCACCTACCGTCCGCGCATCTCTCCGCGCCCTCCGCCCCCAGCAAGGCTACGCCGTCCTCTCCTCCCCGCTGCACACAACCGCTGCTCGACCGGGCTTGAAAGAATCAGATCACAGTTAGTACCTTCCCTATCTATCTACCTCCAATTCCTCCATATCCCCCCTCCCCCCAATCAAAATTCTCAAATTAACAAGTTCTTTTTCAAAATAATTACAGACCGCGACAACCTCGACATCCACTACGAAGAAGAGAAAGAGGAAGGCCTCCAGCGCAAGAGAGAAGGAAAGGGGAAGTGGAAGGGTGAGCTGGCTAGTAACAGTGAGGCGTCGGTATGTTCATCTTTTTCCATCTTGAAAGGAAATAGAAGGGTTAGGACAAGCTAACGGATGATATCCACAGATCAAAGCAGACCGGGGCGATCTCGACTCAGAAGACATCACGACGTTGCAGGAGAAGACGAAGAAGGAGCTGCATAGTACTAAGGAGCAGAAGTAAAAGTGATTGTTAATGTTTCATTAATTCTTTTGCTCTCTTTTCTGTCTTTTTGGGTTTGCTCATTTTTTGTAAAATCGGGTTGTATATGATGGTGCTCTTTTTATTGGCTATTGGGTCTGTTCTTATTGATGATGCCCTGTATTCTACTTTGAAATTTTACTTCGATATAAATGATTATGATCCGGTGTAGGTAAAGATGGTAATATAATCTGTATAGATAATGGACAAATGTAGACTGTGCTGGAACAGCCGATCCCAACGCCGTACATCCTACGCCTAATTAACAGCGGCTTCGTCACAGGTGAAACAACGCCACGCGCCCCGAATTAAAAAATAAACCCCAACTCGTGAAAACATGGCAGAGTAAAGATCACTTCAACAAAACAATCAGAATAACCAGAACAATGATGAGTCCAATGATCGTCATCATACTCCAATTATCGCCAGCACTTCGCCGGATCTTGTCGAGTCGCCGCCGCGCCCCGTCCAGCCGGCCCTGGTGTCTGTCGACGTGGCCATCCACATCATCCAGCAGCGCAACGTGGCCCTCGAGCTCGTCCCCGATCTGGATGCTGAGCTGGTGCTGCCGCCCGATGGACTCGCCCAGGCGATCCAGCTGCTCGTCCTGGTCGCGCATCGTCTGCTCGTGGTGATCGTACACCTGCTGGTTGTCCATGTCAGAGGTATCCGCGCCGTGCGGCGACGGCGAGTCGCGATACGGCTGGAACAGGTTGTTGCGCCGGTTAATCTCTTCCTCCTCCGCGGCAGCCGAGTCCATGAATCGCACCGACTTGCCCGGTGGGTGCTGTGGGACGGGCTGTTTAAGGTCGGGAGACGAGCTCTGGACGAACTCCGACGGGTGTAGGTGGTCGTCGTCGCCGGTCGCGTTGCCGGGCGTCGAGTGCGCCGGCGACGACGATGACGACGCACCACCGTGGAACTGAGATGACAGATCGCGGAACTGCGACTGCAGGTGTGAAAGCTGGTCTTTCAGGTCGGCGGCCGCTTCTTCGTCATTGGCGGCTTTCAGCCGGGCCTGTTCTGCCTCCACGCTTTCGATCCCTTCCCGCATTGACTCTAGGGAGCGCGAGATCTCTCCATCTTGACTGTTGGGTTCGAGGCTCAGTGAGATCGCCCGTTGTCGCTCTAGTAGTGAGAGCTTGATGTGATCCGCGAGGAGGAATAATTGCGATGGATTGGTCATGGTCGAATGATCGGATGGAATGTGGGAGATCTTGAGATGGGGTTCAATAGCGAACGGAGGAGTTACACGGTTTCAGGCGAAGACGAACGAGAAGAGAAAGCTGATGGGAGGGGGTGGTTGTTGGCGCTAACGAAGGAGGCGATGCGGAGAACGGCTCACACCGTCGACCCGCTCGAACCGGATAGGTTGGTACAGAAGAACAAAGAGGGAGGGAGTCTAACGACGAGTCATTTGAGTAGAGGGATAGTACTCAGTGGGGAGGATGCAGGGAAGATGATAATAACTGGAGAGAACGAAGATCATTGATAAGGTGACCTTCCCAGTGGTCTGTTAAGGTAGCATTGGGGCCACTTGACTATGCAGGACTGACCGCCTTGCTGGATTGATCTGCCGCTTTCCGCCTCAGGATCCGATCATTTCCATCTGATTGACGGATTGTCTTTCCCCCCGCAATCTTCCTTCTTTCCGACCCCCTCAACTCACCCTTCGCTTCTCCAGTCCACTTCAGTCTTCCTCTTTCTCTTTGTCTTGGTTCTTTGCTAGAGTGCCCTCATCCGCCATTATCCGACCCCCTTTGCTCTATTCCCTCCCTGTACCGCTCATGGGCTGTCCCTCGGAGCGTTCCTCTCATTCTTGCTCTCTTTCGGCAACTCATCGGGCGACCCGCTTTTCCGTTATCGCGCCTTCTCTTCGGTTCATGGTCGAGAGGGGTTCGGAAGTCCTCATGCCATAAGTCGATTCGATTCGAACAGGAGATTGGAAGATCGTCTGAAATCTCGAAGAATCTCTCGCCATGGATCCGCCGAATGACAACGAAGTGGTCGACCTCCGATCTCTCGACTACGTCTCCCGCTATGATGACCACCTCATGTGTGCGATCTGCCATTGCCCTTTTATCCGTCCAATCCGACTACAGTGCGATCATGTCTTCTGCCAGAAGTGTCTGAACACCGCCATCACCAGTTTTGGGGGCATTCGCGACGATTTCACCTGTCCCTCCTGCCGAACTCCCACTAAAGGCGTCTACCTCAATGTCCCCCGATTATTGATCAACATGTGTGACGATATCCGTGTCAAGTGTCCTTGTGCGGCGGAGGGGTGCGAGGAAGTCATGCCGCGTGGCCATGTCCAGTCTCACGTTGATAAATACTGTAACTATAGGCTGGTGGACTGTCCCAATGACCAATGTAACCAGAAGACCCGCAAGATGGATTTACATCCCGAAAAGTGTATGCATGCGCTCCATACATGTCAACACTGTGGGGAGGATATCATGGAGAAGGACTACGAGGTATGCCATGTCCCTCCCGATTCTGACTTGATACATCCTGACGATCCATGCCACACAGGAACACGTACAAGAGTCATGCCCTAGTTTAGAAACAACGTGTCCGGACTGCCAGACGACCGTATTACAGCAGGAATTCCAGGAGCACGTGAAAGCCTGTCCCGAGATGATCCACCCGTGTGCAGCATCGAGATTTGGTTGTCCTGTCAAGGTCACACGGGCCGAACTGGCGGCGCACGAGCAGGGCTGTCCCCTCGTGATGATGGGACCTTATCTCGACGCCCAGAACTCTCGACTAGGTTCCCTTGAATCGACCGTCCGCCACCTCCAGCAGCGTAATGAGATCTACGAAGATGGGCTATCCAACATTCGATCGACGTTGTTCGAGTCGTCCCGGGGAATCCCCGAGCGGGACCCGAATTTGCCACAGGACTCGCTCAACGAGGGCAGGCTATCAGGCGCCCCGGAACAACCGGAAAACGATCAGTGGATAGACCTTCCCAATGTTTATTCCACCAATGCCAACACGTACCTCCTCTCGCTTCACGAATCTCTGCGGGAAGAGGTGGGACAACTGTCCCACGCCATTACCGACCTCGACGCCCGCGCCAGCATGGCAATCATGAACGAATGCCTTCGCATCAAGGAAGATATGGCTCACACAAATGCGGCCGTCAGCAGCATTCGCATGCAAGTGCAGTGGCTTATGAACCCTCGTCTGCACCAAGCCCAGCGGATGGCCGGTGCACGCAACAATAACAATAATGGTAACGGCAACGCCAACGACGGTGACGACACGGCGACCGCCGGCCCCAGCAACGCAGTGGGGCCGTCTCCGGGGCTGCTTCGGCCGCGGAGACTCAGTGATGGCGGCCGCGAGGGGACCAAACTCTAGACGGCGGCACATCGATGTGCAGGGCACGGCTGGTTCGACCTACGAATGATGACCACACTATGATAATAATTTACTGTTACAATAGAGATGTCCAAGGCTGGCCCGTGAGACTTTCCGGCCTTTTTCCCTTTATCTTGCTTTCTGAATCCTTGTGCAGTGTACCGTTAGTATAATGCATTTGTTTCTGGCTGGATCATAATCAATATCCATGAAACGACTGGTGTATATCAAGCAAGCTTGACTTCACTTTACTGAACTTCTTGTTTACTTACCCTCTGGCAGCTATATGTGTACACACTCTGCTTCACTGCAACCCTATTCTGTCGTATCATCTAGTAATCATACCTTGTCCACCTATCCATCAGTCAGATCGTACTTGAGTCCAATTGGCGTCGGGGAAGAGATATTTTGGACAGGATCCACTAGTGATTTACTGACGGTTTTTGTCACTTCAAGCGCTGACACCCTTGTTTGCAGTCCATCCACCCTGACGACACCAACATGTCTCGTCCAAAATTACCCAGTCGACTATGATGTGTATCACGTGGTATCCCGCATAAAATCAAATCGGCAATGTGCGAATATTCTGGTAATGTAGACCGACCTGGTCGCTCCTTCCCAAAAGGTCAACATGAAGCGAAGTATCGATGAAAGCTCCTCAACCCATGAGCTCGACAAACAAGCTAAATTGACCCACAGTCCTTCTTCTCTCACTCGCCTTCCTTTAACAGAGGAATATTTAGCACAGCTTAATATGGCAACAGGGTCTAACACCACGTTTCTTCCTCCCTCAGTAGCATCCGTATCCCGATCTCGATCCTCTGGTCCGGAGGAGCCGAGTGACTCCGCCTACCGCACTCGAACGCTTTTCCGTGCCGGGATTCTTGTGGATGTGGATGTGCCTGAAGAAGTACAACATCAAATCAATACCGTCCTTGGGACGCCCCCCGCGAATGCGTCCACCCTTGAACATTTAGCGTCAAAGCTCCAACGCGAGTCTATGGAGCTGACGGCGGTACAAGCTGGGGCGTCTGAATGGATGAGTCTTCTGCACGAGATCCTGAAAGACCTGAAATCCACAATGTTGATGGTCGTGCGAAATAGAGGTATAATATACCAGTAGGTCTAATGTTCCGGGCGCTGACACGGTATCTTCTAATAGAATGGCGACCCGACATTAAACCTCGAGTCCATCAGCCGCCAGTGTCCCGATCTTCAGTTCCCCGAAAGCGGCTATGCGATCAAACCGGAGCTCAAGGGCCGGAGAATCCCGGAAGCAATGTAGCCTCAGAGCATGCTTCTTTCGATCAGTCGGCACCACCCACAGATAGACTGGGTTCGATTGGGCCAGGGACAGCAACCCTATCGGTGCAATCTGAGCCAATGCTGGTTACTCCATTCAAGTTGAAGGATCCTCGTCCCGACATATCAGTGGGGATCTCAGATCAAAGGCTTGCAATTGCATTACAGTCCCGAAAGGTCAGAAATGGCAAATACCTGTTGGATGACCTTCAGGAGAAGCGCGAGCTTATCAGCGATCCCGGGTTGATCCCACTCAATTTACGCTTTCCGTTCTTCCTTGTCGAAGCAAAATCCGGTGCAACGGGCGGTAATCTCTACCAAGCACAGAATCAGGCAGCAGTAGGTGGTGCTTCGGCGATAGAGGTTCTCAAGGCGTTTTACCAAAAGTCTGAAGGGCGAAGACTATCAAATACGGCCTCCCCAGCTGTCGCAGGAACTATGTGCCAGCTGCTGACCTTCTCTGCAACCACCGAGGGGCCTATCTGCGAGCTCTGGGCTCACTTTTGGGATGAGGCCAACGACAGTCATTACATGGCCAACATTGACACATGGCGGACGACACGTCGTGATAAAGCATTCGATTTCGTTTCCAAGATCTCCACTATATTGAACTGGGGCTCGACGACATTTCATAACACAGTGGTTGAACATCTGACTCTGTTTGGTTTTGATGGGGCCAGCACCTCGGCTTGATACCCATGTTCGCCTTGGTGAGGGTCGTAGAATTCTTTTTTCTTGTCGGTGTCGCTTTCACTTTCTTTTTAATAGACTATTTCCTACCTTTAGATAGCAGGCCAAGTCGGTAAAGCAAACAAACATTGCCCCATACTGCTCCATACTGACTATGCCGCCAACTTCGCTAATTGCCATCAATGAACCAACGTGACGTAGCAGGCCGCCAAGCCCACCAGCCCCCTACAACTTTTTATGACCTGCATTTACGCTCTATTTGTGAGGTTTTTTTATTTCGGGGTAGAAACGACTAAAAAACGCGAGTCTATAACATTGGTTATGTAGTGGACACATATGGAATAGATAGAACGATTCTGCTGGGATGTGAAATTCTGGTTGATGGAAAACTTAAACAGTATGACAACCACCCACACATAATAATAATACACCTTATTCCACTTCACCGATTGCAGTGCCATATTTGCAAAATATCATATATTCTCTTTTGATGAGTAGTGCGATTTATTGTTAAGAGGGAAGGAGAAAGAAAAAAAAAAAAGATCAAGCCCAACGCGGGGGTCGAACCCGCAACCTTGAGATTAAGAGTCTCACGCTCTGCCGATTGAGCTAGCCAGGCAGTACTTGATGGAGGGTGATTCTTCTTAAGGATATATATAGACAAATTGAACCGCTTGAAGGAAGACAGGAAAGAAATATTAGTATCTGGTTACCGTTGGTACACATGTATGATATAGTGTACATAGTCTATAGTGTATATGATGATTTATAAATTTAAGACCAATTAAGCAGTAAATCTTAGTGTGCATGATCATCGTATAAAGTAGAGTGTGGTGACTATTGTATCACCCAGGTCCTAATCCGCTATCTATATATTTATTCTTGCCAAATGATTGTAGGCAACCAACTACCAGCAAGGATCTCTATGTAGCCAACAAACATTACATTCTCCCACATCTCGTCTGCCCCGACACCCCAAGCTCTCATACATGCTGCCTAGCAACAATATTCACCAAGCAAATCAACACTGGTTCGTTAAAATCGCTTGCGTTAGGTCCGTCTGTGCCTATTATCCAGAGCCCTAACTTTTGGTGCATTGACCCGCAGAAGCACAAAGCGAAAGCTACGAAAGGGCCCAAAGAACCCTCTGACATCGATTCGGCCTCAACTATCCGCCCCCATGCTCAGATGCCCCAGATGAAGACATCCTCGCTCAAGACTTATCTTGACGAGCTAAAGAGACCAACGGCGATGACGAATGCAAAGCCTGGTTAAGTAGAGCTTTTGACTCGAAGGTTGAACTGGCTGCCTTCGTCGCTGTGCGGCGGGAAGGAGGGGGAACTGGAAACTATGTTGGCATTCGTAAGGGCCCCTTCAACATGCGCTTCCGCTTCAGCTTCGACGATGGACGGCCGGATATCATCATTCGGTTTCCGAAGCCCGGACACACGGCGACCGCTTACAGGGACGAAAAAGTCATGAATGAGGTTGAGATCATGGATAACCTCCGCCAACACACCAATATCCCTATCCCTCGTGTTCACAGCTGGGGCCGAACTGCCGAGAGTCCACAACACCTTGGTCCATTTATCATCATGGATTATGTCGACGGTACGCTTTTATCGACCATCTTGAAACAACCCGATCAAGAAGACATGATTCTGAACCCGAACATCGACAGCACAACACTATACAGGATGTTTGATCAAATCGCCTATTATCTGTTCCAGCTTTCTCAACCGACATTTACTGGTATCGGGGCCATCTCGAAGGGCGGTGCTTCATGTGGTACATGACACTTTGCCAGAAGACTCCTAACGTACAACATGAACGAGTTAGCCACTGTCGCTGGTTACCCTGTTCAACAATTTCCAACCGCGTCGTTTGACCACGCAAGCGATTATCTGAGGTCGGTGGCAAACGAGCACCTGACCCATCTTTGGGCCCAGCGCAATCTTGCCGATGATGCTGAAATTGCTCAGCAGCGGTACATTGCCCGTCACCGGCCCGCGCAGCTGATTTCAAAGTACTACCCCGAGGATTGCGGGCTATCTATACCCTTCTGCGACGATATGCGACCCTCAAACATGCTTGTCGACCCAGAAACACTCCAGATCACTCCCGTTCTGGATTTCGAGTTCACGAATTCCATGCCAGCGGAATTCACGTATGACCCGCCTTGGTGGATGCTGCTCTCTGGGACGGAAGTGTGGCTTGAGCGCTGCGCGATGGATAAATTTGTGACTCTTTGCGAGTCTCGAATGGTGCAGTTCTTGCGAGCGTTAGAGCGAGTGGAAATTAAAAGGGCATCAGAGATCAAACAACCTCGTAGTGGACCGTTTCTCTCTACTAAGATGCGCGATTCACGGAGAACTAGGAGATTTTGGTTTGATTATGTGCGAGAAAAAGCTTCGACGTAGACACCATCTACTGGGCTGCATTGCATAATGGCGATGCCGGTGTGGGGGTTGAGTTGCTTGATGGTAAGGCGCGTGCAGAGGCGAAGCTATTTACGCAGACTAAGATGAAGCAGTTGAAGACATATAAGGAGGAGTGTACTGCTCGCTTTTCATCGGAGACATAGAGGATGTTTGAAAGGAATGGTATACCACTCGGCTACATAAGATACCATCCCTATCACCGCGAGTAGTTCGTTCTGCCACTGTGCCCTAGTACAGCACCCGGATGCCTTCTCTTCCTTTTCTACTAGGTGCGTAACAAACACAAGGCCCTGATAATGCCTTGATAGTCGACAGAAGGGTTAATCTAGGGGGTACCCGATTTGAGAGTGAAAATCCTAGTGTCTATCGCTATCTCTCCCCTTCGTCCCTTTCATTGTCATTTACCTCACGAGACAAGCCCCGGGCGCGATGTCGAACCCCTTCTTTACCACCTACTCCACGAAACTAGGTACTTTTTTGCGGAAGGGACTTGCGTCTGTCCCTATTATCCGCGAGCGTGTGGTGTGGTCCACAACATTTTTCAACGACAGCTGAAAATCTAGCACCCCTGTCGACCGAGGCGGCCTATATCTAAATGGGATGAGGGGTCAATCGGTGGCAAGTCCACATCCACCAGGGGGGCAATCACTCACGGGCAGCATTCATGGCGTTCGCCACTAACATGTTACAATAATTTAAGCTGCCAAGCATCCTGGGGTCACGATTTTTCATCGAGATCACTTCCACAGTCCGGAGTCGCCGATGAGATTGCCAAACCACGGAAGGCAATCCGACAGGACGTGGCACCATTAGGGATATCGCTAAGACTACTGCATGGGGCCTATCAACACAGGCGGCGTAGACCATGCAGCTCATGACGCGACTCGGGCGCGCCGCTAACAAGCTGCACGTCGTTCAGTGGATACCGTCATCTGTGAACAATCCGCCCTAACGGTCCGCCCGGATCCAACCAATATGCCTAGGCCCTGAAGACTTCCAGATTACGCGATCGGTCCACGCTAACATCACTCGAACTGGGGTAGATCTCCAGTGGACGGGACGGGACGAGAGCGGGGGCGCTGAAGCAATTGGAAAACCCAATCAATCACTTTCATATTTTGTTTGGCGAGCTTGAGCTAACAGACATGTCTCAAGTAGCTGCTTTATTGGACCTGGGGTCCGGTTGGGCTCGTTTATAGAATGAGTGCCTATGGCCGCAGCCCAGTCCAGACTCAAACTCAGCCAGCCACCCTGAGGGGTTGTTGTCCGGAAGACGACAAGATAGGGCATTTCTCGTCGATGATAGGTGAATGCAAGAGCACGAGATCTTGTACAAGGTGGGGAAAGTGAAATTAACCGCAGCAAGATATGCTTCGGGGCGTCCCGTTGATCTGCATGACTACGTAGACCCTCTGTAGAGGGTCAGAGTGTGGATACATTTTCCAATGAACAGGTCAATAACTGGCTCACACAGCCAATCTTACACAGCATCTGTGCGTCGGGCGACTGTGACGAGGCAATATAGTCATGCATGGACTGACGAAAGCAGCAGAGGAGGGAGAGGAAGTGCATTGTTGACTACTGATCATCATCATGCATATGCACTGCAACAATGCATGGCCGAATAGCTGAAATATCCATACACTATGCATGCCTGCGGAGAATCAAGATTCAAATTGAAATCACTGGGACAGGGACATCGATTGGTTACCTTCGCGCTGCAGTATGTGTCTACGCGTTCACCATTTCCCCCGTTTTCTCGAGGGAGAGTGGATGAGGCCCAGATAGCAACACGCCTGAAAAAGTGTTGCGGGAATATACACTTTCGAGGGAGGTCCAGTCTTTAGCCTGAATCAGTTCAATGGATGTCGATTCCCGGGTAGTTATATAAGGGGACATTGCCCATCCATTGACAAGTCCTGGACATCACTCAGATACTTCAATACAGCAAGAGCAAAACACTACCATGGATGCAACCTCCTCTTACCTTACGGCCCCACAGTATGGCTATGACTTTGTGCTATCGACCACACAGGCTAGCATCAATGCCAACCTTCTCCAATACCTCGACGAGTCCGATCAACCTGAGCAGTACATCTGTTACCTGGCCGATCCAACCACCGGCAATCCGGCGGAGCAGATCACTCTCGAAGATTTGATTGCCAAAAGTGGATTCAATCCTTTTGATATTCCGGATCAGACAGACACTACAGACGACGCCATTAAAGCATTGACTGCGCAACGATTTCTCGTTGGCATTCGGATCAGGATTGGCCTGCCACTGGATGTTGACTTCTCGAAGCTACCCCCGGTAGTCACACTGGGTGACGATGTGAAGCAGGTTCGCTTCAACATGCTATGCGCAGACTTTACCGTCATCCAGAACTCTCCATCCAACGGCTGGGGTGGGGGAGGGCGATGGGACGTCTGGAGTCAACCCGACGGCGACTTTTGGTCTGTCTCGACCAACGTGAACCTGAAGATTGCAGACCTGGACAACGAACTCGACACCCCGTACTTCCGGAAACACCCACAGGAAAAGCAAGCAATTCTGGATCAATTGAAGAATCTCTCGGGTAGCGCATTTAGTCTCCAGCAGCTGCTCTTTGACTTGGACAACGCCTCCCTGCAGAGCAACATCGGATTTGGCGGCATCGACCCGGCATCTAATGCCTACGTAATTCTCCAGAAAAGCTTCATCAACCTCTGGGCCGCGGCTGCAGCTGAAAAAGGACAGCCACTTGTCTCGGTTGTCGCTGTGAATCAGTCGACCGACCCAAGCCAGCTGCAGTTGACAGACTTTGAGCGTGCAATCAACCCACCTAGAGACAACAGTGGAAATGTCATCAGCTCGCCAACCCAGATCCAGGCTGATGCAAGCACCCTTGATCACCTCAGCGCTGTTAATCACAACACCTTGCCCCAGCCTTCCCCATTCCAGTGGAACTGGTTGCGGACTGACCAGGTCACGGACATTAGCGGTGTCGTCGCCATCAATCGGGGGACTTATGCCAATTTCCTCATGGAACAACTGGTCCCTGAGATCAGACAGACATGCCTCAAACCCGATGTCTATGTCTGGAATACATTTGGGGCGGGCCATTTCAAGATAGGCCTCAGCCCTGACAATAGTCCCCAAACAGCAAAAGTATCAGATTCTGGAAAAGACATCATACACATTGAATATTCCGCCGGCGATTATGACGATTCACACAAATGGTTAATGTTTTCTGGATGCAGCGTCACGTCTTCATACACCTGTGATGTGTCCGTGAACTCTGCTAGTGTCACTGTCAAGCAGCATCTGAAGATTTACACCTGGCTGAAATGGGATCAGACCGTTTCAGAGGCTAATGTGGTTGACAAGACTCTCACCGACGACTATGATTTGACTGTCACGCAAGATGGTGCTTTGAAGCTCGCTCACAGCGGGAATAAAACAGAAGACCACTCGCAGTCGGGCAGCCTGGACGGGTTTTCCAATTGGTTCGTTGATTTGAATAGTGTAATCGACGGTGTCAAAAGCTGGGCCAGCAACATCGTCACTATCTACGACAAGTCCATCGGCTTTGACAACTTACAGAGTTTTATCTTTCCCGGATCAAAAGTCTTCACCTACAAGAGTCCCGAGTTCTCCGAGCATGAGGACCTAGTGTGTCCAATCACCTATGTTGACACCAGTACCAGGCGTCTGGGTGCGAGAAATGGCAGGACACGCCCTCGTTCACAACAACTGCTGCAAGCCACAGCTTCAAGCGAGCCGTTTACTCTCACCGCGTCTACGGATCTAATCGAAAATTACCTCCAGGGTCGTTTCGTGTCGCCCACTGGCAAGTTCGAGGCGTTGCAGACCGCCGACGGCCATGGCCTTGTCTTTTCGACTGACAATGAAGGTGTCTTCCACGTCATTGAAGAGCAACTGCAAAGCACGGCTGGATGGACTGTAACCGACCTCTCGACATCTCTCATAGGAACACAATTTCCTGGGAAGACAGACGCCCAGGTGAGCACCTTCGATGTGGGCCAGAGTGTGGTGAACGGCAGTATTTCACTGGCAATGGCTGTTCGATCAGACAATACAGATACGCTCTTTGTGTCGCTGGGGAACTCCAACTCGAAGACAGATTGGATCCAGAATCCCAGCTGGACTCGGGTCCCATTCGACGCGGCAGGAAGCTCTTCCACCAGTACCACCATCCGGAGCATTTTCTTCGCCGAGGCCAGTGGCAGCAAAGACTATCTCATTGTGGACATTGACCGCTCTCCTACGTCTGCAACAAAAGAAATCGAGCGATACTATATCGACATGACAAAGGCCAATGGCCACTACTGGGTCAAGCACGACGTGCCAGTTGATATTTCCAGCGGAGACTATCAGAGCTGCATTGGGCGAGTCAAGAAGGGTCGTGTCGACGGAGTGTACACATCTGGTCAAATCGAAGGATCCCCCCAGTTGGTCTACGTACCCATCGTCAACGTTTACGGAGACACAGCTCCAGCTCCCCGGCGGTTACAGCTGCCGAGCGGCGCCGTGCCGTCTGCCATAGCATCCGCTCGAAACGGCCCTGATGCCGCAGCAGACCTGCGGACCACGACAGACCTCTACGTGACCAGCGAGTCAAAGCTGTACTGGTTTGCAGCCGACCAGCAGAAAGATGGTAGCTCCGGCACTCTGCTACTGGAGGACAATGTCTTCTCCCAAACGACGACCCTGATCACCACGACGCACGACGGCGTCACAACCATCTGGGGCAAGAACGGAAATAACCAAGTTTACTACCTCTCGTGCCCAACCAGCCAGATTGCGCTTCCGGGCTCGTGGAGCGTTCCAGTTCCCCTTCTCACCGGCATCGAACACCTTTCCGCGTATGTCAACCGCGTTGATGGCGGCAAGACGGTGTTTGCATCGGGCGGGAACGATCTCTTCAAGATCGAACAAGCCAGTCTCACAGGCTCGAAATTGTGGAAGCCCCAGAAGATCTATCTTGCCGCACACCCGGAACAGAAGGCGATTCCCTTCAAGTCGTATACCTCCACGCTCCAGGTGACCGATGAGAACGACCTTCCGGCCGACAAGGCCACGGTGAGCATCACCACAACCGCCCGTACGCCGGTCTTCATCAACGGTCTTTACTACGTGTTG